TGAGGAAAAGGTCGTCTGATCCGACATAATTTGTTGTCAGTCGATTAAAATTCGAACGTGTGTGTGGGCTTTTATATGACGCCAATAGTTAAGTAAGTTCACGATGCACGTGAGATAGCTATCTAGGACGCCAATAGTAAGATACGTGAACGATCCACGTGCAGCTATATAGGGCGCCAATAGTCGAAATTAGGTTTAAGTAGGATAAACTCCTCTAACACGCCAATAGTTTTGACCTCCTTGGGTGACTTCGATTGAACCTCTGTGGTCGAGCTAAAGTTGATGGAGAAATGACGTAATTATATACAATGCGCATGCCGAGTGAGGGTCGCAATCGAATTTGATCGAGTTAAGGCAATATGGCGGGACTTTTAACCATATATAGACATTCCATGCTACTATGTTAACTCGTGTTTGATTTTCCAAATAGTGAGTGTCGGACCCGAGCTTCAAACTAGGTCAAATATTACGTCACACGAGTCTCAACTCCAAGAAATATTACAGTTCAGTTGTGACTCGCGTGACTCGAGTCTAACCCGAGCTCCAATCAAATACACCCTATGAAGTCGTCGCCCTAATCGGCCTCCACGGAGTTTATCCTTTACATATAACTCCATAGAAATAATTCATTAAATTAAGTAATTTCGAAACATGCTAAGAAGCGTGTTCCAATAATTATTTAGTTTAATGGATATATCGTCTTGTATAGAAATTCTATTCTTTAGTTATGTCTCCTGGTAAGTCCAACTGAAGAATATAAATACTTGTTGACTAAGTTTGAGAGTTTAAATTGTATGTCCATTCTAACAGGTAATATTTCTTTAAACAGAGTGTACGATATAGAAAAGGCATTAACTACCAACGAACTGATTACATACAGATAAAGATGTTTTCGGATTGAGAACCAGCGGGATAGGGTGTGAACCTGGTTGGTTGCCTATTGTTTAAAAAATTTACCAAACCATTACGACAAAATTAAATGCCATTTTAAGAAAGATAGGCTACATCCACCTTATTCATATAAAAAGACTGGAAATTTACCACGTTTTATATTTGTGGTAAGCGTTCAATAAAAAAGATCATCCAAACAGCCAAAATTCAACCGCTGTGTTATGCAGATCTTATTGCGAATCTAGAATGTTATAAATGCAAGACTCTGAAGTGATTTTTCAGCAGTATGAAGACTGGATTCCTTCAGCCGCGATTGGTGGTATAATAGCTACTGAACTGATTTTGCTGAAACCACTATTTAAGGTCTTTGCTGTTGTTCCTCTGGGTGCGAAGTCAACAATTTGATGTCGTTTCAATACTCATTGTGTTCAGTGTGGTTATAATATCCGGTCTTATCTTGGGATTGTTATATCTTATTTATAGAGAATTTATCAGACATCAACAGAAACAGTTTAATCATATGAAAGAAAGACTGTTCAGACGTCGACCTGGAATCAGTGGTGTTTCAGGATCCGGTGAAGATTTTGAAACAGAGAGTAGTAATTCAATCGAAGGCTAGAGCAGTCATGCAAGCAGTGTGATGGAATTAAAATCTGTGACATCTGCCGATCAAATTTTATGTTGAGAAATACGATTTTAATCCATACCTTCCCAACTCCATTACAACTTATTGTAATACTGTTTAGATTTTTAACAAGACGTCCAGATCGTCTGAATTAAATTAAATGAAAAGTGTACAGACAAAAGTAATGACAGTGGTACATAACAAGGGTATTATTTACCACAGTACAGTGGCGTAACCTATTTTCGTGCATATAAGGATTCAACACCGAATTTCGTCAAAGTTAAAAAAAGAATTTTTTTTTTATGTCTTAGATGTTTTCTCAGATATTCTACAAAATAATTAAAATTGGTTTGTTTCGATTTTCTTTATGAATCCTTCACTTTGACACATATTCCATGAGCAACCAACTCGGCAACGGCGGCAAAATGCGTTATCTATTTTCGTGTACAATGTTTGATCTATAAATAAATCGAGAAAAACACGTTGTTTGGGTACCCGGTGGTATATATAACTTCTCTTAGTATTTATCTTTAATATCAATTCATTATACCTAGTGATAATTCCTTCAATGAACCATGATTTAAAAAAAAATAGTGACTATGTGTTCCATAGAAATTTTCTGCTGACACGGAATCAGCTTGTTGATCACGTGACTTCATTCGCTGGACTACAGTCTAGCAGACGACACTTGGAATTCCGATTACCGATTATAAGGAAATTCGGCCGATAAAAAATAGTGACGTTTGGTAATAACTGAAATCCGCCATTTTGTATTTGTCAAAGCATTAATTATTGCTTGAAACTACTGGATTCATTCTACTAGCTGATATTGTAGACATAACCCATGTTTATCAAAACAACCAAATGCGGAGGTCACGCGAGGTTGCACATGTAAATTATTAATCATTTTCGGAAATGCACGAAAAATAGGTTAGCACGAAATTAGGTTACTTGACTGTATATTTATTAGCAGTCTAGAAATTATCTGTCGACTTCGCACGTTAGTATGTCTTTGACCGCATGCGACCTGGGCCTGCATGTTTTCAGTCAGTCTTTGTGGGGGTGAGGCTATCCTTGCAGAATTGGGATCAACTGCCTGGATTTTAGGCGACAACTACTGACAACCGCCGGCATCTCGGAGAATCTGATCAATCGCTTGATTTAGTCGAACCAATCATACTACCGACCGCAGAATTGCACGTTGTTTCCACCATCTCTCAGATTTGATGACGTGAGCTGTCGGAATCTTACGAAAATCTTGTCAATTGCGCAGTTGCTTATTTTCGATGAAATGTTTGATATAACTCATAAGTTTCGCTCATACCCTTGATATGAAATGGTATATAATGAAAAAACTAATTATATTGTAAATAAAAATTAAATCAATAAATGATGTACAATAGCTCAACGAACTGCCGCCTATGACGCTTTTTGCCATTTAAATTAGTTTATTATGAAATGAAACTACACAGTGTTGGAGTAAAATCATCATATTTCCAGTCTTTGGTAAATATAGTTTAAATTACTTTTAATTATTTATCATTGTATTCATCGAAATTGAAATGTTGACATATTTTGTTAGCAGTTCTCATCCAATTGTTATAAGAGTATTATATTGTATGAACTTTTTGATTCTTGAACGCATCTCGTACGTAAGATACCATATCATAGAAGATGCGAGCCTATATTTTATAATTTATAAGTTCTATTTATCTTCCGATTTTTTTTTAAGCAACACTACAAAAATTATTACCATGATTTGTAAAGTGATATTTGCTTACTGCTTGTTTCTGGGAGGAGTCTCCAACGGTAAGATGTTTTATTATATCTTTATATTAAACCTAAATTAACACTATCGGTGCCTCAGATTATTTTCCAATCCGATCGACTGGCTTTTTCTTTGTCCAGAGTAAAATAGACCTTTGCAGACTTTGTAATGACTGTTGGAAATTTTTCCTGCAATTCTTTGTAAAGACGGGGAACTTGACCAGCTGTGTTGTTGTACTGAATAACAAAAGGTATAATTTGGAAATCAACTTGGATGTTCATTCCTAAAGGATGCATGGTTTGTAATTTATTTACCTAATAATTTTCGCGAATGAGTTGAATTTTCTGTGTATCAATGCCAGGTTGTTTGTATATCTGTTCAATGGGAATAATTTTCAGGTTGGTGATCGGGTTGATTGCAGTATTTTGAAACGGTTTTATAAATTTTTGTTGATGTCAGACTTATGATGATTGAAACGGACCCTTTTTTGTCTCCCCAACGTATTGTTCGTCACATTTTGTGCAAGAAATGAGATAAATGATATTTTTGCTATTGGAACTGAGTTTTTCGTTTACTTGAAATATGGAATCTGTGCGTCTATTTCGGAAAGAATTTGTTGGTAAAATGAAGGGACAGGTTTGACTGCGAGGGTTGTTACAAGGATAAACTGAAGAATTTGGTATTGGCAAAAGAATCGAATTATTTTTAGCAGAGATTTCAGCAACTGTTGAGCTTTTTATACCTCTCAAGAACCTTCTAGAGTATCCCCGTTTGCGCAATGTTTGGAAAACCATCGAACAAGCCTCCTCGAAGTCCGTCTTGCGCGTTTTTTACTTCAGTGAAATCTCAAGATCTGCGACTTTATAATGCCAGAAAAGGTTTGATTGTCGTTTGATTGATAAATATGATTACTATTTGCAGGTTTGGTGTGCAATAATAGAGAAATAACACGAGATTTGCCAGGCGCTGCAATAACACCAGCTGTTTGGCATGCATCTGTAGAAACAAGCGTGCAAACACCCAATAGAAGCGAGTGTGAAAGAAGATGTGAAGAAGACGAAGATTGTAATTTCATAAGTTACTATATCAGCTGTACCAATAATTGTTTCTATTTGAAGTCTGTGATCGAAATATTTTTTAAAGCGGGTGAAGAAGATTGTCAACTCGCATGCCTTCAACAAGATGATCCGCCCTGTATGTCGGTGGTGTATTGGAGTGGTACATGTTTCATACTCTCCAAAGTATTTTCTGAAATAGAACCAATCAATAATATCAGGGTGCGTTACTCAGAAGCTGCTGCTGTAGAAATGTAAGAAAAGGACACGGCCGTCAAACACATACATATAGTTGAAGTTGTAGAATAAAAATCTCAATTTTGCCTTTGCGTTTTAAAAACTTTAAATGTAGGAAGACACCATTTCTTATACTTAAAAGATAAATTGAAATTTTAAATTTGGCCAAAATGAGTCTGTGTTCATAAGTGAGTGGACTTTTTTTGGTAACTATAGTTATATACAACAGAATTCCTCTATAATCCAATTAATCCATCCAACATAATAATCATAGAGTTATGAATATAAGATATTATATAACTTTGGTAATAATGGTAATAATTCATTATATATTAAACTAAGTACTTTTGAAACATGCTTAAAAGCGTGTTCCAATAATTATATAGTTTAATGGATATATCGTCTTGTATAGAAATTCTATTCTTGAGTTATGACTCCTGGTAAGTCCATCTGATGAATATATACACTTGTTGACTAAGTTTGAGAGTTTAAATTGTATGTCCATTCTAACAGGTAATATTCCTTTAAACAGAGTGTACGATTAGAAAAGGTATCAACTACAAACGATCTGATTAAATACAGATATAGATGTTTTCGGGTTGAGAACCAGCAGGATAGGGTGTGAACTTGGTTGGTTGACTATTGTTTTAAAATTTACAAAATCATTACGACGCGGGACATTTAAAATTAAATGTAATGGTTTGTCACTTTTAGAAAGATAGGCTACCAACCGATCATATGCACTTTTATCATATAAAAAGACTGGGAATTTATCGCGTTCTGTATTTGTGGTTAGCGACCAAACAACCAAAATGGGAAAATAATCTGGAATGAGTACAATGTGGTTTTGAAGTCACCCTGAGAGGAGCCACCACCAAATCTTTTTTAGAATTGTACTCAGGGGAAATATTTTGAAAATCCTGCTTTTATGTAATTTGAAATTGAAAGAGTATCAATTCGATATTAATACATTTCTTTAATGTAAAAAAATTCTATTCAACCCAACACCACCGCCCCAACCCTCACCACGATCACCACCACGACCTATCCACCACCCTTTGAAGCCACTGCTGAATAGCATAGTTAGTATGCACTATTCCATCTGATTATGCCCTCGCCAATGTATTTTATAGTCGCCGAATTTTGAGCCTTTTGTGAACCTACTACATTTTCGTACAAAATGAAATTATAACTGAGCATTTTCAAAGTTTTATCCCGGGCCTCTTGGCATCCATCTGCTTTCAGTACTGTCTGTGCCTTTGATCCTACTAAAGAAAGTCGTGTGTGAAATGTAGAAAAGTTTGTAAAGTGACGTTGAACAGGACCGTCGATAGACACTCGCTCCAGAGTGCAGTCAAGTGAAACGGATTTTCCTTTGTTTAAAAGTTTTGATCGCGCCATTTTCAAACTCAAATCAAATGTTTTTATATATGACTTTTACTGTTTTAATGGATTATATCAGGTTTATTTTAACATTACATTATTTGGTGAAACTAGATTATAGCAGATTTTATACCAGGAATTATAAAGGGACATATCAGATTTACTTGTCGATTTTTTTGCGTTTTTCTTCTATTTTTGGATACACAGTACCTTTAAATGGATCCAACAATAAGTGGTGTATAGGCCTTTTCACGATAACGTACCGCCCCCTGCTCGCGCATGCGCACAAACACCTATGAGTGGCTAGCAACACGGATGTAAACAAACGCACGTCAAAATGGTGAAAACCTGCTGTGTTTACAAGTGTCATAACAGGTTTAATGTTGAAGCTAAGTCCAGAGGCATAAGTTTTTTCCGTTTTCCGAAGAATAAAAGACAGCGCAATGCTTGGATCAAAGCCGTGAATAGAAAGGACTGGCTACCGAACAATAATACTTGGATTTGCTCGGAACATTTTCTTGATGGCTGGCATGGTTATGAACCTACCGATGGTAATTATTCTCCTACCATTTTTGCTTACAAAGAGACGGAGAAGAACGTGTCGCAGGTTACGAGAGAATCTAGACATCTAGTTCGTGAAAACTCGCTGGTTAGTTTCTTTTTGTATTTTGAAGAAAAAAAAAGGGTGAAAATAATCAAGACAATCTCTGAATCTGTTAAAAATCATCATCATTTACAATTATGATTAATGGCTTGTAGGCCCTAGCCTATTACATGTAGCCTATTGATTGATGTCTATTTATAATCTAAATGTAGATCTAGTACTATTAGGGGGGTTTCAACCCTTGGAAATATCAAATATGCATTATATGGCAACTATCATTTCCACTAACCACAGCAACCTGCCCATTTACAATTTTGATATGTTTCTGATATCTTACCTGATAGTCAATCTGTAATTAAATCCGAATATTTCCATATTGTGCATATTGACCTGCTTCGCATATATTTTCTATGAATTTTAATAAAATTTTTAGGAAACCTTACATGCAGAGAAATTAGTTAGACAACAGTAGAGATAAAACAACAGGTATCATTATTCCACCACTCATCCTACTGTATGGAGGTAGAAGAAAATCCTGGTAATGATGAGATGTGTGATTTAGATGTCATGGATTCAGATGTTGAACTTCCAAGTTTGAAGAAAACAGTTGGTAAATATATTTATTCAACTTTAATACTTAATTTCACTGTTTTTTAAAATTATTAATGTTTGGTAAAAACTCAATTAAGTTGTGATGATAAGCCTGATTAAGCAGATATGTGGTGTAAAGATTTAAGTTGCTTGCACCCTCACTGTGTGCTGTATATATTTCAGGTACACAGTGTGATACTGGAGTGATAATAGAGGAGAACAACAGGTTAAAAGAAGAATTGAAAGCTGCAAGAATGGAACTGGAAAAAGAAAAGTGGAGTGTTTCGAAAATTGCTGACAATGATGGTCTTACAAAGTTTTATACAGGTCTTCCAACTTTTGATATTTTTTTATGGCTTTTTACTTATCTTCAGGATAAATGTTCTAGGATGTCTTATTGGACAGGTGAAAGTAACATATCTAATGACCGAATACGTGTCCACACTACATTTTTAAAACCCATTGATCAATTTTTAGCTGTTTTAATGCGAAATCGTTTAGGTCTTTTTGTTCAAGATATTTCAGACAGATTTAATATTGCTGTTGGAACTTTTTCTAAATATTATTAAACATGGATTTGCCTTTTACACAAAGAATTACATTTTTTAAACCCATTTCCAAGTAGAGATATTGTCCAAAGAACAATGCCCAGTCAATTTCGCATTAAATATCCCAATACATGTATTATCATTGATTGTACAGAAATTTTTATACAAAGACCTTCAAGTCTCACATCACAAACGTCGACTTTTTCAAATTATAAGCACCATAATACGATGAAATTTTTAGTCGGTATAACACAATCAGGTGTAATTTCTTGTTTCTGAAGGGTGGGGAGGACGTGTGTCAGATCGACAGATAACTGAAGAGTCTGGTCTTTTAGACATGTTAGATACAGGGGATTCTGTAATGGCAGACAAGGGTTTTACTATCACTATTTATGATTGGTTAAAACTCATAATTATATGCAATAAGAACAAAATGATATGATTAATAATACATGATAATTCATTAGAAACACCAATTAATCAAATAGTTCGCTTAATTTGACACTAAAAAAATAAGCAAACCCATCTTTAAAGGAATATTACCTCTTAAAATGAATATAAATTTTAAATATTTCTCAAACTTGGCCTATAAGAGTATACATTCATCAGTGGACTTGCCTTGTGTCATAAATATACAACAAAACCCCTGTATAATCTGATAATCCATAAAACTAATGCTTCAGTAATGACTAAATTTTATTTTAATCAGATTAAAGAGATCCTGTTGTGTATTTATGACACAAGGCAAGTCTACTGATGAATGTATACTCTTATTGTCCAAGTTTGAGAACTATTTAAAAGTTATATTCATTTTAAGAGGTAATATTCCTTTAAAGAAAGGTTTGCTTATTTTTTTTGTCTTATTGGCCAAGTTTGATAATTTAGATTTACAGATCATTCTAAGACGTAATATTTCTTTATAGAGGCTACTAGTCGTAGCTACTAATATTTTCATTCCTATTCTGGTTCATAATGATTAAAATAGTTCATAGACATTGTTATTATTTGATTGATATTTAATTTAAAGATACTGGATACGTTATGTACAAATATAAATGAAATAAATGCCAAAAGTGTAGAAAAAATTTAATGTCTACTTCTATTCCAAATACCTAGCTGTCAATTCAGAACATGAGGTTTTCTAAACTTTTGGTGTATTGGGAGACACAAATAGCATTGATTTTCACCATTCCAATTTTTAATCAGTTTTTGACAATGCCACTCAACCTAAGCATTTTATTAGCAGCTTTTGCGATAGTAACATCATAAAACTCTTAATTGTAGTGGAACTTTAAGAACCACAGATATCTGATTGGAATGGTGCAAATCGATGTTATCAGTGTGTCCAATACACCCAAACAGCTTAGAATATCTCTGTACAAGCCCAGAAATTAGCAAAATCTGATGTTACTTGTAATAAAAAGGGTAAATATGCTCCATGTAAAATGCAAGTAGTTTAGGCATCATTTTAGTGACATAGCTGGCATCAAAGTTTATCCTGTCAATGCATATGTTGTTTTTTTCTGCCTCTGTCCAGACTACAAAATCACACCATGGTAAACCCATTATTGCCATTTCTCCCTGTACCTGAGCATAATATTTATGGGAATGTCTAAGTCTTTGCCCTGTGTTTGTATTTTCAAGACAGAAAGCTTTGTCTCCCATGGTCATTATCTCTGGAATCTCTTTTTTATTGATTAGAGTACCCTTTAAAGAATATGGACATTTAATTTCCAGTACACCTACATTATCCCCTTCAGTTACTTTGCCATCACTGGACGCACCCAGAAAGGCATGGCTTCCACATAGAGTCAGACCAGTTGGTTGGATTTCAAAGACTTTATGAATGGCTTTCTTAATCTTCTTGTACTGCTCTCTGGCTTGACCTTCCTTGTCAATTCCCCACTGCACAGCTGCAGGCAGGTTTGTGTACCTAAATAGAAGATAAATGGTTATGAATGACTTGCCATTAAATATTCAATATTTAAATATTGGTTTCAATAGCATTATTAGTGTGTAAACGCAATTGACCACTTGATAAACAGAATTGTGTATATGCTAAAGGCTTGAATTTAACAATTGGGGTCTAGTCTACGAAGGAATAAAATGTGATAATGTAAGTTTAAGGAAATTACTGTGATGAATGTAATGCTATATAAAAATGAACCTAATGCAAAAACAGAAACCCATATGTATATAGATCCAAAATGGCTACCACTTGACAATGAAATTGGCCAATATAACCTATTAACAAAATAAACAACAAAAAGAGAAATACCAAATAAGATTAACTTACCAAATATACTAATAAATCCTTAGACACAATGATATCCAAATTGAAATGAAAAATATGAATTTAAATCATTGAAGGATCTTTCTATATTTCAATAAGGGAGTTGAAACACCTTCCACTTTGAAATATATAAAATCAATAAACACAAAACTAGAGGAAATAGTCACAATCCAGGGGTAACCAATATACACACAGGTGAAACTAAGGACAGACCAATGAAGAGAAAGAAAAAGATGAGAAGAAATAAGCATGAGTGAGTGAAGAAAGGAAGAGTTCACTCAGTTGATCTGAAATTGAAAAGTTATTACAGTATGTTAGTAAAAATAATATCTGGCTAAAATAAATAATATTTACAATTAAAATATATTGTCTCTATTACATATTCCCCCCGTTTAAGAAACGTTGTTCACAACATTTGTTATTCTAAGTATTAAATTCCTCAGGGAATAATGACTTACACAGGGTGGGTAGCATCTCCAAAACCACTCGCAACCTGTCAGGAGCTAAAGTTGAAAAATCTGCAGGTAACAAGGAACGTGCTAACTCTGTCCTCCTTTGGTAGAAAAGTTAACTTGTTGCTGAGACAGGATATATTCACCCCTTTGAACCCATTGAGGAGGTTGTCTCAATCGAGTTGGTCGTACTTCAAGTTCAGCTGTTGGTACAGGTGGTAATTCCGATTCAGTAATATCATTTTCAGGGTTAACAGGAGCTAAATCTTCCATAATGTTATCACCAGGAGCGTTATCTTTGGAAGGTTCTGTAATTATATCTGTTGGTTGCTCAATTGCACGGAATTAATCTCTTGGTAAAGCTAAAGTAGTCCTACCTGATAAATCTTCCATTGATTCGATTCGAGATGAGTTTTCCAATCCTGGTGATTCTGGCCTCTCTAATTCACCTTGCTGTGCTTCTTGAACATCAGGAACTGGAAATACCTCATCATCCTCATTTTCACCAGCAACTTCTGTGGGGCTAGCAGCAGGCAAGAAACTTACCCGATCCACAACGTAATCTGGTTCATCTACACTTTTATCAGTGTCTGATTCATCATCTGTAACTTGTGCATTCTGTCTAGTTGTCCTGTTTGGTCTGGTTGTTCTTTCTTGTGTAGTGGTGTTAGTTGGCAGATCTGGAATAGTACCTATAGCGAGTACGTGATTTCGGTGCAACGTTCTTTTCCTACCTGTTCCATCAGCAGCGATTACAGCATACACAGGTATGTTTGGATTTGGTTGGTTTAAAATCCGATATTGCTTTTCCTCCCACTTGTCTGAAATCTTATGCCTTCCCTCAAACGCTACTTTTCTCACGAGAACAATATCATCAGGTTCCAATTGGTTACTCCTGGCTCTCAAATTATATTTATAATACCCTTCTTGCCTCTTTTGAGCTTTGGCAACTTCTTCTGATGCAGCTGCATATTTATTAAGCGTGTTCAAGTTTTGACTTCAGTTGATCGATGTAGGTTTTCGGATTTCTGATATCTTTGTCACCATCAACTAAACCAAGTACTACGTCTATGGCTAAGGTAGGCTTTCTTCCAAACATGAGTTCAAAAGGTGAGTAGTTGGTAGTTGAGTGCTTGGTACAGTTGTATGCATGAACCAATGGACCAATGTAAGTCTTCCAATCTGACTTTTGCTCTGGGTAAAGAGTTCCCAACATGTTGAGTAAAGTCCTATTGAAGCGCTCACATTGACCATTGCCCTGAGGATGGTAAGGGGTGGTCCTTGATTTCTCCATACCAGTGATTCGACAAAGTTCCTTAATGAGTTTCCCTTCAAACTGTGCACCTTGGTCAGTATGAATCCTTTTCGGGATACCATAGTGAACCATGAAAGACTCAAAAAGTACCTTAGCCGTCACACTAGCTGAAGTATTCCGGACTGGGTATGCCTGTGCGTAACGAGTGAGATGATCGGTAACAACCAGGATATTGCTATATCCACCTTTACACTCTTCCACACAGACATAGTCCATGCATACTAACTCCATAGGTTGACTGGAAGAGATACCTAGCAATGGGCATGTGGATGGTGGTGTCTTTCTTTTGAGGCATCTGTTATATCTCTTAATGTATTCCTCTATATCACTCGTCATCTTTGGCCAGTATAATCTGTCCTTGGCCAAACTTGTAGTCCTCTCACGACCGGGATGACCTACATCATCATGTATCCCTTTAATGGCTCTACTTCGAAACGCTGTTGGCAACACCAAACGAACTTCTTCGATACCTTCACACTCTGTCCGTCTAAATAGGGCTCCGGAACGTAGAACGAAGTGTCTATACTCCCTGTTTAAGATGGCTTCCTCTAGTGAAGTAGGTTTTCGTTGTGGTACCCTGTTGTGCTCACTATTATCAATTTCAATCTTCAACAATGGGTCTTCCTGTTGCTCCTTTCTCCAGTTGGTAACATTGACAATAGATGATGATTCTGGTATTAAAGCTTGCTGAGACATGCTAACTGTATGCACATATCCATCGTCTACTTCGATATTCTTGATGGCTTGCACAAGATCTTCCCTTAACTCAGTAAAATTCGCTTCTGTGGCCACACTCCCAAGACGACTAAGTGAGTCTGCATCCAAATTCTTTCGTCCAGGTCGATATTTAATCGAAAAATTATAACCAGCAAGTGCTGCTAACCATCTGTGACCAGTTGCGTCAAGTTTGGCTGTTGTCAAAATGTATGTGAGTGGGTTGTTGTCTGTATATACTGCAAACTTGTTGTTGTAAAGGTACTGGTGAAACTTTTTGGTCACTGCCCATTTCAGTGCAAGAAACTCCAACTTGTGCGCTGGATAATTTCGCTCTGACTTGGATAAAGACCTGCTTGCATATGCTATAACACGGTCTTGGTTGTCCTGCTCCTGATATAACACAGCTCCCAGACCACGTCCACTGGCGTCTGTATGGAGTACAAATGGCTTCCGAAAGTCTGCATACGCCAATATTGGTGGATTGACAAGACATTGACGAAGTGTGTTAAATGCAGATTCCTGAGTTTCCCCCCAGTGCCAATCTTTGGATGATGCTGAACCACGTTTCTTTTTGGTAGGACCTCCAACTAACAACTCATTCAAATCCTTGGCGATCTACGAGAAATCCTTAATATATCGTCTGTAATAGCCGACAAATCCGAGGAATCCGGAATCACTATTTGTTGGTCGAGGCCACTTGGCAACTTTCGCGGTTTTAGAAGGATCTGTTTCTACTCCATTTGCTGAAACGCTATGTCCAAGATATTTCACCTTTTCTTGAAAGAAATTGCATTTCTTTGGGGATAATTTTAAACCATGCTGGTATAGTCTTGAAAACACCAAAGACATTCTTTCCATATGTTCTTCATAGTTCTTACTGAAGATTATTAAATCGTCGATAAATATGGTGCATATCTTTAGGTTTAGATCTCCCAAACAATCCTCCATTAAACGTTGGTAGGTAGCGGGTGCATTCGTAAACCCAAATGGCATTCTATTATACTCGTAAAACCCGAGTGGTCCAACAGTAAATGCTGATTTGGGTTTATCCTCCTCCTTTATGCCAATTTGGTAATACCCAGACTTCATGTCTAATACAGAAAAGTATTGGGCACCTGACAGATGATCAATTAATTCATCAACCCGTGGTAGTGCATAAGCATCTCTGAGTGTCTTCTTATTGAGTAGTCGGTAGTCCACACACATCCTTAATGACATATCTTTCTTCCTGGCTGGCTAATACTATGGGAGAGGCATATGGGCTGTGTCTTCGGCGTATAATACCTCCATCAAGTAAATTCTGAAGATGTTGTTTCACCTCATCATATTATATATTGTGGGCGACATCAATTCTAGATGTGGTGAAGAACAGGATTTCATTGCAGGAGTAGATGGTATACCACCGAGGGATATCTTAGACTACACAAGTAACGCATATGGCGAAAAACTGATTGACTTTTTGACAAGTTGCAACATGTGTATGTTAAATGGACGAGTTTATAGTGAAAATGGCTCAAATAACTTTTCATGTGTATCAAAATGGGACAAGTCTGTCGTTGACTATGCATTAACAGCAAACGAACAGTTATCTAGGTGTAAATCGTGCAACATATTTCTCATGTCAGACGTTATAAACCGAAGCGGGATACAATTTGAAAAATCGGTGCCAGACCATGGGCCCATCATGTGGACAATAGATGTACAAAGTCTCGATTCGGAGACACGTATCAATAAAACAGTCAGTAATAATAATTGGTATGACACGAGAAAGATACCTAATGATTTTCTTAAAACGGCAGAAGCTTTGACCGAACGGATTAATGATCTTGAAACGGATCTGAACGAAACAAAAAACATAAACACAGCATATGCTAAGTTTATATAGATTATAGAAACAGAGTTACATAATCGTGACGTGCCATTTCGGAAGATACCGTCCGGACCAGCTACAACAAAAAGAGGGAAGAGTTTAAGTAAGCCGTATTGGAACGAGGATCTATCTGCTCTATGGGACATTGTATGTGAAAAAGAGAAGGCATGGTTAAACTGCACTGAGCATTGCTCACGGAGGAAACTTCGAACAGAATTCTGTGAGAAAAGAAAAACTTTTGATAAGATCGTAGATCGTAGATATAAACCTCAATACCAAGTACAACAACAGGGCATGCTTATCTCAACGTATGGTAATTCAAATAAGAGAGACTTTTGGAAACAGTTTGGAAAAATCGGAATCGCTAACGATAGGGGAAATGGAATTCCATTAAAAATAGAAACTGAAAACGGATTTATTTTAGATCATGGAGCTGTTCTAGATAGGTGGAAAACCGACTACAACAATTTGCTGAACGTACCATTAAGCGACGACTTTGATGCTGCACACTTGGAGGATATAAAAAACGGTAGGCACATATTTTTGGAACAAGACTGTAAATCTCTAAACGAGAGAATAGGCGAGCACGAGGTCCGAAAATCCGTATATCATATGAAATTAGGAAAATCTGCAGGAATAGACTATATAGTCAGTGAGTGCATCCGCAACGAAACGTGTATAGTTTTACTACACAATATTATAAATAAGTGCTTTGAAACTGGTAAAGTTCCGGACCTGTGGCTTAAAGGTATAATCAATCCGATCCCTAAGAACGATATTGGAAAGAAATGGGACCCACTGTCATATAGGGGAATAATTTTATTATCTATCCCAAGCAAAGTATATATACACACATTCTGGATACAAGATTGTCACAGTGGTTAGAGGATAATGACGTCCTGGCAGATGAACCTGTGGCTTAAAGGTATAATCAATCCGATCCCTAAGAACGATATTGGAAAGAAATGGGACCCACTGTCATATAGGGGAATAATTTTATTAACTATCCCAAGCAAAGTATATATACACACATTCTGGATACAAGATTGTCACAGTGGTTAGAGGATAATGACGTCCTGGCAGATGAACAAAACGGTTTTCGTAAAGAAAGAAATTGTGTCGACCATATTTATGTATTGAACAGTATTATAAACAATAGAAAATCAGCCAAACAGCAAACATTTGCCTGCTTTGTTGATTGCAAAAAAGCTTTCGATGGTTTGAATAGATCCTGTTTGTTGTTCAAATTAAAAACTCTAGGTATTCGTGGTAAATTTTTAGATAGTATTGGTAGGGAAGGGGTGGTGTCGAGACAAATTTCCAATGATACAGTTTATTAGTTTATGTATGTACAGTCAAGTAACCTAATTTCGTGGAAACCTATTATTCGTGGATTTTCGGAAATGATTAATAATTTACGTGAGCGACCTTGCGCGACCTCCGCATTAGTTTGTTGTAATAAACATGGGTTTTCTGTACAATATCAGCTAGTAGAATGAATCCAGTAATTTCAAGCAAGGTAAAATGTATTAATGTATACTTTGACAAATACAAAATGGCGGAGTTCACTTATTACCAAACGTCACCATATTTTATTGGCCGAATTTCATTATAATCCCGTGCGGTAATTCCAAGTGTCGTCTACTAGAATATAATCCAACGAATGAAGTCACGTGATCAACTAGCGGATTCCGTGTCAGCAGAAAATTTCTATGGAACACAAAGTGGACCATATTCTTATGTTGTTTCAGTGACTTTTAGCAATAAATCACACTACGTATCTTATTTTGTCAGTCACTATTTTTTTTTAAATCGTGGTTCTTTGAAAGAATTGTCACTAGTTATAATGAATTGATATTAAAGATAAATTCTAAGAGAAGTTAATTATACCACCCGGTATCCATACAACGTGTTTTTCTAGACTTATTTATAGATCAAACATTGTACACGAAAACAGGTGACACATTCTGCCGCCGTTGCCGAGTTGGTTGCTCATGAAATATGGGTCAAAGTGAAGGATTCATTAAGAAAATCGAAATAAACCAATTATAATTATTTTGTAGAATATCTGAGGAAACATCTAAGACATAAAAATTTGTTTTCGTTTTTTTAACTTTGACGAAATTTGGTGTTGAATCCTTATATCCACGAAAATAGGTTACACCACTGTACTAATTCGAACTATGTATTCTGAAATGTATAAAGAATAAATATACGTGAGATAATAAATGTAGTTACTTCCCTTAGTTTTCTTAAGGCTACTGACAAATATTGTATGGGACATAACTCCTGCTTGACAATAATGAATGCAACAAACAAAATACGCTAAGCAAATCTGACCGTTACCTAACATAACCTATATAATTACAATTAATAATGAAAAGAAGGGTAGGAGAACGCGCAACGCACTTTCGACTCGATAAGTTGCTCTACATCGCGATATTCTAAGACAAATACAAAAAAGAACGTATGCATAATATAAACGACCGTTATAAAGCTAATCTTAAAAGTACCTGAAGTGTTTTGTCCAAAATTAAGTTAATCATAATAAAACAGGAAAGGTTTCTCAAAATGTTTCCATTTAAAATGGCGTGCTCGGAAACAAGGGCGAATAACTCTAACAAGCACGTGGTCGCATTACAAATGCCTCAGACCACAACTTATGCAAATAAAAGTATCAACTGAAATTCAAAACAAGTATAGTATCACTTTATGAAAATGTGTCTTGTTCTGTTAAAGTGAACTCTTCATTAACTGATTGGTTTCAAGTAACTCAAGGTGTCAAACAGGGCTGTGTTTTATCACCAACATTATTTTCTATATATGTAAATGATTTAGTAAAGGAATTGAATGCTATTGAATGTGGTATAGATATCGATGGTAAACTGATCTCTGCATTATTATACGCAGACGATATAGTTCTTTTAGCACCGGATGAAACCAAACTACAACGACTGTTAGACGTATTAAGCAATTGGTGTCCTAAGTGGAGGTTAGTCATATATGAAGATAAAACTAAAATTGTCCATTTCCGTAATCCTAGTGTCATCAGGTGCACTGTTAAATTCAATTGTGATAACTTAAATATCGCATACACCAGTGAATATAAATACTTAGGTATATGGCTCAATGAATTCTGTGACTACTCATTTAGTGCTAAAAAACTCGCAAAAATCATGCAAATAGGGCATTAGCTGTGATAAAAACAAAGTTCACTCAATTTGTTGGCTTTAATTTGAATGTATATAATAAGTTGTATGAAGCCCTTGTATTACCTATCCTTACATATGCATCTTGAATATGGGGAATCAATACCCATAGATGTATTAATGTGCTTAACAATAATGCTTGCAAATTTTTCTTAGGTTTAACCAAACGGAGCAGCAACATAGCATCTCGGGGGATATGGGCTGGCTACAGGGGGATACCATTCTGAAAATAGAACTATTTCGCTACTGGAATAGAATTTAACTAAAGGGAAGTAACTTATGTAAAGATGTGCATAAGTGGAGTATTAGGCGTAAAACGTCATGGGATTACCGGTTTTGAAGTTAGATAAGGAGCTCCATGTTTTAGTTATTGAAAATGATATTGCCTGCCTCAATAATGTTAAAACAAAGTTATCAGAAAAGGACATAGATCATTGGTCACAGAGCTTAAGGGATGATAACACTTGTATAAATGGCAATATATTAAGATCATATCGTAAATATAAAATATTGTTTAGTACGGAACCTTATGTTCAAGTTAAGAATAGGTCGGTCACACAGACGAATTTGTCAAAATTAAGAGCGGGATCACTTCCACTAAGAATAGAAACTGGGCGTTTTTTAAAACCACCCGAGCACGTGTGTGAAAGAATATGTATATTTTGTAATGATAGACAAGTTGAGGATGAAGAACATTTTGTTTTTAATTGTGATTTTTATAACCATATAAGACAATCAATATGTACCAATATGTACCTGCCAAATTAAACCAACTTTTAACCTGTATGATAATGTAAATAACATTTTACCTCATTTTTCATCTTGTATATATAGAATTTTTGAACAGAGGAAAAATGCTCTTTTAACCTAAACGTTTACATATTTATTTGCATTTTATGGGTCTCACTTTTATTGCTAGTTTTCATTTTTTTAACCTATACTGTTGAATGTTTTAATTGTAATGTATAGTGTCTCACAAGCCGTTACCGGCTGGCATCTTAATAATTTTGTTTTTATGAATTTGTGCAATTTATTTTTGTAAAGATGGTGACACTGATTAAATAAATTATTATTAATGTTATTATTATTTCGTATAACAGTAAATTATCCACTCATTGTTCTTCTCTATTGACCAAGTCTGAAGTGTTTCCTTTAGTTTTATCAACAACTTAAAGTGACATATTCACAAATTAACATTACTAATAGGTTTTAGCTTTGTCCTTGGTATGTTGACGTCATTTTCGTTAATCATGAAATAGGCCTATAAATTCAGTCATGATCGTGAAACTGACGTGGCAATATTGGTAAATACTCTTGCTTTTATTTTTGAAGAGACAAAAGCATTGAATTAAATTGCCGAATACTCTTTACTACCTACTTACTAGGTGTACGTGCCCGGGATGTATTTGAGAGGGGTCATTATAATCTGTTTTAATATTGCCCGAAAATAACTATTCTCCCTCAAATGTTTCACACTGGAAAACAAGACTCTACTTTCAGTCCATTAAAATTTTTGTTTTGGTATACTACTTGGGAGATGACAAAAAAATTAAAATTTTTAGGTCTTTGTTTATCATTGCCTGGTGTTCTACTATAATTTAATATATCTATAAACCTAATCAATAATCCATTAAACTTTTGAAACACGCTTAGAAACATTTTTTTCAATAATATTTAGTTTAATGGATATATCGTCTTAGAGATTCTATCCTTTAGTTTTGGTACCGTTTAAGTCCAACTGATGAATATATACACTCATTGACCAAGAAATAAAAAAATAATGTAACTGTAACACAAGAGATCACTGAAATCATGATATCCCTTTAATAACCAGTAATCTCGATAATAAAATATTGTTATCTCTTATTCTGAATGGGGTTGATAATACTAATATAGAATACATTGAATCATAGCTAGCAGGAAACAAAGACAGTGAAAGTTACAGAAATATTAAAGACTGGATTATTTGTGAAATGTTGTACAAATTATTCTTCTTCTTCAATTTATTTGGAGACTGGAGTATATAAATTGGAGATTATAACAATCTGTACTTTGAAAGAGTACCATAGTATATGTCAAACATTGGTGGTGTTCGATGACCAGATATAGTGAGGTTATGTTTCAAAGGAGACGAAATTAACTGTTAACCCTATTGCTGTTGGTAGTAATTTTGTTGAAACCACTATTTAAGGTCGTTGCTGTTATTCCCCTTGATGCGAAGTCAACAATTTGAGGTCGTTTCAATTCGTTTAATTTTGTTCTAAGACGTTATGAGAAGAATATTATTGTTTCAGACAGAAGACGATACCTAAGAAACGAGATAATGGTGTCTAGAATACATTATACAGCGGTCAATTACATACTCATTGTGTTCAGTGTGGTTATAATATCCGGTCTTATCTTGGGATTGTTATATCTTATTTATAGAGAATTTATCAGACATCAACAGAAACAGTTTAATCATATGAAAGAAAGGCTGTTCAGACGTCGACCTGGAATCAGTGGTGTTTCAGGATCCGGTGAAGATATTGAAACAGATAGTAGTAATTCAATCGAAGGTCATGCAAGCAGTGTGATGGAATTAAAATCTGTGACATCTGCCGATCAAATTTTATGTTGAGAAATACGATTTTAATCCGTACCTTCCCAACTCCATTACAACTTATTGTAATACTGTTTAGATTTTTAACAAGACGTCCAGATCGTCTGAATTAAATTAAATGAAAAGTGTACAGACAAAAGTAATGACAGTGGTACATAACAAGGGTATTATTTACCACCCCTGAACCAACGACCGAATTCATTACCAACTTATTGTAATACTGTTTAGATTTTTAACAAGACGTCCAGATCGTCTGAATTAAATTAAATGAAAAATGTACAGAAAAAAGTAATGACAGTGGTACATACCAAGGGTATTATTTACCACCCCCGAACCAACGACCTAATTCATTACCTATTTCAATACGTCACAAAATCTATAATATCTGATAAATGTTAAAGAATTTTACTATCAGTCCAGAAATTATCTGTCGACTTCGCACCTTAGTTTGTCTTTAACCGCATGCGACCTGGGCCCTGTTTGTTTTCAGCCAGTCTGTGTGGGAGTGAGGCCACCCTTGCAGAATTGGGATCAACTGAATTTTAGGCGACTACTGCCGACAACCGTCGGCATCTCGGAGAGTTCGATCAATCGCTGGATTTAGTCGGACCAATCATACTAATCGACCGCAGAATTGCACGTTGTTTCCACCATCTCTCAGATTTGATGACGTGAGCTGTCGGAATCTCACGAAAATCTTGTCGATTGCGCAGTTGTTTAATTTCGATGAAATGTTTGATAAAAGTGTTTCGACCTTTGAGATAAAATGGTAATGAAAAAACTAATTATATAACAGTAAATTATCACAATTCCAGTATTTTGGTTAATATAGTTTAAATAACCTTTAATCATTTATTATTTTATTCATCCAAATTGAAATGTTGAACGTACAGAGTTTGAAGAAATCACAAGACCCAATTTCTTTATTACGTCCATACCAATAAGGGCGGTATCACCGTATTTAATAAATACAGTCACAGTCAATAGCAGCTTGCATACATCCAACAACATCAATAGCATTTCCTTGATATGATGTTAAATTCATAACAGGTTTAGAAAGTAAAGCAGTAGAGAAATGCTGTTGGTAAATTTTATGAGGCAAAGTTGTAACTACCGAACCTGTATCGAGCAACATATTTACGTCAGATGATTCCCCAGTAGGTGTAGAAATATGAAACATACGATATAATTTAGTATTAGCAGCAATATTGACCGTAAATATGAAAACAGGATCCGTAACTGAATCTTCCATCTGAATTTGACACTCATTTCTTACAGTGTGTACATTACTGTGATCACGAGTTTTTACAGTGTATTGTTTACCTTGATCTGTTTCGCACGTGTATAATTCTTCACTAGAACTTGAACTGTCAATTGTATACACCGAATCTTTTTCACGTTCGGACATACAAACTTTTGCAAAATGACCATTTTTACCGCATTTTGAACAAATAACACCTTTTGCTGGGCAATCGGTAGAATTCGCGAGATGTTTTGGGGATCCACATCTGTAGCAAGTTTTCTTTTCAGATTTAGACGCATTCTGTACAGTGGCATCATAAGCCAACTCTTTTCCGATTTCCAACTGTCGAGGGAACTTTACCGTGCACAGCCAATCGACAACCCTTTTCATTGTTTTCAGCCTTGTGCTTTGATATTGCTTTAAGTGTGAACGCAGCATTAGAAACACAAATAATCATGATGTTTTCTGTCCTAATAAATGAAATACACAAAGCATGAGATATACTGGACAGTAAAATAAAAGTATGTGGGTTTTGGGGTATTGAATGTCGTTTGATTAAGTTACTATATAATTGTGTCTATTTTAGAGTCTAAAATTTTTATAAGGGATGAAGAAGATTGTCAACTCGCATGCCTTCAACAAGTTGATCCGCCCTGTGTGCTAAAAATTGAACGCGTTTTCAAGAACAAGGGCAATAACCTATACTAAATATTTTTCGATTCTTCTGATTTTCAATATGGGAAAGAGACAAAATAACAAAGGGAGATATTGGAAAGGGGTGAAACGGTTTCTTGATAACTATAGTTATCATATTATATACAATAGAATTCCTCTATATTCCAATAAATCCATCAAACATAATATTCATAGAGTTATGAATATAACATATTTTAAACCTAAATTGCTTTCCAATAGTATGAGTGGCAGTCATACTTTAGACGCCAATAGTGTAATTAGCACTCCAATAGTTTTTTAGGGCGCCAATAGTGAAATTAGGGCTGCAATAGTGAAATTAGGGCTCCAATAGTGAAATTAGGGCTGCAATAGTGAAATTAGAAGTCCTAAAAGTGAAACACTAACAAACGACACTTTGGATTTTATTCTAAATTCATAGAGTGACCGTGATTTTCGCACCATTGCACTCCATTGTCTGTTTAACGGGTCCAGTTTTATCCATTTGCAGTTTTTCATCATGATCGCCGGTTGGTCTTTCAAAAGCTCTGTACTGGTTCTCTTGTACCTGAAATGAAATGCATTCACAACTAATAATCAGTGGCAGAGCCACAGGGGGGGCACCCGCCCCCCTCGCAGCCCTGAAGGCTAGTTTTTTTATGGCAAGGCATTAAAAACATTTTTTTGAACGGCCCGATTTTTTTTTTTTTTTTTTTTGGAATTTAAAAATGAAATCATATCTTTGCCCGAATATCCTATACTATAACTGTATTTTTTTTTAAATTGATAGACCGATTGTATTCTCCTATAATATAATTTCATAATTCATATTATTTAGGGATCGAAATCACTGCCCGAATGTCATTCGTATGATTATATTTTACATATTTCAAAAATTGAAATCGCAGCCCGAATGTAGAGTTTAGAACTTTTTTTTACACAACCAAAAAAAGGCAATTCGGGCACAGATTTCAATTTTTAGTTCGGTAAGGTTTCAGTGAAACAATAGTGTTTCTCTCGAAGAGATTGCAAAACTCTCATAACTAAGTTAGAAATTCGGGCAACCTCAGATATCTCACAGAGCAATAGATAAGTCTATTGATTATGTGAAAATTAGTTAGTCATTAGCATGATTTTAGTTGAAAAGACACAAACACAAAAATACACTGCATGTTATATAATATACTGTATATATCCATGGCACCAGTCCTGAAATAAGTATTCCCTGAAATCTAACTTAGAAATAGATTAATTTATTGATAGAACATGATACATTTATATTAAGAAATCTATGCTCCCAGGATGAATGGACATTGTTCAATGGTTCAAGTCTACCGTGAAAGAGGAAATTGCTAAGATTTTGATTTCTTTGTATACATGGGGAAATTTGTTCTGAAGTTCCGAGTAATGGCGTTTGACTATTATGGAGGCTTTGGTAGCTGTAGAATCAAATGTCGTTATAAAGGGTATTATCTGGTTATCATGTTGAATGTTGAGTCCATTTGGCCTCACAGTCTGCAGTTGATCGATCCAATAACTTTCGCGTTGTAGACGTCTAAGCTTAGGTTTCATGCTAGGTGATGTAGAAACTGTTTCTATAGGCATGATGAGAAGGTCATCAATGGAATGATCGGGAAGGTTGAAGTGATTCACAATTGGTCTATCCTTGCCATGCACTATATCATAGCGATGGCCATTGAATCGCGTTCGAAGCGCATTTTGAGTCTCGCCAACATATTGTACATCGCATTTTTTACAAGAAATTAGGTATATGATATTTTGATCTCCGCAAGAAATTAGGTTATTCATCGCAAACAATTTTCCGTTCTTGTTATTTTTGAAAAAATGGGTACCATGTATGTGTTCGCATGTGCGACAAGTAGGACCTCCACAGGGAAATAACACCGTGGTGTCCATAAAATCCATGCTGTTTTCGCTGATATTTGCTGTCAATTTCACAGAAGGGTGGTGGTTGTTTAAAATTTCGAAAGATTTCCAGAAATGTTCTAGAGTATCGGACCAAATGATAAAAATATCGTCAAGAAACCGGCCATAAAATAAAGGTTTAAACGGTGAGATATTTTCTATCTCCCTCTCCCACTCGGCCATAAATATATTCGCATAACTAGGGGCAAATCGTTTGCCCATAGTAGTTCCAGATGTTTGTAAATATATTTTTCCATTAAAAAAGAAGTCATTGCGCGTTACACATAGTTTAAGTAAATCTAAAATCTCTGTATCAGGTCGATCAAAACATGGATATCGAACAAATGCCTTACGGACGGCGTCAAGACAAACATTGTTGTCAATGTTGGTATACATACCGGTTACGTCCAAAGAAATGAAATACGCGTTTTCGGGAATGTCCAATTTCTTGATTTTTTCAACAAAATCTGTTGTGTCTTTCAGATAAGAAGGGTGTTGGCATGCTAGTGGCAGTAAAAAGTAATCTATGTATTCTGAAACTCGGTATGATTCGCTAGAACAATCAGAAATGATTGGTCTACCTTTTTTTGTTGGCAACGGACCACTCAGTTTCGGGATTTTTATGAATTTTCGGAAGCGTGTAAATGTGTCGTTGGCGAGGCTCAGTGGACGCGGAAAGGTAGTCATAATGCTTTCCTGAAATAAATTTCTTTTTTACCAAATTTTGTAGAATATTGTTTATTTCTCGAGCAGTTTCCATAAAAATAGGTGTATCAAGTTGGCGATAGTGATTTGGATTGTTCAACTGTTTATCAATTTCAAAAATGTAGTCATCGCGATTTTGAATGACGCAGCAACTGCCTTTGTCACTTTTCCTGATAATAATGTTTTTGTCATTTTTTAGATTATTGAGAGATTTTCGTTCAAAATTGGTAAGATTGTTACTTGGTGTGATGCTTTAGATTGATAAGATCTCGGTCAAGTTCGAATTTGACATATTCTTGTGAGCACTATAGAGAATACAGTTTTTATCTGATTTTGATAAAGCTTGGTGTGATGCTTTAGATTGATAAGATCTCGGTCAACTTCGAATTTGACATATTTTCGATGAACGGTTTTTGAGATATTGCCCTTGACTTAGAACGCCTTGAAATTTGTTAAAAATTGTTCGTGAGCAGGATTGAAGCTACAGTTCTCAACCGATACTGATAATTGTTTGTTGTATTTGGGTTATTGATATTGATTTTGAAAAATTTTGTGGAATTACTCAGCATAAATAACTGGCATATATATATGTCATTGAATTCAAACTAATAAAATTTCTTCAATATGAGAAAATTCGTACTTTAGTCACTAAAGACTGTTTTATCATTTCTGACAGCTGCCAGTGGGCGTATGTTACCTTGCCTCGCAAGCTATCTTTAAGGATTGGTGGCGTTACCAATCGGGTCAGTCAAGAATCAAAATGCGATGCGTTAACTTCCGCAACCAGACGGACAGAGCTCTCTATTTTTCTAATTTATTTGTGTGCTAAGCGAATTAATACATACCTACTTTTCATTTCAATTGTGTCTTCTGCTACTGTCTTGTGTCCCCAGGTTGGGGAAATTCGAAAGGAAGGGAGGGGGAGGGGAAAGGGCATAGTACGAAATCATGGTCGATGTTTTTGCAGTTAAAATAGATGAGACACCCACCCCCCTTCTGGTGAAGTGTGTATCTCTGAGACCGATCGCCGAAGGTCACTTTCAGACCATTCGCTCATAAAGCATTAATTTTGTTGGTACCTGACCGACCAACTGGGAAGTGCCCTTCTTGACTAGAATGACTAATGCTCGGAGATTGTTTTGCCGTTGAAATCACCGTACTTGGAGAAATTTTCCTGGTGTGCAAAGCTACGTTTGGACATACCAACTTTGAAACCTAATGTAACTTTATTGTTTTTGTGTTTTTATCATAGTAATAATAGCAATAATAAAACCTAATCTACCAACGATCCGAACCGCAAAACAAAAATCAAATTCCATAAAATCATATTGGCAATACATTGGTAGCAGGCTAATAAATTTTTCATATGCGGGAAGTGGTATCAGGTGTCAAGAATGGTAAGCATCTCCTGCATGGTCTGGGCGTTGAATTCGAATAATTACACCGTCAATATAGAGTATGATATCTGTGTTATTACCATCAACATGTCTTCAACGGTTGTTAAATCAGGGTATTCCTCCGGGCGTGGTAGTTTGATGAATCTTGGAGCAATGCTTAAGAAAAAATCAGCAACCCCATGGAGAAGTAGTAGTTTTAGCCACGCCACTGGAAAAACCAACATTTCCGTAATAACCACCTTAAGCCAGATATACCAAAAATGATACTCGGCCGATAACTCATCTTATTCATGTTGATTCACCCGGATATGACGTTCAATCGGTTCCGCACTTGTAGCAGGTTGCCTTTCCAAATTGTCGCCTCTATTTTGTACAGCAATAGCTTGAGCAACCGTTATAAAAAACATTTTAAATGAAATAAAATGGCTGTTAACACGAACACTAAACTTGAACTCATGCTCGTGTTAATACCCTAGAGATTAGTGTTAGCGCAGAATTACTAAATCCACTTTGAGGCTTATTTCAGATGGGAATCGATTAGAATTTGAGTACCGAATGTCAAACTGTAAAATAAAACCGATTGCCAAAGGAAATTAATAATTGTCATTTCCACCCGCAAATAATGTGTTCAGGTAACCCCTGAAATCGCATCTTCGATATTAACACTAACACGAAGGAGAAATCGTGTTAATACTATGCTTAACACCATGTTGATAATTTTTATATCAGGGCTAATACGGAACACCAGTATGAGGTCAAGTCTTGCGGACTAACACCAAATAAACCGCGTTGAGAAATAATAAATACGTTCAAATAAAGCTTTAATATACTATATCAAATCATCAAATATAGAAATTTTAATTAAGGCTAAAAATCCATACAGATCGGTTCTGTGTGATATTTAACATCCAAGAAATCATACCGATAGTAAGCTCGTGTTACACACTCCGTGTAAATATCCAACTACAGTGTTAGTGTCCAAATTCGGTACTCCCCTCACCCCGTGTCTATTAACTTTTGGGGCGTGTCTTAACCCAAAGGCCCTGTTCCCAGAACATGTCCTACTGATCTCTCGTTATTATTATCCGCCTTTTTCTTATGTACACCTATTCCACTTTGTGCCAAGGACCGCATTTTGGCATCTAATATCTTTCGCAGTAGTAAAAAGTTGAAATCTGTATTAAATTAATATTTCGGCCATTTTCTCTCATGAAATACTGTATGGACATTAACATTTCGTGAATTGTATTCCCTTGATAATCGCCACATCTTTGAATTTTCACTTCCGTCACGAACAATAATAACTGATCACACAGGTCATTGTCATTCAGTTACAAAAGTTTTTCACCAATATTATTTCGAATTCTGTGTCGCCAGGAATCAAAAATACGCACTGCCCACTGACACTTTTTTTCTGTATTTTTGTTGATGGCAACTCTTTTCAAGGAGGTCATTTCAATTTTGGACAAATCTACCTGTTGTCGAACATTTAATTGGTGAATGGGGGATGATCTGCTCTACTCTGCTCTCTTCAGTTGATTGAACATTGCCTGCTTCAAATTCTTGAGTGATCTTGAGTGACAGGGGCTTCCATGTTGTCCAGAAAGTCTTCAAACCTTGGGCTTACATCGCCGGAGTCGAAAGTATTTTGCGCATCTTCAGAAAAAGTACTCTGGGTGAGTAAAAGGTCGTCTGAATCCGACATAATTTGTTGTTAGTCGATTAAAATTCGAACGTGTGTGTGAGCTTTTATATGACGCCAATAGTTAAGTAAGTTCACGATGCACGTGAGATAGCAATCTAGGACTCCAATAGTAAGATACGTGAACGATCCACGTGCAGCTATATAGGGCGCCAATAGTCGAAAATAGGTTTAAGTAGAATAAACTCCTCTAACACGCCAACAGTTTTGACCTCCTTGGGGTGACTTCGATTGAACCTCTGTGGTCGAGCTAAAGTTGATGGAGAAATGACGTAATTATATACAATGCGCATGCCGAGTGAGGGTCGCAATCGAATTTGATCGAGTTGAGGCAATATGGCGGGACTTTTGACCATATATAGACATTCCATGCTACTATGTTAACTCGTGTTTGATTTTCCAAATAGTGAGTGTCGGACCCGAGCTTCAAACTAGGTCAAATATTTCGTCACACGAGTCTCAACTCCAAGAAATATTACAGTTCAGTTGTGACTCGCGTGACTCGAGTCTAACCCGAGCTCCAATCGAATACACCCTATGAAGTCGTCGCCCTAATCGGCCTCCTCGGAGTTTATCCTTTACATATAACTCCATAGAAATAATTCATTAAATTAAGTAATTTCGAAACATGCTAAGAAGCGTGTTCCAATAATTATTTAGTTTAATGGATATATCGTCTTGTATAGAAATTCTATTCTTTAGTTATGACTCCTGGTAAGTCCAACTGATGAATATATACACTTGTTGACTAAGTTTGAGAGTTTAAATTGTATGTCCATTCTAACAGGTAATATTCCTTTAAACAGAGTGTACGATTAGAAAAGGCATCAACAACCAACGAACTGATTAAACATGGGTTTCCTAATTTTTAGTGTCAAACTAAGCAAACTATTAGATTAATTGGTGTTTCTAATGGATTATCATGCATTCTTAATCATATCATTATGTTCTTATTGCATACAATTAAGAGTTTTAACAAATTATAAATGTCTATGTATGTACCGTCTGGATAAACAAAAAAAGACTTTTTGATCTTTCTTGATCTTTTACTCAGTGGAATTCTGCTGGTAATTTTCTTCTAATTTAGCTAATTATGAATTAATCATGAACATGGACATCTATTCATATAGGTATTAGCATTTTCAATTTCATAAATGAAAATATAATAAGGGAACCCATCTTTAATACAGATATGGATGTTTTTGGGTTGAGAACCAGCAGGATAGGATGTGAACTTGGTTGGCTGACTATCGTTTTAAATTTACAAAATCATTACGAAAGATAGGCTACCATCAACCTTATTCATATAAAAAGACTGAAAATTTACTGCATTTTGTATTTATGGTAAGCGTCCAATAACAACAACCAAAATAGGAAAATAAGCTGGAATGGGTACAATGTGGTCTTGAAAACACCCCTGAGCATACGCCTCGCTATAGGTCTACTGTTGATGGGAGGGGCCACCACCAAATCTTTTTTAGAATTTTACTCTAGGAAGAACAAGGGAAATATTTTGAAAATCCTGCTTTTTATGTAATTTGAATATGAAAGAATATTAAATTAATATTAATACATTTTTTAATGAAAAAAAATCAGATCCAGAAACTTTTTAAAAAAAATATGTAAGTAATTGGATATATCGTCTTATAAACAGTTCTATTCTTTAGTCATGGCACCTGGTAAGTCCAGCTGATGAATATTATATTGACCAAGAACTGAAAAATAATGTCAGTATAAACTTTCATGGTTCATTGTGTTCAACTGTGACATAATAGATCACTGAAATCATGTGTTAAAGATTTTGTGAATTTAGCGTGCAAATTTAGATGTAAGAATTAAAACTTAAGAAATAGCAATGAAGAACATGAAAAGCCATTATACCTTCCATACAGAACTGAATAGAAATAAAATTGAGCAGCTGTACAAATAACCTCATCAGCAAAGTCTACAGCTTCAGATGTACCGTATAATTACTTATATAGTTCGCAGTCAGAACGGGAAGTGCCTTATTTACAGTAACAGAAATTCCAGATATACTGGAGGGTATCATATATGCTTGCATTATATTTGCAATTAAAAGTTACTTAGTTTAATAAAGGAATGAATCTGAAATTCTTAATATTTCATAAAACATAATCTGTTTGAGTGTGTCTAAATTATGTGAAACCAAATCAGTTGAATACAGAAGTTCTATGAAAAGTTATTAACATGCATAGAAAAATTCAACACAACCACTGAGCAACTTCATACTGACAAAAAGTCAACCTTTTAATGATGTTGACCTATTTGTGACATTGAACTGATGTCTTGTTTCTAAAATATCTTCTCCAGTTTAGTTAGCTAACGTACCATGCTAGTACCAGTTACTTGTTACTCGTTGCATTTAGTTGTTTCTAATTCCATACCATGTATGGCAGCATGAGTACTAATTAAAAAGATGAGCAGAGAATATTCTCAAAGTTTGCTTCCTTCGTTCAGTGAGTTCACTTACTTTTCATACACCCCCATTTCCTATTTAGGTGTCCTGGTGAGTATTTAATACCCTTAACATGCACATATAGCAGGAGTTGAGATGAGCTTATATTAACCATTGAATTGTTGTTGAAATGATAATGATTATGTACAATCAAACATGTGCTATACAAGTTGCATAAAATTTGTTCATTAAAAATTATAATATATGATATTTTGCATCTAGTCTCTCTTATTGAACTCTGCTATAGGCTTACTGTCCTCTGTGAAAGCTACGTATATAAACAGTCCTAATATTATATGTACCACAACTATTGAGGAAATTGCTGCATAAAAATAACTACTTTGATGAGGCAGTCCAATTATTCCTGAAATTAAAAAAAAAAAACAATTGACAGAGTTTTTCTGAGTTGAAAGATGTTATAGTTGTATTTTTTTTTATTTCAGCTTCAGCACTATTCAAAATCCAAATCTATCATCTGGGTTTCTTACAATTAGAAATAATTGGGCAATAGAAGTTTAGACTTTTAGGGCCTTATTGAGATTCTTGTTTGCAGCTATTACTGATGGTGTATTTATTGTTTCTAAAAATCTGATTTTAGTATGCTTAAGATGCTATCAGTTATAAAATAAAGCTACAAATAGCCATCAAGCTCTATCAGATAGAATCTATAGAAATAGATGTTTTGATGACTAAATCATTTTGAGGTTTTCTCAAATGTACATAACCTCAATCTAAAACAAACCAAAAGAGAATAGTTCAGATTTCAGATAGAAAGTATGCTGATGTAAGCTTACAGATTTCATCACTTAAAAAAGCAAAAACCTGTGGGTAAGATTTGCCATTAAATCATATTAATCATGGCTCAGAAAATAAAGATCTAAGAAATTTGAAGATTATAGATAATAATGTATTGACAGAAATTCCCACCTTCAAATATCACAGCTTTAGACATAAAATATGTTGTTATTGGTAAAACACACATAGCTATTGAAAATAATATCATTGTCTTCATAACACTTCTGGAACTTCCAGTTAGAGGTAAACTGTAATAAAAATGAAAGAATAACGAATTGGAGATGATGACAATATAAAAGTATCACAAAAAAGTCAATGACAAATGAATAACTCAGAGCCGTATATATACGGCTCTGGAATAACTCAGAGCCGTATATAGAGAGAGTCTGGCCAACTTGTGATCTCGCCGCGCTGAACCATGATTGGCGCAGAGCGGTCACGTGATTGAAGGCCGCCATATTGTTACCCTTCCCGCGACGTTTAGGCGTAGGAGCCTGGGTATTCTTTACGTTGTTTAAGCCTAATTCCTGGTCTTGTCTGGCAACAGAATGCCTCGATGTGTGGCATAGAAATGCTCTGTCAAATCTGGAGAAGGTATAGTGATGCACAGGTTCCCTAAGGATAAAAGGAGACGCAGAGAATGGGAAGTAAAGGTCAAACGATCCGACTGGACTCCCCACGACAACTCTTTTCTATGCGATGTAAGTACATTCGATGATTTCAGGGGTTTTGCAAATCGTGTTATGTTCAGGTCTAAAAACTGGATATAATAGATATGAAAACTTTGTGAGAGGGTTTCTTTCCACGCACTGGCTATCTAAACCTAGGCCTAGACGAGGAGCATGCACCATGGCTTCTGAGACACTGTCAACAACATTTCTGATAGGCCTACACATAATCGATCGATTTATGTTTTTCTATAAATGTGAAATTCTAAGACTATTTACTTTTTTAGTATTTAGTATTATTTACTTCCAATCACCAAAACAAACAGTATAATTTAAAGGTGTGCACCATATTGGTGCTTGTACGGTGGCAAGGGGCCATGGCTCCTAACTCTAATATTTGTGCTGGTCCTGATTTTCAACCCAAAACCCCCCACCACCACCCTTCTCCCTATCAATATCATTGATTTCCTAAATGCCTATCAGTATTACCCCACCCCCTTTAGAGATCAAATGAAACGCCACCATTGTTTATGTTATTTCATTATTGACATTCGCAGAAAAATATGGAAGGGCAATGTAGACTGTGGGTCTAGACTATAATGTGAACACTAAGCCTTTTGGGCCAGTCACTTGTGTAAATTTTGGTTTCTCTTCCAGAATCACTTCGACGACAGTCAAAGAGAAACAGATCGCCAGGACAACAGCCGACAGCTGAAGCAAAATGGTTTCAAAGCTGAAATGATGATTATTGAGTGGTGTGATATAACTTTCATGCCTTCATGACATAAAATAAATTGTGCTGATTGAAACTGAATAATGAGCCTTTTCTGTTCAGGTCCACAAGTAAAAGAGATAGGGGTGGGGAGTGGGGTGGGGCGGCGCTTCCTTAAATTATTTTCGCCCCCCCCCCTCCCCCTCCACTGCAAAATTCAAACAAGTTCTCAATCGAAGCTGAAATCAGTCTCTATCAGCTATTTCAGCCTCCGTGCAAATGCATTCGCCCCCCTTGGCACATTGGTCTGGTTACGGGCCTGTTTCTGTTGATAACGATTTATAGTACACATCTTGCTTTGAGCAATTTTCATGACTAAATTTCTTCGACAAAGATGGAGTTCAATCCTTTATACTAACTTCACTATATTCTAAAGCTTTATGTAACAAAAATCATCGGTTATAGTTTATGCACCGTTTTGACAGTCGTCAGGCACACGGGCCTATTGATCAAAAACAATATGAATTATATTATACATTATATTACTTATAAATATGTTGCATAAACTATAACTAGTGATTAGCCTATTGTTCCATATAGCTGTAGAATATACAGCTAGGCCCTAGCTATTTTAATATGGAATATTACAGGTTTAATATTTCGGTGGTTAATATTTGGAAAGTGCTAAAATTCAAAATTTGTCTTCTTTTTGTGTTTTTGTATAGACATACATAAGAGAGGGTAACAAGATGGCGCCTTGTGACGTAGTTGGCCAGACTCTCTCTATATACGGCTCTGGAATAATTTAACGAATTATTTGTGGTCTGAAATTCCAAGAATTGCCTCCCTTTTCAAGAGTTAAACGTAAAGACATCAATTTTTAAGGTGATTCTTGCCAAATCATCCACTTAAAGCATTCATCTATCCGTGTTAACGAATTCCGTCGAAAACAAATTTAAAAGATATGAAGATAAAGGCACAAGTAATAAAAACCTGACGAAAGTACCTGTTTGCTTTTATGGAGTCCGCCATCTTGGATTTCTTGTTTACAAAATAAAAATTTTTGTAAATAAATCCGTCATTTAAATTTTATATTCACATTATAAAACACGACATATTACATGTCTTTAGCATGGGCATACTTATGAATCGAATATTAAGTTTAAGATGGAAAATTAAACGTTCTTTTTTTGCTGCGGTACAGAGTTTCGATATATGTAAACTTCCGGTTTTAAAAGTGGGCAGTGTCTCGTGATAATATTTTTTAACAAAATCATGTATTTTGTTGTAAATAATGATCAGAGTTGAGTGACATTCCGATAAAAAAACCAAAACTTTAACGAGTGTCCAGATTAAATTTCAGTTTTCTCTCATATAAAGACCCGCATTGTGTTGTTTGATTTCCACTCAACATTGTCAATGAAAACAACTTGTTATTGTTTGTAAATTGCAGGCCATTATATACCTGCCAGGCTACTATTGCAAAGAGAGTAAATCCAGTACTTCACTATGTCAATCATTCAAGTGAAAGGTTCTGGTAAAAGTGTGGCACCAGATCGAACTCCTTTCTTTGGTGTGAGAGTTCCAAAAGAAATCAAATCTATGATCAAACCAATCAGTAAAATAGAACAAGATTTATTCAGAAAACTTTTAAAATGTAATTAGATTTAAATCAAAATAATCAGATTATATTCTGTATTTCATGCATAGTACAGTGGTGTAACCTATTTTCGTGGATATAAGGATTCAACACCGAAATTTGTTTGATAAAAAACCGATAAAAAATGGTGACGTTTGGTAATAAGTGAAATCCGCCATTTTGTATTTGTCAAAGTAAACATTAATACATTTTACCTTGCTTGAAACTACTGGATTCATTCTACTAGCTGACATTGTACAGAAAACCGATGTTTATCAAAACAAACTAATGCAGAGGTCGCACAAGGTCGCTCATAAATTATTAAATATTTCCGGAAATCCACGAATAATAGGTTTCCACGAAATTAGGTTGCTTGGCTGTACTATATCAGAGTTGCATTGAATGGAAAATTATTGGTCTTAGCCTACATTTCTTCCCATGAATTGGCTTATGGAAATGTTGGGTAATGTCACACAGTAGGCCCTATGCATTTTGGAAAATTTCCGACAGTGCCATTAATTAGCACATGTCAGCTCCTTCAACCTATGTGACTGACAGCCAGAAACTGGAAAAATACGAATTTACTATCTTAACCTGTGTTAGAATCTTGCTCTCGAATCCTATTTAAGCCTACATACATCTCCTTGTTTAGCAACACCAGAAATCTAAACTCAAGAATAATGAGTCGGGGTCTACTCTGCATTGAAAATCAATTGTTGCCTACATTAATTTAATGGACATTATTATTTCCAGTATTGGTAGCAGCTTTAGAAGGAAATGAAATAGAATATGATGATATTAAGAGATTAGAAAGTGAAAGTTTATCTGAAGAAACAATAGTTATAATTTATGCAGGTTTTATGACCTTATTAAAATCGGCTTTAAAACATACTTCACTCAAACAAGAGGTAAATTATATTTTTATTCACGAGGTAATAGTATACAGTATGACCATCACACATCCTTACTTTTTTGAGTGTTTTTAATAATACCATTTCTCCAATCTGAAATTTCTATATTTTGAAAGATTTACTTTGGAAAAGTAAGAATTTTAAACTAAAAAAAATTAAAAATTGTGTATACTTTTTATGTGTATTTACTTTTTTTGCAGATGTTTGTTGAAGATTTGCATGAACTGCAGTAAGTAATAAACTTGCATCCAGATTTATTTTGTCCATTACTCAATAGTTCCAGTAGTGATATTAAAGAATGTGTTTATGTTTAAAATTGGACCCCAGTGTGCATGAATATCTTGTATATTGTATTATACAGTACACTTTATTTTTCAAGTTTTACAGATTTGGTCCATCTGTTAACATACTAATAAGATTTGTTATGATATGGTTTGTTACCGCTCTGACTGGCATTCTAAATGAATAAGCTGTTCAATTACAATTATAACATGTTACTTTAGCAATGGCATATGACTTTTAAAATATTTAACCATTGCTTCCAAAACCCTATTATTCTTGTCATTGATTTAAATGGTTAAGGTTACTCCAAATGAAGATTAGATATAAGATCACTAATTGGATAAACTGAGTGCAAAAGAATTTATCAGTCATTAATGACAAGAATATCAGGTTATGAAAGCAAAGGTGATAAATGTCTTGCTCAAGGAACATGCAATAACCATTAATCTTACTAGCTTTGATTTTTGTCATTTTGTAAGAAGTCTCTTTTATATGTAATCTTTTTTTATATTTCAGAATACCAGAGATATTTCACAATGATTTATCTAGTGTAGTTTATGGCTCTAGGTATGTTATAGTAGTACCATTTCAATCAGTAAGACTTATATTCCTACTTGATCATAAGCCAGTTATTTGTATGTAAAATGCTGTGAGTGACTGGACTCACAAATGAGAGCATTGTCTAGTGGTTAAAGGGGTATTCCGCTTTTTTTGTAAGTTGAAAAAATTTTTTGCTCAAATTGGTGAAAACTATACACCAAAATCTAGAGAAATATGCCCTTTTAACATTCTGAAAGTTTTAACTTAAAAATTGCAGCTGTTGATTTTTAAACGCCAAAAGTATTCACAAACATCACATAAAATTTTTAAGTTCATTATGATTTTTGGAAGCTGTTAGACAACAACTGTACGAAATATACACCTAATTGTAGAGAAATGTGTCTCCTACATATTCGGAAGGATTCAACTAATAATATCAAGCCATTATAAAAGTCAAACATCAAAAACATTGTTCGTACTCTCTGTTTTTAATTAACCCTTTTAAAACAAATTCAGTTTGATCAAGTAGATACGTAGATATAAATAGCATACTTTAGAAATATTTTCAGGTTTAATTTACAATGTTTTTAATAATGAAAACTTTTTACAAAAAAACAGAATACCCCTTTAAAAAACTATTTCACTTACTTTGCTGCATTGTTTTGGAAAAATTGTGTCAAAATGTTGAAGATGGGTAACCTTATTTCCATTCAGTTATACTTAAGCTTATATCAATAAAAAAGGTGTTATTTTTGGAAAAAAAATACCAGTTTGTCTCACAAATCTTTGCCAATAAGCTGAAGAATCATGCAAATGACAAATTACTAACACACTTTCATTGTATTGAAATTGAACTGTATTTTTGTAGGAGACCAAAAATAGATAACTTTTCCAATGAACAGCGCCCAAGAATGACTAGATTAGACAATTTAAAATGGAGAGTAGATGTTGCAATATCAACTAGGTAGGTGATAAATTATCATAAAAATTTGAAATTTTCTAAGTCTGACTAAAATATGTTGTAATTAATGATCTTTTTCTGAGGTTAAAACCACTCATCATCCATACATGGAGGATTAAAAATATAGAAATCGAACTTTTCTTATTATCATATTTTAAAACCCAAGTTGTTTCTGATTGCTGATCAAATGATGACATGTTTTCTTTATATGTTTTATATTATCTGTGTTATACAGTGTATTAAATAGAGTTTTAGAACCATCAATTCAGATGGAAATGACACTCAGTGATGGAACAATACAATCATTTGAGGCAAGTTAGATTTCTTTTATTAGAATAGCCAATCTTTTTAAGTTGGAGTTTATGTGTATATAAATGTCAGCTTAAAAATAGTAATGATAGTTTTAGAAGGATTTTGTAAAGGGCAAAGTAAGGTGATGGTGATGTTTCTTTAAATTCTGTACCCATGATAGTGAAATACATTTTAAAATATCTTGAACTTCCTGGTTTATGGATTCTATGGATGAGCATTTCTAAATATTATGCAGAAATACCAGTGAATGATATTGACATTTTTTTAAAAGCCCGAAAGAAGGAAAAGCCAGATCTTTATGAAATCTGGGACTGGAAAGAGCGATTATGAAATCTGTGCCTTGACTAAATGGAATAGCTCAGTCAGTAGCAAGTGGTATAATTGTTGTCTGTTGGGAAGTTGCAGTACCAGCCAAATGGAACTTGATATACAAAGATTTGGCAGTCTGACAGATTGATGGGACAACTATAGGGGTTGAGATTTCAAATGCAGCGAGGGTCTTGGGGTTGTGCCCTATACAAAAAGAAATACAAATCGTTGCTTTCACTCACATATTTTAGGGCAAAATGTTATAACAATTATATTTTCTTAGAAATGAATGGGAGGTAGTATTATTCTAAGTGGGAAAATTCTTCGATATACCTCACTGGTCGTTGGTGCGAATCTTTAATGAATGAATATATAGTTTTGGTTTTTATTTCAGGTACCTATATCACAATTTCACAAACTACGATATAATATAGCCTTTATCTTAAAAGAAATGGAAGATTTAGAGAAACGAAGTATTTTGAAAATCAAAGATTAATTTATATATTATTGTTATTTTTTTTATTAATTATGTAATATAATTTAATTTACCATAATGTAAAAAGTATCAAGTTTATATCAAAATTGTTTTGTTGTCCATATAATCTAATTTGACTTCAAAACTTTAAACGCAATGAAGGATGGCTCAGGACGATGGTGTTATAGCAGCAGAAAAATTTGATTTGTATATGAAAAACTGATAAATTGTTAGTTATATTCAAATTTAAAGGAAATGTAAAGCGGTTTTTAAATGTTTTATGTCTATACACGTATATCATTAGCTGCTTTGTGATAGTGACCTCATAAAACGTTTTATTGGAAATTGTAGACCCCAGACGTCTGACTGAAATTTGGAATATTACAAATCAATTATCAGTGGCGGAGCCAAAGGGAGGGGCAGAGGGGGCAACCGCCCCCACCACCCTCCTTCGCAGTCCCGAATGCAACTTTTTCGGCCAAAAGTCTCATAACTAGGTTAGAGATTCGGGCAATCTCAGATATCTCGCCCCCTCGGACGTAAACCTGGCTCCGCCACTGTCAATTATACTTTCAAAATCCTTATCATTGAACAAAGTGAGCCCTTCTTGACAATTATGTGACGCGGCTCTCTTAGCCAATGATTCTGGAAACACCTCAGCCTTTGCCATGCATGTAATGCGCCTTTATTTCGTTACGATCAGTGGCCGAGCCAGGTGTACGTCAGAAGTCGGGCGAAACATTTGAGATTGCATTGCCCGAGTTTCTAACCTAGTTCTGAGATTTTGCCCAAAAAAATGCTGCCCGCCAGAAATGACCTATTTCCACGACAGACAGATCCGCAAACCCTGTATTGGCGTCACCCGATCGTTGGCGTAGCCTATGTTTGAAATTGGCAACATACAGATATGAATGCTTATTTCTGGTTTTAGAGCAGCAGTAATTTTTCTTTTTGATTAGTTTTGAGAAAAATCTATGAAATAAGTTGACTTTTCCAGAAAAAAAAACAATTTAACGTCTTAACTATATAATAATTACATATGGTTTAAATCATTGAGAATAGTTTCACTGCCTTGTATCGGAAATAGACATCAATAATAGCCCGAGGGTTAAATAAAAAGGTATTATTATCGATAGAACCATTTCCACTGATTGTAACTGTCGTTTTGACATTGATTGGATTATTAAGATATCTCAGATGAATGTACTGTATCAATCAATAACCGGAATTTGTCGTACATCAAAGTTAGCGAATGATCTTTTGTTGTCCAATATCAAAACATTTGCTGGATCTATTTTTGAATCAATATCACGGAATTGTACACGTTTAAGGCGTATTTATTCAAGATGTCTAATCAATCTTTTTACTATAAGGTCTATTTAACCAATCAGAGAACGACATTCGCATTCTAAAAGTGGTTTAGAAAATCCTCATACCTCTCGCTAAATACGACGCCAAAGTATCTATGAGAATATTATTTTCAGATAATTTCTACTATTGAAATTATAAGCATAGAAGTCAGCATTGTTGATAAAGAAAATAGAAATGTCCGGAGAATGTCTATTATTGAACGGAGAAAAAAGTAAGGTTCTGTAGAATGTTAAATGAGAATAAATAGGATAGATTGACTGAAATATAGACTATCGTGATGAAGTTAATACCTAAAGGTAAGACAATACAATTCTGCTAAAAAAAAAGGTTGCTTCCAGATTCGGCCGTTCACAAATTCTGTGAGAAAAAGATAAAAACGTTGAGCCAATTGCAGGATCACGTAGGTCGTAGAGAATGATGGTTGTAGGAAATGAAAAACTGGATGTCTGCGGGACTTTTCGATGCAGACATTGAAATGAGGCAAAAATATATGTTATATAAAACGGACAGGTAATTCATACAGGACACTGGAAAAAAAATGGTGCACGACAGACACATGGTTGGCTATATTGGTCCAACCAGACACTAACATAGAATAACAAATTAATATTGTTGGTACCACTTTTTATTGAGCCTTTCTCAGAGAGTACAGGATGGCCAATACCTGACAACTTACTCGCAGCATTATACGCCCCAAAGTGCTATGATCAAATTGAATCAAAATACAAAGATAGCTTCCCTGACAAGGTAATATACGCCCACCGGCAGCTTTGATTTTAAATATAAATATTTAGCAGTACAATAACAATCACCAGTATGAAATATTCAACCTTCAGTCATCCACTTCTTATGAACTCTTTAGGGCGATACTGAATAATATTGAGTATGAGTTATTGCCCTTGTTCTTGAAAACCTGATTAATTTTTAGCTCATGGAAACTCTAGAAGGCAAATATTCAACCTTCAGTGCGGTACTGAATAATAAAACAAAGTTTTGTCAAATCCGGCGAGAATCATGCCTTTTAGTGTTTAAGAGCTAAAATTTGAAAGCGTTTTCAAGAACGAGGTCAATAACTCTAATGAAACATTTTTCGATAGGGTTCATCCATGGGTGAAAATAGACAATTTCACCAAGTTTCGTCAAAATCCGTCAAGAATTATGCCTTCTAGAGTATTTACGAGCTAAAAATTGAACGCATTTTCAAGAACAAGGGCAATAACTCATACTTAATATTTTTCGATTCTTTTTATTTTTAATAGGGTTCATCCTTGGGAGATTACGGACCCTCCCACTAAGTTTCTTCAAAATCCGTCAAGAATTGTCCCTTCTAGAATGTTTGAGCTAAAAAGAAGTTAGAAGGGCAATAACTTATACTAAATATTCAATAGGGTTCCTCCTTGGGTGATTACGAACACTCACACCAAGTCAAAATCCGTCAAGAATTGTGTCTTTTAGAGTGTTTACGAGCAGTTTTGGACGGACGGATGACGGCAATATACGTCTATATTTCCATGTGGGCGTATATAATAATGATCGTGTACGGGGGATATTGATGGCAAATTAATTGAAACAATATCATTGAAGAAAACTATTGACGGATCAAAGTTACTTTGATATTTATTGACAGCTTGTCAATTAAAACGACTGTGTGAGGGCGCAGTGTCAATATTGATCAATAATTCCTCTTTTCGGTTTGGAGTATCCTCTATTGCCAGTGTGAGAGATCCTTCCAAATCAAATATCTTGATCAAAATGAAAAAAGTTGAAAATAAAACATTGATCGAGTATGATCGTGAATGAGGGCCTTTAAAAACGGCGTAATATTTGGGCTAAATCAAAGCACTACATTTTACCCGCCAAACTCACACACCCAAAACTTGATTCCACAAAGTGGCGATGGTGGTCAAAGAATAAATAACCAGTACAATGTCTGCAGTTACAGCTTTAACACCATATTTAATTTTCATGATTCTAAGGTGCAGAAAGAAAGACTTAAAGATCTGACTGTATACATATACAATTACTTTCACACCAGTAAGCTTTAAAGTCTTCATTACAAAAGGTTCGATCCATGTCCAATTATATCTATTATGATATCCGACTAACTTACTTGTGACTTTGAATTTCTATTATATTTGTGTTACTGTATCGTATTTATATGATCTTTTGCTGCTCTTGCGTTGTGTGTTGCTTTTAACTTACTTATTACTCCACACTTTCAACCCTTAACCAATGATTGCAATAAGTAAGTAAGGGATAAGGTGGTAGTCGTGGTTATTAATCAGTGTTAGTGTTATTGAGACGAGTCTCAATGAAAGCATTGGTTTAAGTCACAAAACAATAGATTCCTTTACGACCTTAAAGAAAGAGAAAGGGAAACGAGAATTGGTGGGTGGCCAAAGGATAGCCAAATCCCAACTGGCTTGATTGCCAGATGATGACTTACCTAACCCCAATTGATAGCTCAGTACACCACCTTGTCTTACATTAAGAGGTTTAACACCTAGGTATCTACTAAATCCTGGCACCACAAACACCTAACACGCACCAACAGGACACTCCACATTTCAAGCACATACCAGTCTGGAGCAGCTTTCGTTCAACGTGCGACCAAGCCTAGGAAGTCAGATCAGCTTTCCATGCCTGTTCACCCAATTGCTTCGTTGAACCTTGTAATACATAAGCTCGACACATTGTCGTCAGGAACTGAACAAGGGGCATCAGCTTATCCAATTCAACTGTCGAAGTTTTAAGCAAAAACCCCAAAAAAACACAAAATTCTTCCGGACATTCTTGACATCCAGAAATCAATTACTTAAGCCATCCTTCCTTTAAAGATTTGACACCAAAAATATAAGGAAACCCATCTTTAAAAGCTTTTAAATAAAACTTCAGTAACTAAGTATTGAATATTAACTCTATTATGGATTAAAATCTGAAAAAAAGGAATCTTGTTACAGAATACCATATAACAATCATCAAAAGGACTGGACGGGGGGTTCTTGGTCACCTCACTGTTGTTGGTCAATCGAATCGCAAACCTTTTTTATGCCTAGACTGCTGAGTCTAATAATGGTTTTGGGTTGATACGAATATAAAATTTTTGTTATAATTTTACACTTGATATGAACACACTTTCCACTGTGAAATATCGACTGACTATATGTCCAAAATTGGCCGAAACTTCAATCTATAAACAAATTTCATCAAATTTTGAGTACAGAATGGTCAATACCAGAAAGACAAATTACCCGCTGCATTTTTCCAACCAGACACGCCTAAGTGTTGAGCCCACCTGTCCCAGTCCCGACAGACGTCCAGTTCTTCATATGTCCCATTTTCTACAAGACCATTCACTCCTCAATTGGTACCAAGTTTGTTTGATCAAACTGATCCTGACCGCTGCTCTATTTTGAATTATATATACAAAAAACATGTATTATGAAATTCGGTTGAAAACTGACAAGATATCAATTTTTGGTCTCAAGGGCGATAATGTCTCTCACTTATTATGGTCTGTCTTCATTGAGCCTTCAAATAACACATTCTAAACGCAAGACTATTTAATTTCAGATGGCATGGGTGAATATTGCCCCCAATACAATGATTCTATCGGGAGGCTACAGGCAGGTTTTCTGTGTCCAAGAAGATTAAAATTGTGGTTTAGAAACGATTATTTCTGTTGTGGAAACCAGTCTTACAGAAATTGTTGTTCAATTTATGCTCAGAGTATATTTGTTCACGATGTTTCTTATACTGAACTTAAACTAGAGGAATTGTATGTTCATAATTTGTTTACTTTAGATATATATGTCTAATTTTTTAATTATAACTTATTATTATGGGAGAGGCCCCCACTCATCTAACTGAGCCATTGTTTTCAAGAGCCGAATCGAATTTTTTTTTCAATTTTAGAAAAGAGGCCTTGAGCCATTTTCACAATGTCAAGCTATTACGAACTTCGTCTTATACCTTGCAATAGCCACCTTTCTTGTATCATAGAATGCAGCGATTTGACTGGATTATACGTTAGCGAATACAGCTAATTGGAGCCCTAGACTGGAAACATTAATTTGGCTTATTGTTTACAGACTGATCGTTTTATTCCTATGCATACAATCCAATCAAATGACTTCATTTACACAGTAGGTGGCTATTGTAGTCAAGGTATAAAGCTAATTATTAATAGTTTGACATTGTGAAGATGAAGTTGAAGCGTTTTTTGAATTCTTTCTTATCTATTTTAGGTGGCCGTATATAGTAATAGTGGGATTATGTGTGATTGTATCACTGTCAACTTTATACAGGAAATAACTCGTAAAGTTAATTAATGTTAAGAAGCAGTCATTATCTTTGAACTAAGTTTTAAATGAATTGTTTTAATTGATTTTTATTATCTGAATATTAACTGTATTTGTTCCTGGCCATACCCGTTGCTTGCTCGGACGTGATAATTATATGGATGGGATATCGGTACTTTTAGAGCAAGACATAAAATGTCACTTTTCATGGCAGTTGCGCCAATCCATTTTGGATTGTTAGTTTTTCAGAATTTTCATCAGGACAAATGCCAAATTTGACATAACTTTTGGTATTTTTACAAAGCTGAATCATTATTGAGTCAATCAAAACATTTCCGGATAGTCTAAAATGTCCCTGTGCCCCACACAGTACCACAATATGGTAGGAGAGCTTGGCCTTTTCTCTTCTTGTACAACTCATTAAAGAAAGCCTAACTAGCGACTAGGGGTAGAGGGGTAGCGCAACTTCCATATAACCATTTGGGCATTAAAAAAGCCTGTAGTCGTTCAGATGGGACAATAAAGCAAGGTCCTGTTAGAGATCCTGTGACAGTTTGAAATCGAAAAAGAGTCCTGGCAAGATTTCCTTCATTGCACACTGAATGGTTTTGCCCGTCTTAAGTTGCCTAATCGGGTACAGAAAAGGGAGAAATAAACTTTATTCATTTCATTTTAAAATCATTATTGTTTTTGATTGATGATATTATACATCTCGGGTAATACATAGCATAGTCTAGTTCCTTATTTTCATCCTAAATGGTGTAATTTCATGTTACACAACATTTATGTCTTTATAAAAATAAATAAACTAGTCCAATATAACTTTGCTCATTCATGTACTCCACCACAATGTCTAGTATTGGAGGATTAATAACATGACCTGCTGTTACTGGAAGGTTATGAGCGTGAGATGAGCTAATCAAGAAAACCATCACAGACTGTACTTGTATAAAAGTGGTTTTAACTCATGCACTACAATCTAGCTGCCTATTAATGCAGGGTGTTGTTTAAGTTATAAATATAACACATTAGTTCATATTATTCTAATAGTGTTATCTACGTAATATTTTAACAAAAGCGTCTTTAGGAATTTCTACACGACCTATTTTTCTCATTTGTTTCTTTCCTTCAGCTTGTTTCTTTAATAACTTATTTTTCCTACTCTGATCACCACCATACTGAAAACAAATAAATAGTATTATTTAATTCAAGATCAATAAATTTATACTTTATATATTAGGAATATGATATAAAATACTTACATATAATTCAGCATTTGATATAAAATACTTACATATTTAGAATTTATATAATTAAAAATACTTACATATTTGGAATTTGATATAAATACTTACATATTTAGTATTGATATATAATACTGACATATTTAGTATTGATATATAATACTTACACATTTAGTACTGATATACAATACTTACATATTTAGTATTGATATATAATATTTACATATTTAGTATTGATATAAAATACTTACATATTTTGTATTGATATACAATATTTAAATATTTGACATTTGATATAAAATATTCACATATTTAGTATTGATATAAAATACTTAATATTTAGTATTGATATAAAATACTTACATATTTAGTATTGATATACACATTTAGTATTGATATACAATACTTACATATTTAGTATTGATATACAATACTTACATATTTAGTATTGATATACAATGCTTACATATTTGACATTTGATATAAAATACTCACATATTTAGTGTTGATATAAAATACTTATATATTTAGTATTGATATATAATACTTACACATTTAGTATTGATATACACATTTAGTATTTATATATAATACTTACATATTTAGTATTGATATAAAATACTTACATATTTAGTATTGATATATAATACTTATACATTTAGTATTGATATACAATACTTACATATTTAGTATTGATATATAATACTTACATATTTAGTATTGATATATAATACTTACACATTTAGTATTGATATACAATACTTACATATTTAGTATTTATATATAATACTTACATATTTAGTATTGATATAAAATATTTACATATATAGTATTGATATATATACTTACACATTTAGTATTGATATACAATACTTACATATTTAGTATTGATATACAATACTTACATATTTAGTATTGATATGATATACTTATTTAGTATTGATATAAAATACTTACATATTCAGTATTGATATAAAATACTTACATATTTAGTATTAATATACAATACTTAAATATTTTAATTTGATATAAAATACTTACACATTTAGCTAAAACATCTTTTCTATAAGGTTTAATATCTTCTCTGCATAATATTTTACTACCTACAGCACCTTGAACTGATATTAAAAATAGTTGTGGTGGAATAGCATCTTTTAACTTCTCACATACCCTGGTAGCTATAGTTCTGGCTCGTGATCGATGACATATGAGAGACAATTCTTCTACAGGTCTTGAGTTCAGTAAAAAGTCTAACTAAAATAATCAAAGCAATAATAATAATCAGCTGAACTGTGGATGTAGTCAAGTTATTTTTGGTGTGGTTTTCCATACACAATAGAGGGAGTTATCTTAGGTTTATAAACTTCAATTTTCCAATTTTTAAAATATTTTCCCCATTAAGCCTACATATAGTTTAAAGAGAATGTAAAAGGTTTTCAAGCCTTTTTATGTGTATTAGGGATTTCTATTTGGGACATTCCAATTCAATGTACGATACCTGTGGTTCCTGCAATTCCAGAAAGTGTTAACCCAGAATGACACAGTATTTCATAACCAACCTCTAACACCAGACCACAGTAACAAAAAGAGAAAAGTGATAAAAGAATAGCCTACCTTTACTAAATTGGACACTTCATAGCCTGCATCTTCATAATCAAAGCTGTAATGTAATAAACAGCAAAAATTAAATATTGAACCCAAACACTTGCCAGATTATTTACTTTCTGTTCTGAAAAATGATGCCAATCGCTGATAGAACTCTATTAACCAAATCAATAATAAAATTTGACATTATATATCATTAATATACAGAAAATGCTGGTGGTTCCCCACTAGGGAGGGACATACATACCTTCCATAACCTGATGTAACAGATTTCATCATATCAAAAAAATCTACCAATATTTCATTCAATGGAAGTTTTACTTTAGCTAATAAACGTTTATTATCTATATATTTCTGATCTAGTATTTCACCTCTACTTTGCTACAAATATAAATTATAATAACATTTCTATGATCCAAGTTATTGTAATCAAATTAAAATTAGACAATTATTTCATTTCTTTATTGTTTTCTGATTTTTTGATAAATTAGTTGTAGAATAGCGTTTGTCATATTGCTCTACTTTAGGTTTCGATATCCCACAATTCCTTATCTTATCAAGAAATTGGTTCTCTATGACATGCTTTGATTGGTCTTTACACTACCTTTGAGAAGGACCTGTGGTAGAAATCTATTTAGATTACAATGAAGACTAAAAATATCAGAAAATTAAGAAAAAAATTGTTATCTAATTTTAATAAGATTGTATCAATTGTGTCCCTTTGCTTTTCCAAATGTATCTGAATATTGATGCTTTGTTTTGTTGAAATAGGAGGTATTGCTTTAGCCATAAAAAGCTAAATATAGAAAACATGCATGGCTTGAGTAGAACAAACATTATACACATACCAATATAGGTCAAGAATTGTACCTTCTAAAATGTTTGCAAAAAATAATTGAAGATGAACGGATGAAGTTATATAACTAATAACATTGTATGGGCGTATAAGAATAAAAAATAATCATACTGACCATTACCAAGTCCATAATTTGTCCAAGATAGTCATCAGGGAATAATAATTTGCCTTCTACCATTGGCTCCAACATCTCAACTATAATACTTTCATTTGGTAACTAGAAAAATTTGGAAACATATTGAAATACCTTTCTTCTTTGATTTCAACAAAGATCACAAATCAATCTTTATGAGGAATAAAATACAAGATATTGTATAAACCAATTCTCCTGTCCATTGTGAAAATTTAATTTTTCTTTCTAAAAAACTGAAAACAAACCCTTTATCACACATAAATAGATTTAATCAAATTAAAACTGTTTTTGGACAATATTTCATATTTTGATCAAAATATCGAAATATAGACTTACATGTGGCAACTTACATGAATAGGGTTTAAAATAGTAACAACTTCTGAACCATATTTCTTTATATTTTTAACACCATGCACTTTGACTAGAAAATAGAGCATTTATTCATTATTTTATCAGTGTTGTTTTAGTTAAACCTTTAGGCCAGATGAATACAATGTAAATTTGCCTCAAAACAATTGAATTGATTACAGGAGAATCGAGAAAGAGAAAGAAGCCATGTATAACCTTGTTCACTTGTGAAATTAAGAATGAGTTAACTACTAACCTTTATAAGGTACATTAGGTATGGTAGATATAACATTGGCATTGTATTCTTGTTCTAAACGTTGACTAAATACATCCATATGTAATAATCCTAAATATCCAAGTCTGAATCCTTGACCTAACACAGGACTGAAAAAAAAAACAAAGTTAACACAATTATTTCATCACTTCTTCAACCTGATGATGATGATCATCTTTTGTTCAAAATAATACATTAAAATGCAACATTATTAATTCTATGACAATCATTTATTACAAGATTGGTTAACTCACAATAAGTTTTTAAGTTTGGTTTCCACCCTAAATAACAGGTTTAAGATTAAATATTAGAATGTTTATGTTCATGGCTAAATATTTATTATGTCACATGAAATTCAAGTCATACATGCACAAGATTATATACTATGACAAACAATGTTTTATTTCCTAGACACCTTCTAAAATCTTATTGAAGGAGGACAGGAAGTTTTATTCTTATTCAGAAAAGAGTCACAAAGATTTATTGGCTGGTATAACAAACAATGAGTTGACTATAACAACAAGTGATAATTGGCAAAGGTCATTTCAGAAATTATAACCAGAAGGTCGTTTCAGGAATGATACCAAGAAAAAGTCATTTTAGAAATGATAACTGGACAAGGTCATAAAAGAAATTATATCCAGAGAAGGCCAGTTCCAAATGATAACTAGAGAAGGTCAGTATCTAAATGATAATGAATGAAGGTCAATATCTAAATGATAATGAATGATGGTCAATATCTAAATGATAATGAATGATGGTCAATATCTAAATGATAATGAATGAAGGTCAATATCTAAATGATAATGAATGAAGGTCAATATCTAAATGATAATGAATGAAGGTCAGTATCTAAATGATAATGAATGAAGGTCAATATCTAAATGATAATGAATGAAGGTCAGTATCTAAATGATAATGAATGATGGTCAGTATCTAAATGATAACTAGAGAAGGTCAGTATCTAAATGACAACTAGAGAAGGTCATTTCAAGAATGATACCAAGAAAATGTGATTTCAAAAATGATAACACTGGAGAAGGTCATTTCAGAAATGATAAACAGAGAAGGTCATTTCAGAAATGATAACCAGAGAAGGTCATTTCAGTAATGATAACTAGAGGTCAGTTCAGTTATGATAACCAGAGAAGGTCATTTCAGAAATGAAAACGAGAGGTCAATTTCTAATGATAACGAAAGAAGGTCTTTTCAGAAATAATAATCATAAAAGAGTTTACAAAAGTCATACCAGGAAAAAGGTCATTTCAGCAATGATAACTAGAGATAGTCATATAAGAAATTATAACCATAGAAGGTCTTTTGATCTTTTAAGGTATCATTAATCATAAGAATAAAGAAATATTTTACCTGTTATCTGTATGTACTGCTACACTCGGATCATTTAATGTTAATTTCTCTATAGCTAATTTTAAATTATGAAACTCTGATTGATCTGAAGGATATATACCACCAAATACCTAAAATTGACATTATAGAAAACAGATAATGGAAAACAGTACATAGTTTTTCTCTACGGGGCCGGCTTATGGAGACTGGCATTTCCATGCAGAACGCAAAGAAGTAAATATGCTTCATTTTTTATAGCCAACTGTTGAGGGATCTACAATGTGCACTCCTGAAGCAAATAGGGTATTCATTAACTGCTGCATTTCAACGAAACATTTACCCGCTTTGATCTACATCATCACTGAAAGTAGGTCAAAAATCTGAAGGTACTATCTAGAGATTGAAGCTTACTTATACTGTATACTGTCAATATATCATACTTACCATTGGTTTAGATGATTTAAAGCCTGGTAATGCCTCTACCTTAGTACCTGGTGTAAAATATGTATCTCCTAATTGTGCTTCTTTAGAATCTCTTATATTACAAAGCACATACCCAACTTGTCCAGCATATCTACATATATATAGTTGTATTCAAACCAAATGAAAATTAGATTACAATTTTGTTTACTTTCTTTTCTGATATTTTTTGTAATCCAATTTTAATCCAACATATTTTCTACCACAGTCCTGTTCTTATGACGTCATTTTCAACCATTCAAAGTATGTCATGCAAGACCCATGATAACATAATGAATTGTGGGGTAGCAAAACCCACAGATGCTGTCATATTGCTCTACTTTGAGTTTGTTTAATTGGTTATAATTTGTTATTGTTATTAGGGAAAAAGTCTTTCATGACACCCTTTGATTAGTTAAAAATATCTTATTAGAATAAAAGACTGTGATAGAAAACTTGTTAGATTACAATAGAGATGAAAATATCAGACAAAAAGCAATCTAATTTTAGTTTGCCATAGTTTTTTAAATGTTTGATTTAAGAATCAAAATAGAAATATAAAATAATTTAAAAACAAATGTACGGTATTGTATCTTCTCCTAATTTTTAAAGTATGTTGTATGACATAGACAGTACTATCATTGAAATATTTAAAGATGACTTTCCCTTATTTTTTAGTGTCAAATTAAGCCAACTATTTGATTCATTGGTGTTTCTAATGAATTATCATGTATTCTTAATCATATCATTATGTTCTTATTGCAATTGATTAAGAGTTTTAACCAATCATAAATGTCCATGTATGTACAGTCTAGATAAACAAAAAAAGACTTTTTGATCTTTCTTGATAGGTCACTCATTGGAATTCTGCTGGTTATTCTCTTTTAATTTAGCTAATAATGAATTAATTATGAAATGTGAGACAAACTGGTATTTTTCCAAATCATTAGAACAACTCTACTATCTATTCATATAAGTATTAGCATTTTCATTTTCATAAATGAAAACACGGGAACCCATCTTTAAAAAATTCAATCACTCACAAGGCGTCAGTAGGAACTTCATCAGGATGCATATATCCAACATCCTGTACTTCATATACTTTGGTACTGTGTATTGATGTTATTTTATCACCTGCATTACAAAACATTACATGCAAAAATCATAGTTTTTCATTTCAAAAAAGAGTATAAAGAAACATTTGTTTGCAACAATTATTTTTTTCTACAATGGATTGAAAAGATACATTGAACCAATCAGAAGGGTATGCTATGAAATGTGCACTATGAGGGTGTCGAACAAAAAAATACGTGAAAATGAGCTTACCTCTCTTCAGGGAACCATCTATCACAGACATAAGAGCAATAACACCCCGAAATTGATTATATGCAGAGTCTATCATAAGAGTGCGCATAATATTTTCTCGACTGCCACTTGGTCTGAAATATCAGAAATGTGTGATACATCTATTATTGTTAATTGAAATATCAGGAATATCTACTTGTATAATGAAATCTCAGGAATGTATGGTACATCTATTAGTGCACTGAAATTTAGAAGCATGCGGTACATCTAACAGCAAAATGAAAATCATAAATATGTGGTACATCTGTTAATGGTAAATTGCAATTTCAAAAATATGTTGTATTTCTATTAGTACAATCAAATACCAGCAATTATTGAAATGATTAAAGAAATATACATACGGTGGTATTTGTTCTATAACTGTTTTTAATAATTCTTCTACACCAGTACCATGTTTAGCAGATATCTTAAATAAAATAAAAATATAATATAGTTGTCTCAATAATCAGATGTTTGCTAATTAACCTAGGGAATCATAGTTTGACCTGTCTGGCATAGATGGAACAGTCTGGCCAATGATATATTTATGAGAAGCGAACATTGAAAATAGCTTGGATGGGGCAATGGTGTTGCCAGAATAGAAGTATGGAGAACTCCACTCCATTTCATTTGGATGAAGTTATTTCTTTCAATAAGACAATTTACTAAGGTCCATTGCCTTTGATGAAATCATACTTTAATCTTAATGATTTTATCATTTGGTAGTTCCATCATTAAAATCACTGAATTATATAGTAAACCTACCCTAAATATATCTTTATCTTCTATATCAAATAAAGATTTAATTTGTTGAATGACTACATCAGGTTGAGCACCAGGTAAATCTATTTTATTTAATACTGGTATGATAGTTAAATCTTTCTCAAATGCTAGATAGAAATTGGCTACAGTTTGAGCTTGTACACCCTGCAATCAGAAATTCATATGTAACTATTAAGAAAAAACATGATGAAATAAAACAAGGAAGCAAGGTTGTGATAATGAGATCTTAATATACTTAACAATTAAAATTTTAATTAAAATTAAAATAAGGATGCGAAACTCAATTTCACTACATTTGATTTCTTTAATAGCGGAGAATGATGCAAAGAGATAAAATAACTTTCTTCAATAGCTGTAAGAATAAAAGATAACAGTATTATACACCAACCTGATTGGCATCAACTAACAATATAACACCTTGACAAGCTGATAATGATCTAGCTACTTCATAATTAAAATCTACATGACCCTACAAAATAACATTAATCCATCAAATATGGCACATATAGTCTTCCTTGATAGGGCTAGGAATGTCTATACAGATCTTCAAATATCTTACTGTAATATCAATATCAAAGCACTTTTAACTAGTGCTAACATGATACATTGGTAAATTGATACACTGCAATAATAAATGTCACTATAAGTGTATCATATCACATGCTTGTATAACAATACTTGAAGATACCTGACAAACATCTACATCTTCAAGGTAAATTGAAGTCAATATGCAACAAGATACAACAGGAATGTTTGAATCAGAACTTTTATACCAAAGAAAGAAAGATGTATTTCCACAGATAACGACTTATGTTTTCTATGTTATTTATTGTAAGACACATCTCTAATCTAAGCATTGATTTATACTCCTTCAAATCAAATATCTAACTTACTGGTGTATCAACAAGATTTAATAAATATTCCTCTTCTTTATAATTATATAACAAGGATGCAGTTTGTGCTTTAACTGTAATACCTCTTTCTCTTTCTACTTGTAACTTATCTAGAACCTGTTTATTTTTATCATCTTTAGGAATGGTGCCTTGAATAATAAAATAATAACTTAACAACATTATCATGAATATAAATCAAATGCTAAAATATGGAAAATAATTTTTTTTTATTCAGTTTTTTTTTTTTGATAAAATTTTTGTCTAAGGACTTGTTCACACTACAGGCAGATCAGGTTGGTGCAGAGAAGAGTAGAGGACAGTGGAGTGTTCACATATAAACAGATATAAAGCAATTGATATAGGAGATTTCGTGTGTGAGTTGCTACCGGAAATTGGAAAAACATACAGTCAAATTTCCAGTTGTTCTGTTCACCTCTGCGACACCCAGCTTGCTGTATAAACAGCTAAGCATCTGTGCATTGAAAACTAATAAGATACTAATGTCGTTACTGCTATGCTCAGCCCTGTAGTGTGACTGAACTCTTATAGTTAACAAAATGAAAGAACTGAATTGAATAAAAAGTAAAACTGGATCCTCAAATACCTGTGATTTCTAGAAGTCTGTCAGCTAGTGTGCTTTTACCATGATCTACATGAGCTATTATACTAAAATTCCGTATTCTCTCTGTTGGGTATTCAGATAGATCTTTTCTCACCTAAAAATTAACATGGACAAATGATTTGGTGCTTAATAGGTACAGGCCACATTCATGAATAACGGTACCTTTAAATTCTACATTTTTCATGCATGCAGGTCAGGGAGAGTGAAAAAAGTGCCTGTGAGATAGGGCAGTAAATTATGGCCTCTGTGCATCAAGCTTTGTAAGATTCCACGTAATTTTCAACTTTTCTGAGACTGTTCTGGCAAAATCTTTTAATCATTGAACATTGCCTAGCTTAGCTTGTCTTTATCAGCCACACCAAACTGTCTATGAACAAATAAAATGTAATGATATACAGAAATGATGAGAAATTATATTGTAGTATACCTTTCTATCACCACTGTTGTCACTTGGATCTCTATTGGTTGAACTATATCTACCAAAAACCAACCTAGCAAATACAAATAAACGAACATCTCTATGCAATATTGGTACTTAAATCAAAATAAAACATTGCATAAATATTGATTTCATCAGATTACTAATAGTAATAACATAGTAAAAAAACTGAGCTTATTAAGCATGTTGAGAATATATCAAGGCATATGCCTATTAATATAATCAAGATGTATCCCTTAAGCAAAACTATGTCAAGGGTGAAAAGAGATATCATAACCATCTGACAACAGTTAACTCAGACTTGAAACTTCTCTGCCATTTACGAAATAGATTTTCCATTGATTGAAAATTGTCATGAAAAAAGACCCACTGTTCAGACTGAAAATTTGGTACAAATATATTATCTAAGCTTACAAATAATAATGACATTTTCATCAACTCAAAAAATATCTAGGAGTTTTAGTACCGGTACTATTTTTGGGTTGGTAATTCAATTTATGGCAAAATGTCATTTTGTAAAAATTGTGGTGTTCAGTCATCACGTCTATAGATAAAACGTCTTCAACCTACCAACTACTGGTCTACAAATTAAAAAGCAAATCAACTTCACAAATCATTTGAAATAAAAGTGTATACAGTCGAGTAGCCTAATTTCGTGGAAACCTATTATTCGTGAATTTTCGGAAATGATTAACAATTTACGTGAGCGACCTTGCGCGACCTCCGCATTAGTTTGTTTTAATAAACATGGGTTTTTTGTACAATATCAGCTAGTAGAATGAATCCAGTAGTTGCAAGCAAGGTAAAATGTATTAATGTATACTTTGAAAAATACAAAATGGCGGATTTCACTTATTACCAAACGTCACCATTTTTTATCGGCCGAATTTCATTATAATCCCGAGCGGTAATCGGAATTCCAAATGTCGTCTGCTAGAATATAATCCAACGAATGAAGTCACGTGATTAACTAGCGGATTCCGTGTCAGCAGAAAATTTCTATGGAACACAAAGTGGATCATATTCTTATGTTGTTTCAGTGACTTTTAGCAATAAATCAATAAATTACGTATCTTATTTTGTCAGTCACTATTTTTTTTTTAAATCGTGGTTTTTTGAATGAATTGTCACTAGTTATAATGTATTGATATTAAAGATAAATACTAAGAGAAGTTAATTATACCACCCAGTATCCATACAACGTGTTTATCTAGACTTATTTATAGATCAAACATTGTACAGAAAAATAGGTGACGCATTCTGCCGCCGTTCCCGAGTTGATTGCTCATGAAATATGGGTCAAAGTGAAGGATTCATTAAGAAAATCGAAAGAAACCAATTTGTATTATTTTGTAGAATATCTGAGGAAACATGTAAGACATAAAATTTTTTTTTCGTTTTTTTAACTTTGACGAAATTCGGTGTTGAATCCTTATATCCACGAAAATAGGTTACACCACTGTATAACAAGTTCATTCAATTTACTACTAACTTTACGGTCTAAGATACTATGATTAGTACTACTTTTTCCAGCCAGTCTGTATAGTCTTACAGACAAAGTCGACAGTGTCAAAACTAACAAGTAGGCTAAAGACTTCATGCTGACAATAATAATAAATAAGTCACATAACAAATTAATGTTGTTATGTAAATAAATGGCCTAACCCCATCATAAATGGTCTCTCTAAAATCAATGCCAATGGGTTTTTTTGATCAGATTTCATTATATCTGCTCATATGACTTTTGTAAATGAGGTCTATAATCACAAAATGAATGTTGATGAGTTTTCATTTTTAGACGAGTTCCCAGGTCAAATATTGTTTAGACGAGACGATGTGTAGACCAGTTGACTGGTAAAGTGTTCTTTTTATAAGGTACCTCCTGCTTAGATTAAGTTTAGACGTGTTAAACAATTGGTCTCTCAGTATGCAATGTTTCATAAAAGTCTGACACCAGCTTTTCATTTTGATTCATATAAACTTATAATCTTTAAAAACATCTATTTCTAATGGGCGCAGACATTTTGTCAACCTTCTTTAGTTTCCTTAAATGAAAACATGCCAGGAAAGATAACTCAACAAACTTCCGGTTTAGAACCGGAACTGACATCAAACTGCTTCGTGGACGAGAAAATAGAAATTGTGTCAGATAATTTCCTGTCAAAGAGTAATCATTTTTCTAATTCCATGCTTGATCTGATGTACTCATATATTGTTGCGACTTGGAATTGATTTCTGGGTTTCTTCTACAAAGTTGGAAGGATCTTCATTGAGAAATTGAAAAAAAGATATTGTGTAATAAGTCAACATCTTGGTCAGTTGGTGACTCGTAAATTGTGTGTTTTTTTTCTGTGTTGTGACTGACACCGGCATTCTCTGAGAAACAAAGTGGGGATACATATAAATAGCATGTTAGATGCAAAATTATAAGGTTTTAAACATCCATTTGTATGTGATAAAGATTCCAGAGTGTGAAGATTAGTTGATTATTTCAATGATAGCTCGACGCAGACAGACAGGACAAACCCCGTCTTCAGATAACTTAAATACACCACCAAATAAAACAACTCGTACAATTCAGAGCAGTCCATCACCAAAGTCTAGTCGCAGAAATCAAACTGATATAGATCTAGATATGACATGCAGAGACCGTTCAAATGAGTTCCTGTCAGCTGTCAAACTCCTACAGTCACGTCAAGGAAATGGCTTGGTTATGCCCAAGCAAAGAAGAGACTTGAGGGCAAGAAGTGAATTTAACGTGATTGCTAAGCGAATAGGAAGAGATTTGGCCAATACTTTTGCTAAGTTGGAAAAATTGACTCTTTTAGCCAAGCGTAAATCTTTATTTGATGATAAGCCTGTTGAAATTCAAGAACTAACTTACATTATAAAACAAGACATTAATAGTTTGAATAAACAAATTGCTCAACTCCAAGAACTGTCTCGTTCACAACGAGCCCAAAATGGCAAGCATGCACAAACACATTCCAATTCTGTTGTGGTGGCACTGCAGTCAAAACTGGCTTCAATGTCCAATGACTTTAAAGGTGTATTGGAAGTTCGTACTGAAAACTTAAAACATCAAAAAGAGAGGAGAGACCAGTTCTCTCAAGCTGGGGCTACTAGTTTACCTCCTTCAAGTATGGGTCCAGGGGGACAGACTAAATCGCTTTTGTATGAAGAAGAAAATCGACAAAATGGCGGTTCAGACTTTGCAATAAATATGGATGGACTGGACAAGAATCAGCATCAGCAACAATTACAACTTGTTGATCAACAAGATGCCTACATTCAAAGTAGAGCAGACACAATGCAAAATATTGAGTCAACTATTGTAGAATTGGGATCTATTTTCACACAGTTAGCTCACATGGTTCAAGAACAGGAAGAAATGGTGGGCAGAATTGATGCTAACATTGAGGACACCCAAATGAACATTGAAGCTGCTCATAGCGAGATTTTAAAGTATTTTCAATCAGTGACTTCAAATCGGTGGTTAATGATAAAAATATTTGGTGTTTTGATTGTTTTCTTTATAATATTTGTGGTTTTTATGGCCTAGAAATTATGCCTGTACATTGCCAGCCTTAAAAACAGTTTGACTTGACAGAAAAGTTTCTTTTTTCATTTCAATTAACTGAATTGATGCAAATTTGACTTCACATGTCCAAATAATGTTCCATTTAACTGTTCAAGTGTTCTGACACTATGTATTTTAATCTTATGTTTTCATTTATAATATTTTGGCTGAGGTTTCATTCTCATGTTATTTTAATTGTTGGCATCTTTGATCTTCCATTATTTATCTTATCGAACAGGAAAAGGAGCAATTTTCGAATTTTTTCCACATATGGTTTGAAGTTGAGAAATTATGATTAAGACAGAGAACTAACACAAAGGTCTTTAAATCAATCAAAATTACTATTGTTAAAGAGTTACAATATTTAATATACTGATATTAATAATGGCAGATTATTTTGCAAAATATGTGATAAATTGTGATAACTTTATTCAAATACTTCAAAACAGTAGATTGATAGTCTTAGAATGACTTAGTGTTGATGTAAATATAAAACATGTTCTCAATTTGCAAAATGCTTTTACAGAGGACAACATGCAGTCCTAAGATGGAACATTTTCAATAGAAGATTCTTGGAGAGAGTTTTATTATATGTAAATCTACAAAATTGTTTGATAATATTATTCTTAGACTATCTTACCTTACTGTATTGATGTTGATATTAGAATTCAGTTAACAATAATTGGTAAAGCCAAGAAAAGACACACTAATGCTAATTTTTAAATTAAATAAAGTTAATTTAAGCTTAATAGTATGTGCATGGTTTCCTTTAAAAACATTTATGGGTCCAAAATGATTCTTATGCAGCTTTAAGAATTGTGTGAATTCAGCTTTGAAAACACAAAGTCAACTTGGTTATACAATCAATGATATGATACTGATATGTGCACATAACTGTTCAATATTATGACTACTTAGAAAAAAGTTTGACATTATGACTTGCAGTTGAGAATCGAATTCTATTACGGTTCAGTGTAATTTTTAAATAAATATTGAATTCTAAACATTGTATAATACGTGTATAAACACCCAAATAATTTATGTTTTAAAGATAATGTATTATATTGTAAATATAAAATGTATCTGTTTATATCATTGTATAAAACTTTTTCTTTATATTTAAATTTTTGAACCTAATACGTAACATTCATTCAGATTTACAACATTGTTCTTAATCAGTGCCACTAATACAACGTTTCATGTTTGGTACTGGTGCTTTGTCCCGAGTGAAACTTTAAGGAAAAAAGTCCATACATAATTGTGTAACTGCCTAAAGGATTGAGTTTTAGCTTCATGTGAATCATTCATACTTGTACAGAATATATTTTATTTAGGGGAAGGGGCTTTATTTAAGCTCTATAGGGTAACAAAGAAAATTGTTTGGAATACATGTATATCCTTCTTTCAAGCTTTAGTTTAGGGTACAGTCTCCTTGGAGTTTTAACAGATTAAAATTTCATATTTCAAAGTTATCAAGTCAATAACCTACCATAGTGACAAAATTACTTGGTATTGATTGTAAGGACTATTTTTGTCAATATAAACCTGATGTTGTTTAGTTAATATTGTAAATAATAAATATATGATTGAATCAGCCGTCTATTATTACTTTATCATTTTGGGTTACATGTTCATAAAAACAATATATAATTTTGATTCATACTCATTGGACATATTGTACTGCAAGCAAACGTTCTTATTATCTTCTGATAACCTATGTCATTATAAAAATTTGGTATGGTATGGTATATTGTCTTAAAGTGGCACCTTCTTAAAGACTTTTGCCTCCCTATGGCCAATAATAATGAATTTTGGGTTATACATAAATGCCAAAAGAGTAACAATTGTTGCATAATGAACAGTATTTGGTTTTACTTTTTTTCATAACATTCAATTTTAGATTGTCTATTGAACATACTCCAACCTTAAGATCACTTCCATGAAACTATCAACAAAATTCCATGTTGAATCTTGGATCATGACTGGCATATTGAATTAGTGGTAAATGAAAAGAATAGTGCATACTTTGTTATACTTCATACTTCCAGAAGACTTGATGACAAACTTATTTTGTCAGTTTATCACCCTTTTAAAGTACATGTATTGTATATTTAATATATATTTTATTTACATAGTCTGAATCTACAAACCTATAAATCTATCACACAATTCTTTAATTAAACTAACAATCACTCATCAAATATATTAACATCTTAAAACTTGATTCTAAAACCTTTTTCTAAAATCACAATACCACTCACCAACAGATTTTATAAGAAAAAAAAGTGCTTTTGCTTATTAAGTGCAATATTACAAAGGAAATTATTGTATTGATGGGTACAATAGCATGATACCACTTACCAGCTGAAAGTGCTCACTTACATTTCAGAAATAACTGCACATGAGAAAATAAATGGATGCCAGATTTTATTTTACTTCTGAAAAGTGATATAGAGATCTGAAATTTAATTGGTTAAGCTATTTGTTAAATTATGTTAAAAGGTTTTTTGCAAATATTTTTGACTGTCTACGACAGCTGCGACAGCTGCAACAGGAGCTAGTTGATGTAGTCTCCGACACCCAAGACATCCAAATTTCGGAGAGAAGATAAGTTTGTGAACCAAATAAATATAAAGTTTGAAGAAATTATGGGATTTTCGTACAGTATGAGTAGTTCAAAAGACTATTTATGTATTCAAAGTCTAAATCAACCCCCGAAATGCTGCACCAGTCCCTTTAAAAAATCACATTTCCTTTAAATAAAAATTATATATACATAAATATACAAATTTGTTGTATAATTTACTGGGATTTAATTTGTTATTCAATCTTATATAAAATATCTAGTGAATATCTAAGTGACTATAACGTGTCAAATAAATATAAAGGTGCATGGTTTTTAATTTGCAAATCTTTTCATTTCAAAATTGTATTTATGACACATAATATAACTTACTTAAAAATGACATATACTAGACTTCAAAAATAAAAATGACATATACAAAAATATACAAATAAATTATAATATACAAACTTCTTATATAATTTATTGGGATAAATACATAACTGGGTGAAATAAACTTCACTATATGACTCATGTTAAGATATGGTGTACAACATTTATCACATCTGCATGGCTCTGCTGGTCACCACTTTATGGCTCACAATTTAAGGCATATGTTGACAGGGTTTTTGTAGCACCCAAATCAATATTTTCAGTCTGTACCTATGTCCAATGGTTAGATCAGCAATGAAAATCTCAACTACAACTGTTTTAAAGAGAAAATAGCAAAAGCTTACATAAAAAATACAACAAACTATTGCACTCGCACCTAAGAGAAAATCCACAAACTTTGTACAGCTGTAAATATCAACTCATCACTCTTATAGTGCTAAATTTTTATTTAAGATATGTCACTTTTAACAGACATATTTATCTTTGATTTTAGCTCTGATTATATATTCTTTAAGGTTATCTCATATTATATGGCCCTAAAGCTTAAAAATAGGCTATAAAAAATAACTTAACAGAACAATTACAGATATATGCATAAAACATAGTATCCCATAATTGTTTTTGTATTAAACAGCATATCCACTTTTGTTTTTTAACAGCGACAAATAGTATTTTATTCAGCAAGTAGATTTTACAAAATGACAAAAATGAAACAGAATATCTATTTCTGCTTTTCATTAAGACTGCATTTGTGGATATAAATAAAAATATTTGCATCTAATAAAAACAATTGTTAATTTAAAAAGCAATCTGTGTGATACTAACAACTGTTTACATTAACACAACAATATATATTAACACTTCACTTTAAAACAACAAGAAAATAGTCTCCATTATTTATATTGTATCGATACAACTGTCTTGTACCATATTTCATTTCTTCTGAACCATAACCAGAACTATCTGAGTTATAATATTCCTCTGCTACATAAAATAGTCTGAATTTTGATGGAGGAACACCCACAAATTCTTCCAAAGATTTTTTTAATTGTGCCACTGTTTTGTTTGTGTCCACTTTGATTTTCTTTTCTTCACTTTCAAATTGAACTGTGACAGAAAAATGTGTTTTTGGTTTAAGGTCTAGTTCCACTAAGGGATCTAGTTTTCCGTATACTCTTTCTAATTCATAATATCTACAACAAAAATCATTTTTTTTTTCATTAAAACCCTTCCCAATTCAGGGAATTTTGATACTCATGAGTTTTATTTCCCAAAATGATTTCAAGTTTCAGCCTATCATTCTGTACTGACATAAAAAACCTAATATCAGTTTGTTCATAACACAAACAATATTTCTTTAACAAAATAATTGGATAGGTTGAACAAGGCTGAGTTTGATAGCTCTTGTTAACACAAGTTTTCATAGTTGAGGCATCTTCACAATGTTAAGTTGTCACAGACTGTCTATTACTTAAGGCACTTTTATTATATTACTGAAATTTGTTAATGTAATTGTATGCCAGTGAATACAGCTAGATAATACAGCTTATCAGAGCCCTTAACAGCAAGTCTGTAAACTATAAAGTCTTATCTTTCTGTTAAAGGGCTCTAATTTACTGTAGCTGTAACACAGTGAAATGAAATTATAATTACCGTTGAGGTTTATGATTATCATCTTTATCCATATAATGTCTTATAAATGCTCGTTCAGCATCTTCTCTCTCAGTTTCAGCAATTCTACTTCCATTTAAATGTGTTAAATTTGGTAGTCTAGCTATTTGTAGTTGACGTCGTAAATTATCATCTAATGTCTGAAACATATATTTCATTATTTGTAGAAATCAGAGTGTTCTTTCAAATATAATTTTTTTTAAAATATTGTCCAATTCGAAACATAAACTCAACCAGTCCATTCTATCTTTAGGTAATCTAAGAAGTAATCAACACAATGTAAGTTGAATCTGTATAGTATTACAATTCTGCTCATGGACTGCTAATATTTATGTTTTGAAACAGACCCGAACAAGCAGTATAATTATGTGCTTTCTGTAAATAAGCCTACACAACCACTCCAATCTTGTCACTGCTTATGACAACCATTGAAACATGGGGTGAGAACCACATTGAAACTTTGAAAGTCAAAAATTTAGGTTAGAAAACCTAATAGATAAGTCTTTCATACCTCAAAACAAGGAATCTTTAACAAACGAACATCTTTTAACTTTGGAAATTTACGGAGTTTGTCTAGTTCTTGCCAGTCTTGTAATGGTGTTTTATTGAGGTTGAGACATTGTAAAGATGGAAAGGCATCAGGCAGAACATCTTCTGGTTGTATAGAACTAATATTATTCTCTGTCATCACAAATCTTTCCATATTAGGGAAATTATAACCAATTTTACAGATTTCATGATAGGAATGTACATTGTTTCCATTAAAATGCAGAGTTTTAAGTGCTGAGTATGGTTCATCTAAAGAAAAGTCTATATTTGTGTAGTTGTTTAAACTTAAATGTAGTTCTGTGAGTCTGAAATGAGATAGAAACTATACAGAACCTGAAAAGCTAAGTCATACTACGATATATTTTCAATCAAAAATCTGAACCATTTTTTGCTGTCAAATTGATTAAACTGAGCAATTTGATGTTTTCTGTGGTTTATTCGATATACCATCCTTGATCTAAAGAATTTCTTTTGAATATCAAGTTCAGTAAAATTTGTTTTTGGTAAGCATTATTTTACTCCTTTTATTCATGATGTGTTTATATGATCCCTTTACTTTATGCCATGATTTTAAACTTGTGGTGGTTAACACCTGGATTCATCTACAAGTAAAAAGTGCCATGTGCACAAAATATGTATGATTTTATGTTCTACAATGCCTAATTAGCAAGAGATTACAGTCAAGTAACAAACATACTCAGGAAATAGCTGGAGAAGAGAGTCTACAGTAGACCATGTTACACCAGTATTATTAACAACAAGATGGTTGACAGTAGGAAAACACAAGTCATCACTTCCTAATTGTAAAGTTGATTGTAAATCATTTGATGTCAAATTCAAGAAATTTAAACCAGGGATTCTTTCTAAAATCTTTAAAATCTGAAATGACAAGCAAAGCCAATAAACAAGACTGTAACCACATCAAGGCAAATGCCTCATGCTGAATTTGACAAAAAAGCAATTTTTAAAAAAAAAATGAATTATATAAATTTGGTATGCGCTCAATATTGATGTCTATAGTAAAGGTAGATACTGTTTGAAGTCTAACAAAAGTGTTGAGATAAATGACATAATTGACTTCAAAGACAAATGGTTAACTCATTACTAATTCGTTAAGGAAAATAGTTGTCTGAACATTTTCATAGCCATCCCTTTCAGAATCTGTTTCTGATAATGTAACCAAACTTGTCATCACTTTGAAGGTGTTATTCTTATTCTTACAGCTATTACCTGGAAATTGACGACATTCTAAACTGTACCACAAAACAAGAAAAACAGCAGTAACTTACCTCTTCCCAGTTAGTTAAGGCATTTTTAGTAAGGTCCAATTCACATACATCATGACACATTCTTTCTATTTCTTCTACATTACCAGCAGCTGCAATATGACTATCAGTTAAACTGAGAACTTTAGGTAGTGATAGCAAATCACCGGATTCTGAAAGATATTTAGGTATCATAAATTAAATAGAAATTGTGAGAAATTTGGGTAAAATGTTCATAAAAGCTTGGAAGTGATGACATAAAAAAGAGCAAATATCAAATGAAACAGTTATCAAATAGCCAGTGGCATTTTTATGAACACCACCAACCCGCTCTCCTAGAGATGAGGCTGGTCCTGCCATTTCACACCCTCCCCCCCCTCTACCCCCTCACCTTCAAATTTTTTGTCATTGACTTCTTAAATTCTTAAATGCATTGTACTGTGAGTCCCTTTGTCAATTCTTTGGCCACTCAACCAGATGAATCATAGAAATGACACTGAAATAACTCAAAAATTTCTAAATAATATTCCTTATCACTGTAACTCACCTGAAATTTTAGCAGGACCTCGTTTAGGCACATAGATGGTACAACAATCTTCAAGAGTATCATCACAGAATTTATCATTGATGGCTTCCACCAGAGTTTTACATCCTATTTCACTCTCACTTATTTCAGCTGAATGATCACACACTTCCATAGTTCTACAACACAATACTGTAGTCATATAATACTGCCTTTGACTGACATGATCCTGTTTCCTAATGAAACAAGAATTTCTATTGGATACAAGAACAGCCATTTTGAATTAACCAGGGTGCAGAAATAGTGAATTATTTTACAAATTTCAATCAAAGATCATGAAAAATTCAGTTCTCAAAGTGTTACTGTAGACTTCCTACAGGTCAGAATTTCATTCTAAGTAATGATATCAAAATTGAATTCCGATCAACTGGTAAAGAAAATACTTACATGACTTATAAGCATATATTGTTAAAAGAATTATTATCAATTACTGATTATTGCATACAGCATTAAAAATACTCTTGCACTTAGCCTTTGAGTTTCAGAAAAATAAAATTCAACATTTAACCGTTTGGTCAAAATTAACTCTGACTCACTTCCTAATCTACCTGCTGACTCAAAATAGATATCTGTATAAGAATGACATTTAAAATTAGATCTAACCCCAACAGATAAAAGAAATGACAATAGCTATCTTAACAAAGGCTGATTAAACTTTCCGTTACTTATTTTAATATTTTCTTTTTTTGACATCAATTATCCTCTTACCCATAAGAGCATTTACATTCAAATTTCATATGACATCTTGACCAGGTCAAATCTATTTCATGCTATTATTATTTATTGAAATCCACTTATGACCTACTTTGTTATTGAATTGAGTTATTGATTTTATAGTCTGTTATCACAGTTAAAATCTGTCAAGAAAAACACTTGACCATTCTATTCAGTAAAACTTAACATAATTAAGCTAGTAAAAATTATACAAAGAGACAGACTGATGCAAATAGATTAGATAAATGAACTTAAGTTTCTATTGACTTTCAGCCAAAAACATATTGCCTTGACTTTTCTGAAGTTTTCTTCCCAAACACACTTTCACTGATAAACAGTCATATCAAATTACAAACTGTTTAGTGTTCTATCTTACCACAATTACTTCTACCTCATTTTCTAACTGTCCCCCTTTGTTTTAGTTTGCAAATTAGTTTACCAATGGCGTTCTGTTTGAATCCAAATAAATCTTATTTATGTCAATATATACCACGAAGCAGACATTTAACATCCAAAAATAAACATTACAAATGAGAAATAAACATTAAAATAGGTCAGTGAAGCTGAATAATAAGAGATCAGCTGTGAAGCTGACTTATGTCAGAAAGACAAATAAATGTCATTGCTAAAGTCATCTAAATTCTTGTATTTCTTACTTTGCCATGTGCCAAATTGTTCACGCTATATTATTACGTAACTAATCCTTCATAAAGTATTAACCGTTATTTCAAAAGATCAAAACTTTGTACCTGCAGTGTATTTCTATAATTACCTGCTTTTGTTATTAAATGAAGTGCGTAAAACGTCACTAACTTTGTTGTTGATAAAAGTGACGTCGACAAGTTATGGGTAGTAGTAGTGGTAGAAGCATTTACGGTGGGTGAAATATGCCATTCTTCCAGTAAAGTTTATCCACACAGTGTACATGTTGTAAAAAAAGTGATGCTGTCCTGGTGGCAATACGTATAGCTTTCATGTGTAGAACGCCGAGTTTCTCCAGTTGAGTATCACTTGCTTTACCATAGGCAATACAACCATATTCAATAACTGAACGAACCAGTGACCTGTACATCATCATTAGAGTTTCTCTGTTTGCTCCCCATGTGGTACCTGAAACATAACGCATAACATTTAAGATTTTTGTAGACCGGTTCTCCAAGTTAAACACTTGTCAAAGTGTACTCCCAGGAACCTTACTGAATTCTCGTGCTTAATCTTCACACCATTCAGTCTAAGGTCAATACTGAAGAGGGTAGGGCTAGTGCCATACTCCAACGAGTGCTTCTCGCTGAGAGAATTGGCGACATTCACTTGTATCTGGCGATCCCTTAAGAAGTCTTGGATCCACCTGAACATACGACACCGAAGGCCAAGTTTATTAAGTTTAAAAAGCAAACCATCAACCCAGACTAAGTCAAAGGCCTTGGATAGATCTAGGAATACTGCGCTGAAGTAGTTCTTCTTTCCGAGTTGGGCCACCATGTCGTGTTGAAGTCGAACGATTTGATCCATTGTTGACCGTTTCTCTCTGTAGCCACTTTGGTTGGGATCGATAAGACCATTTAGTTCATAGTGGTTTCTAAGTCTATTATTGACTATCGTCTCAAATGTTTTACATAGAGTCGAAGTCAAAGAAATAGGCCTGTATGAACTGCATAGACTTTTATCTTTCTGCGGTTTTCCAACTTTCCGGAATTGTACCATTATACCATGATTTGTTGAATAATTCTAGTAGAACTGTATAGACGCTTCCATTGGTAACTCCTTTAACATGCTGTACTTGATATTATCTTCACCAGTAGCGCTGTCTTTCTTACTGTACAGTGCTTTCTTCGGCTCATCGGGGGTGAAGGGAGCGTTAAGATCCCATTCGTCCTCTAAGGGTGAGTGATGAATCGGAGTGTGGTTGGTGTAGAAGATCTTGTTCTTTAGAAATTCTTTGGTATAGTTGGTATCAGCACTGCTGTCAGCATAACACTTGGCTGTCAAATTGGCTTTTCCTTCATTGCTGTATTCTGTGGAATCCCTGTAACAAAGAGTTGGAATGGAAGAATTAAATTTTTTACCAAGCATTGAGTCTATTTTACCTCAGACAGATCTTAGGTTGGTCTTCTCATTTAATGAGTTGCAGAACTCCTGTCAGTGCTTTGTTTGTGATTCACGCAACAGAGCAGCTGTAGAAGCCTTGACCGCTAAGTATTCTCCCTTGACATAACGGTCCGATTTCCTCTAAAACCTTTTTAAGCAGAACCTCTGACAATTTTAATCTTATTATATTCTTCTGTGTATTTCTAAATGAAATAGTTTGCCATTTTCAGTATGATAAAAACCCATTTTACAGTCACTATCATTATTATTATTAATATAATTAACATAATATAAGAATAATAATACATGTGTAAGAACTTTTGTCTATTCGTTTGTTTTGCGCAATTTAGTAGCACCAAAAGAAATTCATTAATGTGTTGTACGTCATAGTTTTTGTTGTGTACAAAATAGATGTCAGCATTTTAGGTGTTAATATGACGTCAGTACCACGTTGTCAATAAATGGAGAACTGCAGTTGTCATGGATGATATGTCAAAACTGAAAGATTTGGAAGGAAATATCGAGGTACCGATTGTTGAAAACGCGTCTATTAAGAAAAGGTATCAAACCTTGCCTTGTTTTTTTTTTTTATAAAAGTAATCAAAGTGTTACATTGATTGTAAATTAAAACATAATATGAACATGGTAAAAGGAGACAGAATGAGGTGGTAGTAGATAAAATACATCATTTTATGTATAATCTGTTCTATTTATAGTTTTAGGATAACAAGTTTTTAAAATAAGTTAATGAGGTCAACAACTGGGCTAGTACTTAACTAACACTGTTTTGCACTTTCCTGTTATTTTCTTCTGTGAATGCAAATATTTTATTTGGTAAAGCTTTTCTTAGTAAAATGATCTTATCATAATTATGAAAGATAATTTATTTCAATTAAATCTCTGTATGGTATGCAAATAACATTGATTGGGAATCATATTAAAACTACTTTTACTGATATGTCCCTTCATACTTTCTTTTCAGAATCATGTCTTTGAAGTTATCAAGTGTGTCTGCCAGAGAATGGTTTCAGAAAACAAGAGAAGGGTTAAAATCATGGCCAGAGTTTATAAAAACGGATCGATTCAAAGTACCTAAATCTGTTGCTCCTGTACCACAAAGAATCATCAAAAATATTGAATATTTTCAAGGCAATTATTTATTTGTCTTCCTTGGTTTATTCTTATTCTGCATGTAAGTAAATACACAATAAAATATTTAAATACTCCAACAGCTCACTGTATCAAAGAATGATTCAAAGCTTCAAAGCAGTCAATAATGCAGCTAACTGATTGAGTTTGAAACATGGTGTAGTGTTTCCTTAAAAAGTCATAAGTTTGAACTTTTTTTTACAGTTTTACAATTTTAACTGAGCTGTATTACTTTGTACCAGCATTAAAAATATTTATCAAACTAAAATCATAATAAAAATAAAGATTGAATCTTTAGCCATTGATAATATGAAATTTTTATTTCCATACTATGACATTTTTGGTATGATATAAACTTTATATGATATTTTTGTATTAACTAGATTAACATCACCAATGTTATTAGTAGCTATAGCTGTATGTTTGGGAGCATGTTATATTATAAGTCTGAAAAATGCTGATAAGAAAATCTCAATCATGGGTAGGTAGATTTTCATGGTGATGTTGTTCATCAAATTTTTAGTTTAAGCATCAATGGTTATAACTTAAGTTATATAAGCAAAAAGATGATTGTAATTTTAGATACAAACAAAGAAATCTGAATTGAAATTGACTATTTATCAGTCCAATGTATGCAATGATTTTGGTGCTTTTTGGCAGCAACCTTTGCTTTGAATTACAACTAATATGTCATGTAACTTCATTGAGTGACATTTAGTAACTGGGGTATGAATAACTTGACACAATTATATAGATAACAATTACTTTAATAAATAACTTGCGACGTTTTGACAATGATGCTTTCGTCTTTATCAAGCAATGATAATATAATATGTTATGTCATGTGTAAAATTTCTGTTATTATTTTTTATAGGTCGTGAATTAGGTCTTGCCCAACAATACACAACTGTAGGTCTCTGTTCTTTCCCATTATTCTGGTTAGCTGGTGCAGGTTCGGCTGTATTCTGGATTATAGGTAAGTATATTTAAATCCAGTTTTCTTGCAAGATTTCAAGTTTTGTAAGTCAAATTTTCCAATATGATGATCTATGTGTGCTTTTGGTGGATAACTGTGGAGAACCTGGTTGACGCTAGAAAGCAATGGTCATGCATTACAACATCTAGTATCGGTGGAAACTAAAAATGCAAAAAAGCAAATAATTTTTTGATATATATTTCTGTATTTTTTTCAATTTTCAGGAGCATCATTTTTTGTGATCATGGCCCATGCTACTTTATATCAACCACAAATAGAAGGTGAAGGATTTGATATAGAAATGGAAGCTGTGGCTGTTGAAAAAGTGTAAATATGAATATTGGCATTGATGTGATTGAAGAATGAAAGGGTCTATTTTTGTAGGAAAATGTGTCATCTTGGTATGAATGTTGGTTTTTGTACTGTAAATTGTGAATAGTGGGATGTACAGAGGAAAAATATCAGACATCTTTTATTATTTATTGCTGATCAAGAAGGAAAGTGGGATAGCTTAACTGGATTTTAAAATTGAAGCTGAATTCAGAAGACAGTGTTTCCTTAGTGATGATTTAGACACTGGCCAACCATTTATTAGTCCTTTTTTTTAAGTTGGTCAGTAGAATTGTAAAGTAACGTTTTATTATATAATATTTTGGATTGTTTGTTAAATTGTATGGGTATTTTAATTTTAATCATTATAGTTGACCACATTAACATACAATTAACAGTCAACTGAGGGCCCTGTGCCAAGACCTGAAAAGATCTGCAATTTCTACAGATGCTTGTTGTCTTATAGCTAAAACTGAAAGTATCACCAAAAAATCATTTCTTATTAGACTGTCTTGCAAAATGGTATCTGGAGAACTTGTTTTGCTGGGAAACGAGACACAATGTGATTTCAAGGTGTTTTTAAATCACTTGTTCTGGTCTACCGAATGTCATTTTTATGCAATTTGGTGACACAGTATTTTATGGATAAAACAGCTTTGTCTGTAAGGTTAACAGAAATGTTATAAAGGAAACTGTTGTTTGTTTTCTAACTGGTAATGCATTATCCTCATGTATATCTCACATATGTATTTATTTTATACATACTTTTTCCTGATCTGCCCGTGCAATGTATGTTTGCCTCATTATTATTATTTATTACCTTATGTTATTATACACTGTAATTGTATTATTATATAATGAGAAATATTATACCATACAATACCGGGATTATTAAACCATATTATTATATAACGCGTCTTTTTATCTGAGATCTTTATCTTGTATTATATTGATGAGCTATTCAGGTATTTGAAGAGATTAAAAAATAATCTCATTGTATATGAAATGTTGCAACAAATCTGCATAGTTATTAATCTTTGCTTCTTGCTCATATCGTTTTTATGAACCTTTGTTGTGTACTGAAGAACAGGACTGTCATAAAATCATTTATTGCTATTGTCTCTGAATAATGAAACTGCACTTTTTCACCACTTGTAATTTTCAACTTCTAATTTTAGACTTATTACATGTAATCCCTGTTGGAATTTGCAACAATAAATTGGGATTTTCTTTATTGTCTAAAGTATAATGAAAATACTGTAAAACTACTTAGTTTTCACTTGTTTGTCTGATGTCGATCGTTGAGCGTTGGTTTTCATGACAAATTTTTTTATCTACAATGTTAACTTTTAATAAACAGAAAAATCTCAACAATAAATACAAAATATCTATTTAAAAAATGCCTTGAAAAAATAATTTACAATCGGCACTGAATGGATGGAATTATAAATACCTGGTTTAATTTATGGACAGAATAAATAGAATATTATTTTAAGCGTGATATCAGTTGATAATACAATCTTTACTAAAGACGTGCATTGTATTGTGGTCTGTATAGTAAAAGTACATAAGACACCTTTTTATCATTTTATCTCCATATTTTCTGTGGATTACCTCACTCAAAGTAGATCTGACAACATTCTTCTTTAAATCAAGTTCAGGTGACATCCTAATATATACAAACGACACCAATATTTAACCAATAAATTTGAATTATGTAATTTATGCAATGTAATGGATCATGCATTTATTAATTACTCTTTGCAACCAAAATTTACTGTAACAATATTGCCAATGATAAAGCTCCAATTATTATTTAAGTAATATACATTTACTCAATAACATGTATTGAGAGTTCCCAGCTGTATGTCACTTTTCTTTATCAGATAAAATTACCACTCTTCCTTACATTACTTTCAAAATCAGGCAACATTGATTGTACTTTCCTTCTCATTTCTTCTCTTCGTTTTTCTTTCTCTCTATCCATTTTTAATTTCTCTGGTAAACCTCTCCAAGCTAATAATGTTTTCTTCTGCAAGTACCTACAAAATTTGAATCTGTAAGATTAGGAAACCACCATATGCAATCATTAGACAACAGACCTAATTTCTCTTATTAACAAAGTTGTCCTGATAAATTTAAAACTATTTTTCAGTTGAACATTTCTAAATTCCCTGGTTTGTCAACTCAATATGAAACTCATTTTGAGTCAAAATGGCTAATAATAATGTTTGTGTTTTCATTATAAGAGCATCTTACCAAAGTTAAATAAAAAAAAAATCTCCCTGAAAAGAATTCTTACCATAAATAATGTTCCTTAGCTTGTCTTTCTTTCTGCCAATAGAGCATTTTCTCATCAGTTGTATAATCTAACCATACTGTTATTATGGTAGATGTTATTATTTTGTTTCTATAATTATCAGCTTTTTCTTCTAATATTCTCATTCTATGTTTATACTGTAATTTATAAAACAATTATTATCAAATTGAAACAGGTTTTTTGAGTGGCCTGGTGTTGATCCACCTGTATCCACCAAATTTTTTGTAGAACTTTGAGCGGAACGTCTTCCAAACAGTAAAGATCAATACCTCTCTCCAAAGTAAATTGGAACACCGATTTCATTAAGGCAGTGAGATATCTCAGAAATAAGTTGAATTGTCTGCTAGTGTTGTCCTCCTTAAAACGTTTAATGCGAGGTTCAGTCTACAGCCTCAATCTTGGTTTATTTTTTTATCATCCAGATCATTGGTCATCATAAATAAATGATGTTTTTATACCTCTTCATGCAGGTCTTGAGAATAAGGTGATCTCCAGCAAGTAGAAAATAGAAGGAAAACGACAAATGAAAGAATAGAATAATGTCTTTTTTTATGTCTGCCTTCCTGACTTACCAGTGTCCAATGTTTAAAACTATGTTTAATCAGTAGAAATTTTCTCATCTGGTCTGCCATAGCATACTTCTCTTCCATTACTAGTTTCACATGTTCATACCAAGACAATACCACTTTCCTACATAAGATACAATTAATATAATAGTTTGGTAGATTTAATTTGAATTATACCACATCAAGTCTTCACCTTAATAGTCAAATGTTATGACAAATTTCCCCCATTCGCCCACATCAAATAAGACATCAGACTCTATTTCATTGTCAAATACAGACTTTTAGTCGTAAGTACACACTTACTTTAATGTAACAGTAGAATAATGGTGACTAGCTTTTTCTTCATTATCTTTAGCCAGCTGTACATTTTTTTTAAAAGGAAGTAATCCTCTATATTTTATGATAGATTTAAGATAATGATTATCAGCTAATTTATTCTGTTCCTTTAATTTCTCTAATTCTTTATGTCTCTCTTCTTCTTTCTACAAATTCACAAAACAAATAGTTAAGGAAATATTTGAAATATAATAAATTTCTCAGAATGCTTGCTTACTAATCAGGATTGGTTCATTGAATTCAACAGTTGTTTACTAAACAGGAGGTCCTGAGTTCTTTCTTGGCAAAAGACAAAATGAACGTGATGAACTGACTTTACTGAACCAAACGTCAACAGAAAAGTAAAATTAAAAAAATCACCCTACAATTTTACAAAAAACTATTTTTATTTCAGAGATCATGTGTACCAACCAATTCTCTGCAAAACCGCTCAGCATTTACAGCAGGATCAATTAGTAAGATGACGTAATTTATCAAATGACACAGTAAATATACATCTGAACTGACCTGTTTTTCTAATCTTTTCTTTTCTCTATAAGCTTCTACTTTAGCTTTCTTTTCTTCTTCTTCAGCTTTCTTTCTTTCTGCTTCTTCTACAGCCAGTCTAGCCTAGTGTTAAAATATCTACTTTGTGAGAGTTGCAGTGTCAGCCTCCCAGAGCAGACTGACATAATGGGGAGACAACTGTCAAGTTTAAGATTTAAAATCCATGTTACACTGCCACTGTTGATTGATGAAAGTTTAACCGAAACAGTGACGAAACAACAATTCCCAAAAAAAACCCAAAAAAACCTAAAAATATGCTACTTTTATGTGTCAATGGGTAATTGGAGTTACCTTTATGGCCTATGATTCACATTTAAACACCAATGACCAGCTATTAAAATCACTGTTTATATCAACTTACACAAGTTTCATGTAGAAGTTCACTTTATGCTGAAATCGAGTTTTACACATTGACAATAATAGTAATTCTTACCAATGCTTCTTCCTCTTGTAGTCTCTTCTTTTCTTCTCTTTCTCTTCTTAATCTAGCTCTTTCAGCAGCTCTTTCTTCCATATCTATAAAAGATTCTCTTTATCGTATAATCATTACTTGTGATTGACTGACAGTGGTTGTAACCAAACCACAGTATTTGATTGGTTGAATGATATAACTTAGAACACAACAAATTGTTAGATCATTGATGCCAAGTGGAGTAATCTATCAAAAAAGCAGGAAAAAAACATTCTGCTTTTCATTGAATGAATTTAATCAAACCAAACCCTATAAATCAAACAAAAATGCTAAAAACAGAGACCTATGCTCTGTTCTAGTTGATTCTAGATGGTCAGAATTCACTTTTTGAAAAGAAATAAATACCAGTACTTGCTTTTCATGATCTGTGAATGTTTACTTGAAGAAGATATATTTGTTGTTTTTGATATGTTGGTATGTACAGTTGTTGATGATATATCACTTCTAGCTGTTGATATTGACCTAAAAATAAACATTTTTTTTACATTTCTTTTTTTTTTCATAAACTTTCTTAAACCCGGTATATAATCTTGTAGGTTACAGCCTCAAGGACAACTGGGCATTTTATGAACGCAATAGAGACTACAGCTTTGCATTATGTATATTGGTGTGATATTTCATAATGTTTAATGATCAGCAGTTCATGAGTTCTTGTCCTTGACATGGCCAAAATGTGTCAAAATTGGCTAATGAAATCAACAGAGGCCATAGAAGAACAGTTCTTGCTCTAGACTGGTAGAGTGTCCTTAAATATTAGATATGGTAATGGAAAATAAATTACATCAATATATTTCTGAATATTACAACTTTAAATTTTACATGCTCAAACCAGGAATATCATCAAGAGAATGGTATAACATTTATTTCTCATATCTCACATGTATCTTTTGTATGTACATTTTCTAGGTGTGCATAAATAGCTTTGTCCTGCTATAAAAGTTATTAAGGAACCAAAACTTACTTTGGTGCTGTTGATTGTACAGTATAATCTGTTCTGACTGTTTCTAGATTATGGTTGTTATCACTCTCACTCTGCCCTTGATTTGATTTATGATTTCTGCTCTCACCACTCTCTAATTGTGCCTTCAAATTCTGTTGATTTTGTTGATATTGAAGATCTTGAATTAAACGTTTCTGTTCTTTCAACTGATTTTGTTGCTCAGTGAGAATTTTCTGCTGAGCTGTGTATCGATTTTCAAAATTGTTCACAATAAAATGAGTGTTCATCCAAGGTTGTGTACCAAATCGCTTACGAACACTTTTATCTGAAACATGGCTGTTGAAATCAATATCACCTCCACCTAGACTAGCTATCTCATCAGCTGTCAAATTCAAATGTTTTCTATTCACTTGCCAAGCTTGAGTTGGTATCCTAGGATGAGTGTTTTTACCTTTTCCTATTGAAGATTCACTTTTAGAAGCTAAAGGTCCATTTTGACTAGACATTGTTGGTCTATTTTGATTATTTTGAGCAAACAATTCATCCTGAAATGATATGATTTTTTTGACACTTTATCTGACGACATTAGGTGCTTGCTTCCTGGCTAAATGGCTTGGCATATTTGTCAATGAATCAAATTTTGTCTGTTTTTTTCTGTGAATTTATCAGTACTAATAGTATAATAAAAGACTTTTTATTATAAAAAAATAATCATGAGCACATACATAATTTTTATAAAATCTAAACCTTTTATAGCAGTCTTGAAAACACCTGGCATATACTGTTGTGTATTTCCAGTATTGATGAGATTCAGAAGTAGACAGGAATATCTGATAAACTAATGAAATACCTACTATTTTGTGATTATCAGCCATATTTCTAGCAGATTGAGATCCACCTCTCCCTGCTGGAAGAACTTCATTACTTAATTTATCACCCTCTCCATTCTGCCACAGTTGGCCAGTAGCTGCCTTTTCCAGTAAGGCCATCATCTTTTGTCTTGTGACATTTTGAGCCTCCTCCAACTGACGTTTATCTTGTTCTTGTTGAATCCAGATCACCCAGGATGTAAAATATTTCTGAAGCAGACTGGTATGATAGTGTCTACTAGCTGCCTGGTTCTTTCTACAAAATAAAGAATCATATAACATTTCCAATACTTCCATCAAATTTGTTAAACTATGCACATTGTCCAAAGATCTAAAATGGACAGATTACTTCCCTAAACTCTCCTCCATATATATTATTGTTAATTGTTGTGTTGTCTTCATATAACTTGTCATAAGTTGGAAAATCTTACATCTTGTATATCATGTGGAGACAAGACATTTGTGAGAATTTGGCAACAATTCAAAACAAAAACGTGAGCCGTTATATTGCGAGGTAAAATTAATAGTTCTCTTAACTATAGAACAAATTTTCAACTACCTAAAAATAACTTGGCTGAAAAATACCTATATATGACCATATTACTGCGACAAATGGAGAATGTGACCAAATTACTTTGATTTACCTATAACTAATCTACGTTGTAATATAACATCATACCACGCTGTAAAATGTTGATGCAATAACTGAAATTATATCATAAACTTCCATAATTAGTGAGATCATAAACCTTGCATTATTACTTTAACCTATAGCCCTCCATAACTAGCCTAAAACAAATTATACTATCATTATTATCCATAATGCAAGTAAAAAGTAATAGAATCTGTAAATGTTCAAATGTTCATGAAATCCCTTATTTGCTAAGATCTACATACACAAATTGGTGCTTCTCTGAAATTTCAAATAAAATTTCCACTTACTCTCATATTATTGGATGCCTGCTTTGTTTGAATTTCAGACATTTTCTGCATAACAAATTTCTTTCTTTCCTCAATAGATTTCTGATGTTTCAAGATCAAAAGTCCTTCTCTTTCTCTCATTTTTTCAATCTCACTTTGTGTTTTCATTTCCTTTTGTAAGGCTTCCTCTTCGTGCCTACAAGAAAGGATGCTTTTATGTACATGACAAATTAATGTCAATTCGTTAGAGCCAGTATATTTTGTCACAATTTTTTTAATTTCCAGACAGATTTTAAGTGGACGTTTACAAATAATACACACAGAGCCTAATCATTCCCTGTAGCAAGCAGAACTTGGAATCAAAGAAACTAAAAAAAACCTTAATTTTTCTTCTTCTTTTCTTCTTCTATCTGCTTGTAATTGTTTTCTTATTCTCACCATTTCTTTTTGTATTTCTTGCTCTTCTTTCTTAATCTTCATATCTTTATCCCTTTCTTCCTAAAAACAAATAAAACTTTACTGTTCCTAATTACTAAACTATAGTAGAAAAAAGATATCAATGCACATCTGGTACAATTCAAAACATTAAGATAAACAATCCACTTTATGTTGAGGTAGAATGATGAAGTCCTCAATAGTGATTTTTTTAAACATTATCGTTAATTTCATGTTTTATTACCACAATTATTAGGATCTGTTCCTTTGGTTTATAAATTTTGATGAATATTAACAATTGATAAATCATATAATAAGCTGTTCATTGTTGTTTGTGACCACATACGACATACGATTATGATGTTACATCTGTAGTTACTTTGGCAATATTTTCCAAATCATTTAACCTGATCATGGTGAAAGCTTGTAGATTAAAACATTTCAGTCACTCTTAAAAGGTTTCTCATTACTTCTTCCATTGTTTAATACGGTTAGATAAGTATATGTTCAAAACTACACCTGTAAAACTATTTTCTTGGCTTGCAGATGAGCATCTTTCTTTGATTGTTTATCCCTTCTAGCTCTTTCTATTTCTTTTTCTCTCTTCTCTCTATTTTCTTTCACCTACAAACATATTCAAGCAAATTATCAGCTAAGGTATGTAAAGATATTTTCCATTTGTTTGAAGAGATATATTCTGAATTGTATACAACTATTGGGAACTATACCTGTTTATGTCGCAATTCCATTTTCATTCTAGGGTCAGGTCTGTTTTCTTCAAAACCTAAATCTTTTTTAAAATTGTCTTTAACAAATTCTTTTTTCATCATAGTTTGTAAAATTGATGCCACAGCATCATCTTCATTATCATCATATAGATGAGAATACGGATCTGGAAAAAGGTTGAATACATTTAATCATAACAACAAATCCCAAAAAGGCCCAGCACACCTGTTCACTTATTCTTCAGAAACAGTAAAACATTAGCTTTAAATAAATTCTATAAGAGGGTTTAAATATAAACATAATGTAATCTAGTAGTATGTATTCTATTCAGATATCCATTTTCATTCACAAACAACAAAAATGAAGCACTTATATTCCTACCGGGAGATTTTTCCGTTCTAGAATTTCTGGAAGAGACTGGATATTCTTCCACAGAATCATCCAGTAGATTATCCCATTCATGTCTAACATTGCTTTCAATAGCCTTTTGCTTCCAGACATCCGATACATATTCATCATCAATTTCATCATTTATCAAAACCTTTTCAGTCATCCACTGGTTTAATAGCTCTTCAGCTAACAAAAGTACAAAAAGGATTATAACAACTTTTATTGGTTTAGCATGTGACTAAATGAGAAATAGGTTGCAGAAACACTGATGCTATCACTAACATACTTATCCTGAAAATTATGCACCTTACCAGCTTGTGAGATTCTAAGCTTATGCATATCAGGGTTTTATTCAATCTCACAAAAGCTGATAAGACCCTTTTTTGCAATAGTGAAATGGAATTGCAAGAACATAAGAAATCAATTCTTTCAGTGTCTACTATTTACATAAAAGTTTACAAAACCATTATCAATCGCTTTAAAATTGTCATCTTTTCGAAAATATATCTTGTTAATTCATAAATTAGGAATTACCTTCAGTACAAGCCTCATCTTCATATCTTACTTCATCTTTAGCATACAGAGCTGTTCGTTTACCTCTGTTACGACCAGTGGGATGGTTGCCAAATGTTAACTCTGCTGCTGTATTGGAGGCGTCTTCTACTTTCTGTTAAATAATATTCAAATGAATAATGAACAATTCCTTTCTGCACATTATCAACATTTCATCAAAATTTACTGCATGTAAAATGCTTCTAATGGAAGTCGAAGCACATGGCTTTTTCTGATATCTGATTGAATAAGCTTATATCTTTTTGATATCCTATCATATGTAAAATAAAAGTAAAAATAACAATAAAATATAACAATTGCTAATGTAACATGTATCTTAAGTGTAGTATTACATATATATTTTAGATTATTGTTGTAAGTGATGTAATGAAAGGAAACTATGTGCAATAAAACATGAATTGTTAACGGATACACAGGAGAAAATACAACTTTGACTTATAATTGATTGTGAAATTTGATATTTGAAATTTATAGTGAGAATAATTGATTATTTTGAATATTTTACCAAGCCCTAATTACCTATCATAACAAAAAAAGTGAACATACCTTAAGCCAATTTTGAATGTCATTATCATTGTGAACTCTCTGAAAGAAAAACAGTGGTCTGATGGATTGAGTGACTAATCTATATGAAATATATGTGCAGTGATTTCTTGAAAAAGAAATGCTTCTATACAAATAAAAAATTCAGCAACAACTTAACTTATTGGCTGAGCAAACTAACAAGTTTTTTGATATTTTTCCATTATATTCATGATTGTTTATTATTATAAATGACAGGATGTTGAAATTTTAATTTTGAATATTTATGAAAGGCCCGAAAAATAATTCAATTCTGAGCTCACTGTCATTGGAGACGGTTCTGAATGTGTGCCTACAAAGAAAGCAAAAACGAAAACGAAGGAAAGAGTTTTGAAATCAGAGAAAATCACAAATGACAAAGTACAGTCAAGTAACCTAATTTCGTGCAAAACCTATTTTTCGTGGATTTCCGGAAAGGATTAATAATTTGCATGAGCGACCTTGCGTGACCTCTGCATTAGTTTGTTTTGAAAAACATGGGTTTTCTCTACAATGTCAGCTAGTAGAATGAATTCAGCAGTTTCAAGCAAGGTAAAATGTATTAATGTTTACTTTGACAAATACAAAATGGCGGATTTCACTTATTACCAAACGTCACCAATTTTTATCGGCCGAATTTCCTTATAATCCCAAGCGGTAATCGGAATTCCAAGTGTCGTCTGCTAGTATGTAGTCCAACGAATGAAGTCACGTGATCAACTAGCGGATTCCGTGTCAGCAGAAAATTTCTATGGAACACAAAGTGGACCATATTCTTATGTTTTCAGTGACTTTTAGCAATAAATCACGCTACGTATCTAATTTTGTCAGTCACTATTTTATTTTAAAATCGTGGTTCTTTGAAGGAATTTTCACTAGTTATAATGAATTGATATTAAAGAAAAATATTAAGAGAAGTTAATTATTCCACCCAGTATCCATACAACGTGGTTTTCTCGACCTATTTATACCGCCGTTACCGAGTTAGTTGCTCATGAAATATGGGTCAAAGTGAAGGATTCATAAAGAAAATCGAAATAAACCAATTTTAATTATTTTGTAGAATATCTGAGGAAACATCCAAGACTTAAAAAATTTTTTTCGTTTTTTTAACTTTGACGAAATTCGGTGTTGAATCCTTATATCCACGAAAAATGGTTACACCACTGTACTTAATATAGGCATGGAATAATTGAGCAAACAAAATACGTAAGAACCTGTGAGCTATGGATCACTCTTGGGTTTGCTTGACGCTTCCATTTATACAAACCAGGCTTGTGGAATTCGGCTGCCATTTTAATCAAAAATAAGGCGAAAAATGGCAGTGCGGTAGTTTGGTTTAAATTTCTGTCAAAAACCTCGATTTTTGGACGCCATGTCTAAACAAAAAATGGCTACCTTAAAGTTCAAAATTGCTATTTTAAAACGAAACATTATTCTTCCTTCAAATTTACATCAAAATTCTTTACAAGAATAGGCCTAATGACAAAATGATTGAAATGTTTCAAATGCTTTTTGATCAGAATATGTGCTTTTAAAAAACGGACACATGAAAATCAAACACAAAACATCGTTTCACAAAATACCAATTGTTTCTTCAAGACCCGTTGGCCCATCGCATGACCTATGAGTGACAGATTCGCTATCCCTTTAACTAATCGTATCTTGGTCTCAGAAAAAGAATTTTTGAGCTTTCAAAACAATATGTCCAGAATTATCCGCGTTAAAAGTTAAAATTAAACAGACGACTCGTCTTTTCTAATTGAATTCTTGAGTTTGCCAAATATATATATAAAAAAATAATATATAGAAATAGAAATTTCTGGTTTGAGGTATTTTAAAGGAATTACGGATATGTTTATATATATTATATTCAAGGCCGATTAAATCAACCCACGAAAATGGCGAATCTGTCACTTTAAAGTGTATCGTATGCACAAACTAACTAATTGTAAAAAAAGAATTAAAACTTAACACCCGTAAAAAAGGATTTGAATTATTTTTTTATCAGTTCTAATTGAAGAACACTTAAATTCTTACAAAATTGCTATAGTACATTATTTATCCACTTTTACAAGTTTATGTCTTCAAACGCTCACCATTGCTTTCAAAAAATCTATTTTTAACAGTATATAAATACTTGTATTGTATATTTGTTATCTACTTCATTAAAATTTGAAATTTATTTTCATTTTGTCCTTGTACAATTGCATTATGTACTTTTATATCATCTGGAATATGAAAAATAAAATTACAATATATTGCTGATATTGAAGAGATTAATCGATTCCATCTATCCCTATCACAGTTGAGAAAGTACAACGTGTTCTACTGCAATTAAACAAAATATGTATTGAGGACGTTTTGAAATTAAAGGTACCGGTATTAAAAACATTCCCACGGGCAGAGATATATAACTACCATATGACGTCATCATTCCTTACTATCTGAAAATGATCGACTGGATATATATCTAAATTAGTGGCATTCATGTATGCAATAAAGCCAAGACATGATTATTAGTCAGATAAAAAATGGGATATTAATGTTTATAACACTGATAAATTTAGAATATCTCTATGGTTTGAGCTACAAGTATGTCTGGTTAACCTAGAATGAACGACTGGTACAATCTCGTCTCAGTTCTAGATCACGTGTCATACTAGCGAGAGGAAACGAGATTTCATTTTCGGGAGGTAGGTCATTTTCCCGTCATTTTTGCAATTTTTTATTTCTAGATTACATTCTGAGCTTTGGACCAAAATCGCAAACTTTTGCAAAAAAGCATTAATTGTGCGATAGAGTATCCAAAGATACCACATTTGTAAATATTTGTCGTAGAAATTTACAATTTTGACGGCGACATTGAGACGGCTTGTCTCGACGACAACCCTCAGTGCTTTGTCCTCTTGGTACCTTCCAAATTCATTATTTACCTTCAAAATGGGTCCGTCCGATCTCTGTTCATTTTCTAAGAGGGGTCGCGGGTATTGAATTTTATGAAAGTGATGGATCAGACGCTCTTAAGCGTTAGATTTATAACTTGTTATTTTGCCAAGAATAAATAAAAAAAACGTCCAGTCCTAGACAGCCATTTTCATAATTTATTCGCCGCCATTCTGACCTGCTTTCCTCAAACACTGTTAATTGATAAGAGGATATCTTAAAGTAACAGCTCAATGAATGAGCAAGCTAGTAAAATCACACTTCCCATGTCCCTTTGAAAAAGTAGACTTGATTCGACGAAGCGATTGTTGATTCAAGGGTTATCCTTGTTTCTTGATTAATTTAGCCTTATTTATTTACTGAAAAGGTAGACTAAGCTAGGCTCAGAAATTATAACATTATATTAACAGTGAAAAAGGCTGCGAACAGATATATTATATAGTCTGCTTCCGGTCCCATACTAACTGTTGTAAATGTAGCTAGGTTGACAGTGCAATATAATATAGACATACTTACACTCAATGCATTTATCATTGCATATGTTTCACCTCCATAAAGTTTGCATGGTTAAACTTTCTTATATTGGAAATTGGTCAAAGAAACTTACACTATATTTTATTATCATCATTAGTGCCAATTAGTAAATGCATTAACCAGTTAAGTCCATGCATAATCATATATATACATGACAACCATATATGATTTCCTTATTTGATTTTAATTTATTTTATATTAACATGAAAATACATTTAAACACAACTTTAACCCTTGTCAAATTTTAAAATTAGATAGGATATTAAGTAGCCTAACATTAGGCTATGCTTACACACCAGGCTCAAACTTACAATGTATTTATGAATTCAGCTCAGTCTCTGGGAAACTTGTTATAGTATTTAGTAATTGAATGGTACATAACTGGATACAATTATGTGGTATCGTATGGCTTTCTGTTAGTATCTGTGAGAGAACTTTCAAATTCATCAAAGGACTCAAAGGTAGAGTGATAAAACTGAATTGAAAATATAGAACTGTTTGGGAACTTTGGGTTGGGCTTGAATAATAGAAATAGAAGGTAGAAAGATTTTTGTCATAGATATATGTAGATTTTAATAAACATTGAAACATACCCTCAATTCATTATCAATTTACAATTGAAAAACCATAATTTATTTATTTCAGGGTCTCAGTACCCCTAGAAACTAAACCAAAATGGATGATCAAAATGTTGGAGATGATAATAATGTTTGGAACCAACCAGATCAGAGTCAATTTGTAGCAGCCACTACAAGTCAAGATATCCAAGAGAATGGATATAATGATGGTGTAATACAAGCTATAGCTCCATCACAATATGAACAACAATACCATGATCTCAGACCTTCCAGCTATTTTACTGGTGCTTACAACATGGGAGGTTCTCAGTCAGATTTATACCAAGCAGTTCACTCAACCTATGGTCGAGTATCACCAGTACAGGAGTATCGTGAATTACCATCTGGTAGTGAAGGAATATCTTCATATTCTGGTGTCCAAGCTGATAGTGGACAGTTAATGCAACCTTCTGCAGTTGATAGCAGTACTCTACCAGCAGTAAGATTGTCATTTTTTGAAATTCTTCCTCGAGTAATAATGCATGCATTAGCGAGCTCTTCATTTCATTTTTCCAAACATGTAAATAAATACCATTATATATATTTGTTTTGTTACAAAAAATTGAAGAATCGACTAAATCTGTGTATTAAAGAAGTATTTAAAGATATTTAAGTAAATAAAAAAACGTAATACAAATTCTCTCATTTTAGGGGTACCAGATGATATTAGACCCTGGCAACAGACTTGTGGCAGTGCAGAGAGTTGTGTCCCCTGCTGATTGTTCTGTTAGTCAGTCTACATTGAGTTTACGAGCTGAAGGCAATGAAGCAGGACCAAGTTCTATAACTCTTCAGCCAGTGGTAGGTAGCTGTGGGCCTATTATATTTATGTTACCAGCACTTGTAAATCTGGGATCCGATTTTAGAGTTTAATGATTAAATGATAATGAATGAAATATCTCAATACTCAGGTTCTTTCTTACATTTCAGCAAACCACAAACAGTGTAGATGGTACACATTATGTCACTGTACAAGTCACTTCAATGCCACAATATGCTGGTGCTACTAATCATGGCGATGAAGTCAGTACAACTGATGGTACACCAATGATGTCAACTTTAGATCATGATCCAAATAGAGATTTAGATTCAGAACATGCTGTATCATCAATCAGTTCTGTTGTACAGAATCATGTCAATATGATAGCCAGAAAGGTAAATATCTCTCAATTTCTAGATAACATTTTTGTTTTGTTGATGAAATGAAATATAATCAGTTTAATTAGAAGAGAGCATCATAATTGTAATAAATTTATTTGTATTCTTCAGCGACATGAGTTAGAAGCTTTTAATGGTGAACCTGACACAACCCAAGAAGATTTACAAGATTTTAATCCTTTACACTCTACCCCAGGTAATTTAACTTTGTTTTATATCGAATTTACATGCAACATCAATATATTCATAACAAGTGTATTTACTAAGTTTAAATATATTTATAACAAACATCATTTCTATTAGGTTTTATATATTTACAACAAACTTTATATCTGTTGGGTTTCAATATATTAACAACAAACATCATATTAACTAGGTTTCAATGTATTTACAACAAACATCATATCTACAAGGTTTTACTATAGTTATAACAAACATCATATCTACAAAGTTTCAATATATTTACAAGAAACTATAGGTTTCAATATATTTACAACAAACATCATATCTACTAGGTTGCAATATACTTACAACAAACATCATATCTACAAGGTTGCAATATACTTACAACAAACATCATATCTACAAGGTTTCAATATATTTACAACAAACATCATAGCTACTAGGTTGCAATATATTTACAACAAACATCACATCTACAAGGTTTCAATATACTTACATACAACAAACATCATATCTACAAGGTTGCAATATACTTACAACAAACATCATATCTACTAGGTTTCAATATATTTACAACAAATTTCATATCTGCAAGGTTTCAATATATTTACAGCAAACATCATATCTACTTGGTTGCAATATATTTACAAAAAACATCATATCCATTAGGGTTAACAAACATCTTATCCATTGGGTTCCAATATACCTACAAGTTACAAGAAACATCATATCTACTAGATTTCAATATGTTTACAATAAAACATCATTTCTATTATGTTTTAATATATTTACAACAAATCTCATATCTAGGCCTGCTAGGTTTCGATATCTTTACAACAAATTTCATAATCTACTAGGTTTCAATATATTTACAACAAACATCATATCTACAAGGTTGTAGTATATTTACAACAAACATCATATCCATTAGGTTGAACAAACATCTTATCCATTAGGTTCCAATATACTTACAAGTTACAACAAACATCATATCCATTAGGTTTAACAAACATCTTATTCATTAGGTTCCAATATACTTACAAGTTACAACAAACTACATATCCATTAGGTTTAACAAACATCTTATTCATTAGGTTTAACAAACATCTTATTCATTAGGTTCCAATATACTTACAAGTTACAACAAACATCATATCCATTAGGTTTAACAAACATCTTATTCATTAGGTTCCAATATACTTACAAGTTACAACAAACATCATATCCATTAGGTTTAACAAACATCTTATTCATTAGGTTTAACAAACATCTTATTCATTAGGTTTAACAAACATCTTATTCATTAAGTTCCAATATACTTACAAGTTACAACAAACATCATATCCATTGGGTTTCAATTTACTTAAAACAAATCTCAGGTTTTGTTACAAAAGATAATATTGATAGTTTTTAACCAAATACCATCTATTTATTTTCCCATACTCTGTTGTTATCTTTTAGTTCCAAGATCCTATTTAGTAGCATCATCAGATTTAGGACAAGGAGGTATACATTCAACAATGTCCAGTACTGGTCTAGGTACCTCTAATCAAATGGCTGTCATGGATTCAACCTTAGATAGTCAGTTGTCTTCTACACATGATATATCTATGTCTACCACATCAGAGGCTAATCTAGACTCAGCCATGGAGAGAACTGTGGATAGTTCAGCTATTCCTGATGAAATTGGTACGGAATTCATATTTCTACACTCTAACTGATGATAAGATAACTATATATAGAAATAAAAGAAATATTTTGTGCAAATTAAAATCTGAAAAATAATTCAACAAATATGTACCCTGGAATTTTTCTGACTCTTGTAACCTCATTCCTTTGAAAAAAAAATTTCCGCAGCTCATTCTTATTTTATTCTGTAGCTGGTCCTTCACATGTCAGTGGTAATATGGTAACAGGAAGTGATTCAGCTTTAGATCCATCCTATGATTCTGAAGATGATGATGATTTTGATGAAGATGGTAATAAAGAAAATGATCCACAATCAAGTGGCATCAGGGTAATTGCAATAAGTTATATGACTATAGATAATTGTTGCTCCAATTTAGAGGATATTTGAAAGATATTGTTGCTATTCGATCTATATACACATCAAATCTTTTAGTTTTTAGTTTAATTACTTTCTATGAATGAATTTTAATCAGATTTCTTGTGGAATGAGATATTTGTTCTTTCTATTGTTCAACACTACTCTATCAAATTAATGTATTCCAATGCTGAAATCCAAAGTTCCTACTTGTGACCTAGGTCAGTGCTTCTATAAGAGAGTATCTCTTATAAAACCTTATACTACTGGTTCAGTATTATCGATACTTTAATTATGATATTTTATTTTTAATAACAGATGCCGAACAATGTGAATGTACGCAAGTCAACTAGAATAGCTTTATTAGATGAAGAACAGTCTACTTCATCTCAAGCTTGGAGAAAACGTGTATATGTACCTAGACCATACAATACTGATGAATTATGTAAGTTAAACATTCTATCTAAGGTTGTTGATACCTACTGGTTTGATACCCTTGTGTCTGTGAGCTGTGGTGATATAATAATTGGTTTGATCTATTATAGGGTGTGAAGAATGTATGACTAGTTATAGTCCACAATGTCCAGTACATCGAGCTATAGTAGTATCAGATAAAATTGTATTATCAAGAGCCTGGTCTAGTCTACCACAGATGTTACAGATTTATAGATTTAATAGTGAGGTTGGTCCAGGTAAGTCTTCAGAACTGAAATTCATCATGTGTATGCCTATAGATGAACATACAGCTTTTCATTGTGTATCAAAACTTTTTAATAATGAAATATTTTAGAGCCTCATACCTTCATGTGGCTGCTTTTTAAAGACAACTCTCACACCACAAAAACAGACACATGAAGACATGAGACTTAGTAGACCATGTGTTAAACAAAATTGACATTTGTGACAAACAAATCTGTTTTATTTACCATTTAATGTTTAGTTTAAAACACAAAAACCTACCAATAAATATAATGTCTATAATTGTTGGCTTTCAGAAATAGGTGTATTTGCCAAGAAGCCTGTAAGCAAGATGACTCAATTTGGACCATTTGTAGCTGATATGGTGAGCTCTCAAGATGATTTGACCAATACAAGATTTCTTCTTATGGTATGTTTCAATTACTAATTAGTCAGGTATCTGATGTGCTAATATTGCAAAAAATTAGATGACGAAACTTTATGATTTTGATGAGTCATTCAATAAAAGTAATGAATTTTTTTTTATATTTTCAGTTAGAGAAGAATGATGGTACATTAGGATATTTTGAAACATCAGATGAAAATAAATGTAATTGGATGATGTTTGTTAGACCAGCTAGAAACTTTGCTGAACAGAACGTTGTTGCCTATCAATATGGACAAGATATCTATTTTACTGTCATGAAAAATATAGAAGCAAGACAAGAACTTAAGGTTAATTAAGTTCAAATTTGAAGTTTTGTGGAGACCAAAACAGTTAAGATTTACCAAAGACTTATCATTGCCATCAATACTTATGTGAAGAAAAGATGCAATGAGAAAAGAACAACTCATTAATTGAATAATTTGTTCTGATTTTTTTCACCTTAAAGGAATACTACATCTTAAAGTGAACATAAAATTTTAGAATTTTAAACTCCGCCAATAAGAGCAAATATTCATCAGTAGATATACCTGGTGTCATAAATAACATAACAGGATCCTAATATAATCCCATAAATTAAAAATTCTTAGTAATTCTCCATAAGACTGCAATTAATTATTGAAAAACACTTAATATTAAGATTAAGCATTTTTCAATAATTACTTAGTTTAATGATTTTTCTAATTTTCCAGATCTTACAGGGATTCTGTAGTAACTTTATGACACCAGGAAAGTTCACTGATGAATATATACTCATATTGACCATTCTTGAGAATTTAATTTTATGTTCATTCTAAGACATAGTATCAAAGAAAATAAATACCAATTATGGTAAAACTGTAACAGCTGCCTCATCACTTTATTTCTCGAATAAATTTTGAAACTCTTAAATTCACATAATGTTATTTATTAGGTTTGGTACTCAGCTCATTATGGTGCTAGAATAGGCATACCAATACATGAGATTACAGAGAGAGATAAGGAAGGTATGTAGAAACAATTTGATGTAAAAGGAAGGTTGTCAAAATATTTACTGTTAGCTTAAAAATCACTGTACAGAATTCTACAATTCAAAATAAGGAAGCTTTTTTTGTTCCATATAGATCATAAAGGCCTTCTCAAAATCTAATGTTTTTGAAATGTCCCAAGATTCCTCGTTGTTATTGTTTGGTTTTAATTTATTTTTTCTGAAATACAGGAAACTTGAATTATCTGTACCCTGAATTCTGTTTCAGCTATGGATGAACAAGAGTATAAATTTCCTTGTTATGAATGTAATAAGAAATTTCGCTCAGCCCCAGCATTACAGCGCCACTTGGTTGTACATGAAGAAGCTGGTTCACCTAAACATGAAGATGAAGATTTTATAGAATCAGCTGAAGTTAAAGGATTACGTAAGAAGAGTTTAGCAGCTAGATGGTTTAGAAATAAAGGAAAACAGATGAAGAATGGGGAAGGGGGAGAATCTTCAGGCTATCAGTGGAAGAAAAAGTCTACCAGTATTTATCTTAATAAGTAAGTAACAAAATCATTATTTTACAAGGGATTAGATTAAGACAATAAGGGAACATTTCCATCATCTTGTCCTTAGACAAACAATTCTCAATATTATTGCTGCATTGGCTGGAGTAATTAGACCAATCACACAATCTTAGAATAAATCCTTTGACCACCATTATTCCAAATGGTTAGCTGAGCTATAGCGTATCGTCTGAAAAGATGGGGATAAAGTATATCTTGTTTAGATACCAGAGTATAGACTGATAAGTAAACACTAAACAGTCCATTCAGGAAAATCGTTCACCTTGATTCAAACTGTATTGAATATGATTATCTCTAAATTTTATTGTGCACCTTCTACGTTATTCTCTATTTCCAGGACCTTAAAGAAATACCAGAAAAGACCAGATTCTGAGAAGATTAGAAGAACAATACAATCTATGTATAAAAGGAAAGGCAAAGAAACTGGAGGGAATGAATGGGTGTGCATGCACTGTGATCTAACTTTTGATAACTCTAGTCTACTCAATCTTCATACATTAACTCATGCAGCTGAAGATGTGGGCCTGGAGGAGATCCAGAAGTTATCAAGTGTTGCTGCCAGTATTACCTCTGAAAATGGTGAACCATCTTCAGATAATGGAGTAGTGGCCTTGAATACAATCCTAGCCTGTCCAATGTGCCATGCTAAATTTGATGATAAGAATGATTTGATTGCTCATGCAACTCAACATGGTACTACCAAAAAGAAATCCTTGAATGCATTGCGACCACATAAATGCACTAGCTGTTGGAAGGCTTTTGGTACACAAGAGCGTCTCAACAAGCACATGCTCTGTCATGGATCAGAAGAATCCAAACCATTAGAATGTAATGTCTGTCATAAGCGCTTAATGAACAATTCAGCCATGGCATGTCATATGAAGATACATAGTGATAAGAAGTATTATTCTTGCCCCATGTGTCATGAAGGCTTTGATCAAACACATGGTTTAAAAGAACACTGTGCTACACATGCTGTCAACGGTATCTACACATGTCAGGTGTGTCAAAAACAATTCCCAGATTTCAATCAAATTCGTAAACATATGAGGCACTTGCATTCAGAAAATGAATATCCTTGTTTGCATTGTGATAAAGTATTTGCCAGACCTGATAAGCTAAAGCTTCACATGTTGAAACATTCTACTCATCGAGAGTTTATGTGTGAAAACTGTGGACGTCAATTTAAAAGGAAGGATAAACTTAAAGAACACATAAAAAGGATGCACATTGAACAAAAGGAAACTAAAATCACATCATCAGATGAAAGGGACAAGAATTTAAAGAAATTTGTACCTAAAGTACTTCCTACAGATTACCAAAGGTTCATCTACAAGTGTCATACATGTCTACTTGGTTTCAAACGACGTGGTATGCTTGTCAATCATCTAGCTAAGAGACATCCAGATATCACTCCTGACTTGGTACCTGAACTTAATTTACCAATCCTAAAAACTCAGAAAGATTATTACTGTCAGTATTGTGATAAAGTCTACAAATCCAGCTCCAAAAGAAAGTCCCATATCATCAAAAATCACCCTGGGCTGGATCTGCCAGCTAGCAGTCGTAAGAAATCTCTTACTTTAGACATATCTGGAGTACCAAATCCAACATATTCTCAAACTGTCGGAAGCATCACAACTCTTCCTCAACAGTGTGTCTTCTGCCATAAACAGTATGCTAGTAAAGCTAAATTAATGCAACATCAACGAAAGAAACATCCAGATTTAGTTCCTCCATCTAATGACAGACGAAAGTCTGGTTGTAAAGAAGATCAAATAACCACCACAACTGTACAGCTTGTTGATCCAAATCAACAGCAATTAGAAGCTTATCAAGAAGTTACTGTCACACAAGTTCCTCAAGTCCATGATTTACAAGCTGCTGATCTATTGACTCAAGCTATGAGTGAGTTGACCCAGACACTTCAGGAATACAGACCTGCTACAGGTGGTGACTATCATGCTCTAGCTGCTCGGATAGCCCAAGGTGTACAAGGTCCAGCAATGGTCCATGTCCAACCTGCCCAGCTACAACAACTTCAACATACAACCATAGAACTGAGTCATTTAGGATCCACACTGGCTCATGCCCAGATCACTTCATCACAACCTCCACAGTTAATACCAGCTGGTACCATTCTTACAGGAACTCCTCAACCACCTCAATCATTAAGTCCCCAGCCCCAGGCTCCTCAAGCTGTACCTGTATCACTCGTTGTCACCAATCCAGGAACCCCTAATCTGGCTACATCTGTCGCTAATGGTTTGCCACAGAATTATGTACAAGGTGTTCGTCAAAACTGGCAACCTTACCAGGGCTTTAGATAAAACTGGTAATCAGTAACCAATTCATCTTTTTAAATGATGTTCTGTTTGAATATTATGTTCTCTCAGCTTGGTACCAGGGCCAATATTTTTTGAAGAATTTAAGCAAGGTAGTTTGTGTTATCTGATAATTTGTGTTGTTTTCAGTAAGATTTAGATCAGTTTACAAATATATTGACAAGACAGTGAAAAGGTTGTGGTTATTTAAGCAAAAATCTATAGGCCTTAAAAGTTATTTAGGTATTTGACGCACAACTGCCATCAAGGACAGCTAGTATAGTGAGAATGGTCTACAGTACGAATCTGACTAGAGCACGTTTCTGATGACATGTGTTTTAGATTTGTACAATTTTATCATGGCCCTAGATTTGACAGGAAAAGACCATGATGCACAATATATAGTGTATGAACCAAAATAAGATTTCATTATATATGTGTGTGTGTATGTTACATGAACTGAAATTTAATCTGTTTATATCATTAAATATGAAGCTTGTAGTTTTACGTGAATTCATAGAGTTTTATTTATCAATTTGAGACAGTGTTTATTTCAATTCATACCAAATGTATATTGCATCAAATGTGCTATTTTGTGTGTAAATGTAATAAATCATGTTCGCATTTAATTTTCAATTTCATCAAAAGGAAGTGTAAGCCTATGGTATTTTCATTTTATACAATTATTCATTTGATATCTTATAAAAGGGAGTCCATTTTTGTTTTGATTGTGATCAATGTTAATATGCTTTGATTGTGCTGAAAATGTATCATATATAATAAAATCATGTGAATTGATTATTTGGGATTGTATTTTTATCACTTATTTACTTACGACAGCCATAATTTGAGAAAAGCATATGGACTTTTCTGAACGCTTAATGCAATTCAGCAACTGGGTTGTTTTAGTGGGAACCACTTATATATACATGTATATTTTATTATATTCATATGGTATATATGTTTGGCAATTCAGTTGGAGAGTGAACATAGAATCTTGTCACATTAAAATGTCATGTAGTTTAGATACTAATATAAAGCTTTGAGTAGGATAATGTAGTTAGCTCCCTTTAATCAGTTAGTACCAACCTTCTCTTAAGTGTGGTGTGTTACCACGTTCTAGTCTCTGTCGTCCAGAGCATACATTGATACAAGTGACCATTCCTGATCTGGATGACAGAGAGTAGAACAGATGGGTTGGAGAGAAAGAAAGGCTAAGGAAGGCTTAATCTGTAACATAGCTAATAAATACTATTTCATCTGAAAATGCCTTGTTAATTGATCCCGGGACGAAATACAATATTACAAAAAGTTCTACTCAACAAAATGAGCCCTGGATCTAAACAACTAGAAACATTATCAAACTTTTGAGTAAAAAACACAGATTTTCATTTTTATAAATCATTTTTAACAATTAAATTGAGGAATTACTTGTTCAATAATATCATTCAAATTCTGTACGATTAATACCTTCCAAGTACCGTTGATACCCTTCAAGTACGAATAAGATAGCTTTCCAGGCAAGGTAACATACACCCATTATCAGCTGTCAGAAATGGTGGTTTTATATGTGAAACCAATCAACCATCCGATTGTTACTAATTTCGAGCTTTACTAAGGTCTCATACCTAGTTTCATCAAGATCGGATAAAAAATGTAGTCTCTATCAGGCCTACAAGCAAAATTAGACGCATTATATTAATTCAAGGGCAATAACTCAAAAACCATTCATCCAATTATTACCATTTTTGAAACGATCTCATGAAGTTATACATGCATACCAAGTTTCATAGAGATCAGATAAAAACTGCACCCTGTATCATGACTACAAGCCAAATTTGAAGCGTTTTTACTAAGTAAAGGCCAATAAACCATTCATCTGATTATGACCAAATTCAATATATACATAGCAAGTTTAATCAAAATCAGATAAAAATTATAGTTTATATTGTGCCTACAAGCCAAATTTGACGTGTTTTTACTAAATCAAGGACAATAACCCTGAAATCATTCATCAGGTTATTAACAATTTCGAACTTGACTGATGTCTTATCAATATCTGCAAGCATACTAAGTCTCATCAAGATCAGATAAAAATTTTGCCCTTCATGCTGACAAGCCAAATTCAACAAGTTTTTAATAAGTCATGGGCAATTACCGTTCGATTATTACCGATTTCGAACTTCACCGAGATCTCAACAATATATACATGTATACTAAGTTTCATCAAAATCGGATAAAAATTGCATCCTTCATTGTGCAAACAAGCAAAATTTAACATGTTTTTACTAAGTGAAGGGCAATAATTCTGAAACCGTTCATCCGATTATTACCTTTTTCGAACTTGACCGAGATCTCTTCAATATATACATGCATACCAAGTTTCATCAAGATCAGATTAAAGCTGTAGCCTCTATCGTGCATACAAGAAATGTGGACAGCAATATACGTCCACATTTCCATGTGGGCGTATAAAAAACCATCCAAGTATGATTAATACAATATTACAATTCAAGTACCGTTGATACCCTTTTAGTATGAATAAAACCATTGAGTATGACTAATACCATTCAAGTATGATTAATACCATTCAAGTTCCATTAATACCATTCAAATATCATTGATACTATTCAAGTATGATTAATGCCATTCAAATACCATTGATACCATCCAATACCATTAATACCAATCGAGTACAATTTACAGCGTATTATTCAGGTAAGATATTTTATATGATTAATACAACTCCAATTCATTTAATGATTAGTTGTAATGATTAATAAAATTGCTGTCATTTATATACAATGTAATTCAGGATGTAGGAGTATCAGTGGGGTCCTTTAGGTCATCAACAGTACTAGCATCGACTGATCTATAACTATCTATCTTGGTAAAATCTATGACTATTTTATCACAGGATGGCTTGTATTGTCTGAAATAGAATACAAAATATATATTTGAACATTTAGATAGTATGCCAGGCACAGAAACATGTACCCACATATCAGACAATTTCAACAAATGTTTATATTACAAAACTTCATATTATATTATATACCAATGGTTTGGCTTTCATTTTGCTTTCCTTTGACCAAATCGAAGTCATCATGAGAATTTTTCAAATTTTTCATATAACAGATTTTGAAATTAATGACCCACCTGTAAATAATTCCAGCTTTATCAAACATAATTTTAGATGCTTTAAATTCTGCCACATCCTTGTACTTATCGGAATAATAAATCACTTCCTTAATTCCAGACTGTATGACTATTTTGGCACATTCATTACATGGAAATAATGCTACATATATTGTACAGTTTTTAACATCAGCTGAATTCTTGTTTAATACTGCATTTAATTCTGCATGGCACACTGAAAAACATCCAAGTTTAATAAAGATTTTCCATCTTTTCAATCTTATTGGGATGAAATGAAATGAATGGTGCCTAATGCCATGAAGTGTGCAACGAGGTTGTTCTTAATTTCTAACTGTCAAAGACTCAAACACATTTCACAAGAGAAGCTGTTATGGAAGAAGGGTCCAAACAAGTAAATGAGGCACTTTGTACTACAGGAAAAGATCAGATGAGATCACATGACAAATGGAAATGGAAAAAGGGTGGGTTGATTCTGCTGTCTGGGCAAGCTTTGTCTAGTCATGAGGCCAATAAAAACAAGATAAAAGGAAAATAAAGTTTCAAATATTTACCAAATAGTTTTTTTGAATCTAAAATATCATCTGATACCCTTCCCCATGGCATTTCATCATCATGACATCCATTTGGCATACCATTATAACCAATGCCAACTATTTTCTTTTCACTATTGACAATACATGCTCCTACCTAACAAAGAGAAAATACTCAAATTAGACCAAAGCAATTTACAGGTGTACATGCACTTCAGTGGAATTAAGAAAGATATACATGTATCACAGAATTTGAATGAGCTATGACAATTAGATTACCAAAAACTATGCAATGTCTAATGCATTTTTAAATGCATCTGAGTGTGTTTTTCATACTTGACTGCTAATGAATTAGGGAGAGACAATAACTTTTTGAAAATCAGTTGTATTACTGTTTTCTTCCTTATGGGGTGGCCAAAACATAGGGCCATGATTTAAAGTTGGTTTTCCTTATTTTCATTTATTCATTATTGGACAGCTAATACTTAAATCAAATAATTGAAGGTAGAGGTTTTCTAATGAATGAGAAAAATACATCATAAGCACTTAAATAATCAAATAGTTTTCCTGAGTCTAATCTCACAAATGTGAAAAGCCATCTTTAATAGGCTATAAGCTTGAAATATATCACTGCATGTTGGCATGGATATTCATCCACAAAACTATATGTAGAGAATTATTCTGTTCAGTTACCTGTGTTCTAGGATCTTTACTTCTTTGAGCAGAAAGAAAAGCTACAGCCATAAAATAATCAGGCCATTCTAAATAGTCTTCACGTTTCTTGTTTAGATTCACCTCTGGTTTACTGAAATAGATAACAAGTTCAAATTGAATGCTTTAATTGGCCTCATTTCATCTTAAAAAAAGTTTAGTTCATACAAGAGAAATATGTAAAAGCACCCAAAAGCTCATTTTTTGCACAAGTGTTGTAATAATTGAATTGTAAATGATCTAGGAAACCATTAGTCACTAGAGTAGAGGAGGTACTTGTAAGATGGAAACCATAACATAACAACATCATACCAAATAAACAATATCAGCTAGGTGTCTGTGTGTGGAGTGAGAGTGAGAGGTGAGTTCACGAACATAACATGCCACTAACCCTGATGGGCACTGTTGCCCTAGGGGGACACCACAACAATCCTGCGTAATTGTGAATGCCAATAATGGACAGATAATTAATTTTTCATCTGTTTCTCTTATTTATGTACCGGTAATTTACTATTAGAATTATCAAAATTCTGCTTCAACTTACGACACCTGAGCATTATTATTTTGTTCCATGCCAATGATAACTGACAAGTACGTAGCTTATTAATATTTATCTATTTTTAATTCATCAGGATTTACTGAGATTCTAGTTTTTAATCATTAATGACTACACCAGAAACATAAGGTATGTTCCGCGGGAGTTTTGGTGGACCAGTTACTTTTTAAGGAGGTGGCTAGATTTCTAAACTCCTATTTTCAAGCTATTTTTCAGATAAAAAGGACTATTAAGTTAATATTTTAATTATTGAACCAAAATAATAAAAAATCGAGAAACTGAATGAAACTTTGAGTCGGAATTTATATTCTAGTAAACGCGGCTAAGTGAAAAACACTAAAGCCCCCCTCGAATTATAAACATGCCTTGCTTAACATTTTTATAGTTATAGTCTTTATTATTTGGTCTCATTCTCATTGACAATCACATAAATAATCCTGATCATCCAGTCCTTTTAAAATAATCATTATCCAGACTGATGCAGAAAAGTAAAGAAAATTCGGGAAATCTTTCGAAAGATCTAGTTTTCTATTTTCAATAAATGCGACTGCGCAATTCTTTCATAGGAGTATAAAAAGAGAAAATTTCATCAGAAAGTTTCAGCAGAAAAGTTACAACCTAGAGATACACCAAAGACGCGTAAAGTTTGTATCAAATTTTGCGGGGATTTCATCCACACAGGCTACAAAGAACAAGATGTTTCGAGCTATTGTACCCAGAAATTGTAACATGGAACTTGGGTTTATTAACTCAATGCGTGGTATGAAGATCGATGCCAGACCTATTATGAATAAGTGTCGCAGCCCAAGGCAGATTACCAAAAGATGCCGAAGCGATCTTTCACCATGGAGTCAGTGGCACTCGAGAAGTCCTTTCAGAAATTTCGACAGAGATATTGGAAAATTTGTGAACGAAATGGAGAGAAGTATTTTTCCATGGACGAGTCTAATGGGATTGCCTAGATCTGGTTCAGCAAGGGTGAGTAAACTGTTTATTAAATAAAGCCTCATTAGATATACCATATGTATGGGTTTTGTAAATATTTGTATATCTAAAATAAAGGTAGATGAGGACGGAACCCGGACAAGCCATTTTTCTTTGGTATGGCCCCTGACCCCCCGTAGCAACGTCACTGCTGTTAGTATATTTTAATATATCAAATCAACATGTTCATTTTATAGGTGTGGCTAAATAAGAAAGAATTTGAAGTGAATGTTGATGTCCATCATTTTGAATCTGAAAATATCCACGTGAAACTGTCTAACAATAGACTCACTATTTCTGGTAAACATGAGAGTAAACAAGATGAACACGGTTATGTATCCAGGGAATTTAGCAGAGAATTTACTGTTCCAGAGGTAGGTTGGAGATTCAATTGATTAAAGTCTATTGGCTATTCGGCTCTCAAAACATATTTTCGGAAGTATAAAGTCTTTCATTGTTAAAAGTTTACTTGCCGTCTAGCAGACTGTATTGTAGGACCACAAGAATTTACTCTGAATGAATATTAGATCTGAAGTTTTTTCAATTTAATTTGAATGATCACGTTTTTAATTTTCAGAATGTAGATGCCGAAACAATGACGTCATCAATTACCGAGGAAGGTGTTTTGGTAATCAGAGCTAAAGTAAAACCAGAAGAAAACCCTAAAGATAAAACAGTGAATATTGAAATAGAAAGAGACAATACATCCAGTGGATCTACCGAAGACAAAAAATAAAAATCATAACTATACAGCGGTGTTCATTTAAACAATTTACTGCATTTCAGACAATATTTTTCAACAATCCCCGAATGACTTTAGACTGGTTGTGTTTAAGGTATCCTTATACAGCCTTTTTCTTCTCCAACAATAAAGGTGTAAATGGAAAATGGTGTACTGTGTTTTGATTATTTTTTATGTATGTGGAATGAAGATTTGGGATAGTGTATTCTGGATGATTGGCTTTTCAGCTGATAAAACTCCATTAATTTATCCATATTGCTTTTCAGATATCTTATTCTTCATTCCAAACACCAAACTATCAGTTGGTAAAGCAACTATTTAGGCGACAGTATCCCTGTAAAGTGTTAAACTTGAAAGAAGAGTTTCAATTTCCATTATTTCAATGCTTACGTATGAATGTTAAATGTTGTAGATGATGTAATTGTCTTGTGACAGTTTGACTTGAATAAAAAAAAAAATAAAGATAACGTTTTGTGTTTTGAATACTTTGAGGTTTGGCATGAAACGTTTCCATTAAGACTTAATGAGTATGACAGATTTAATCCTTGATATGATACGATTATCATATTCACACGGGCATGGCCATAGAGTTATATAATAAGTTCTGTTTATAAATTCATTGGTATGACTCTGAAAGGATATACTATGTTGATATTACGTTATGAGTGTGCATCCATAAATTTCGAGAAATAATCAAAAGTTACAATGTGTCATTATTTTGATAATTACAAGTATAAAAATCAAAATAGTCCTACTAAAAACAATCAGGGATGAGACTTCCAGGTAGATACAACCCCTTTATATCTGTCCAGGGCGATTCGGTTACTGAATCCAACAGCGCATGTCACCTTTACATCATCTGTACAATTTTAATCAAGCTGTTACGAACTTGGTACTGAAATAGCGAATGTAGCGATTTGTTTGACTTTTTGTTGAGATTTTTGATTGGCTGGACTCGCTAGCGTAAATCCAATCAAATCGCTTTATTTATAAACTTTCATGATATACAAGAATAAGGAAACTAAGTATAAGGACGAAGTTGGTAATAGCTTGACACTGTGAAGATGCTTTCCCCATGCCTTTCACTTAATAATGATAACCGCGCTTTTGCAGCTAGTTTTCATCATGGATGAGAAATTGATAACGCATATTTTGTGTGTACGGAGTTATTCTAAGAGCCACCATTAATTAACCTGAGGATTTGATTGAATAGCGAGAAAAGTTTTCTCCTGTGTTTATACAGCGCAACTGCTCATTTTCTGACTTCTTGATTTGTATAGAGAAAACCTGTATCAAATCACAGCAAATCAAAAGAGGTTTTCTGGTTGCAGAATCAGACATTTCACTGGTTTCTATGAATGTGATGTTCTATCGGTTTTTCTGGAAGCGTAGGAACCACAGACTACAAATAGGAAATCGAAATGATACAATGCGAGTCATTTTTCATAACTACTTTTTGACCCTCTTATCAGACTGGGAGGTGACTTTTCTTTATTTTTTATGGAGAGAAACCGGATCATACAATGAATATAAATATATATTTATAATAGAATAAAGCTTGATCACAATTTGTCACTTTTCATTCAGACTAATGCATTGACAATAACCTACTATTGATCAATTATTGTATATAGGTGAAACACAATAACATTACCGTGTTCGCACATTAGCTTCACTCACGTAGGGGGTAAAATACTTTATTTCCTTTTTTCCGTAAAGGTCGTAAAATGTTTTATTTCGAAAATTGACCTAGTGTTTTGCCATTAAAATAATGTTTGATATGGGTCAGTCAGTCGATAACAACATTTTCGTGTGCTTCTGATTTAATACAGTTAATTCGTAGGAATGCATAATTAAATACTGAGTACCGTCTTGCGATTATAGCTTTCAAGTGCCCATGGACTATGGAAATAATTCTTATGATACACGTACAACAGAGAACGTTTAGAAAGTGATGGTTAACTGAAAAGACACGTATTGGAGATATTTTAACCATATCATAAGTTATTCTAGAAGTGTTATTGACCTTGATGAACTCAGCGCCTAATATTTCAAAGCCTTAAAATAAGTTAATATGTGGGTCAGTGAGAGTTATTAACAACTAACAAAATACTAATTAGTTTATAATATAATATAGAGTATATACCACATTTTTAAGTTGGCGTGTTTGAGATATTATAAAACCTTAAGTGAAATAAACTTGATTAGCTTATATAGTTAATGTGTATAAATAGATATAGAAAAGATCGATCGAAACAAAATAAGTGAAGTGATACAATTTATGCTGGTTATGGTAAATGAATATAATTCATTACAGTACTTTGATAGCGGAAATAATATTTTAAAATTAATTCTGGAGAATTGTGTTCTGGCATTGTTTCAAAATGTGTTTTGAATAATGGCTGTAAGTAAATTATTGAGATATTTATAAGTTTAAGAACACAATCAAGATGACGATGCATCAAAACCCAAGAAGTCTTGAAATGACCACCTCGACCGTTCCAAAATTTCCAACAATTCGAAATAAATCAAAAGAAAAGGACTATCGGAAGCCTCCTAAAATAGAAGTTGCAATGAATAAAAGATTTTTATACAAACCTTATACTATGATGAATGGCGACGACCTACCGGAACTGAAGCGCTTGGAACATACTGAGCTCGCAGATAAAACACGATCCAGAAATAAAATGGAGAAAGATCGTTGTTGGCGCGATATCAACTTAAGTTTTAGAGATCACCAATATGCTCTGGCTGGTTTAAGACAAGAACAGTCGCTCGTGTACCAATTTATGTGCAAAGTACAGAAGGACAAACGCCGAATTCAGAGACAAGTTCATAAAAGACGTGAATTAGAATTTCAGGGTAAGATGCGATGGGAGAGAATAAAGGACATGTGTCGTTATGTTGTGTTTAAGTTTAGAGAGAATGCACAAAAGAAAAAACAAGCGCGTTTATCATTTGTAGACTTGAAATCTAAGAAACAAATTCCTCAACAAAGGAAGGTTATTGATAATCATTCGGAAGGGAATACTTCGACTGTAATGCCTCGAACTGTGTACAACGAATTAGCTAAACGATCACAATTGGAAATGATTCCTGATGCTGATGGCCACGAAGAACAGCCTATAAATCGTTATAGCGAGAAGTCTGTTACAAAGATTGAAGATCCAGAAGAGACAAAAGGTTCAAATCCAGTAAAAAATGATCCTGGCAGCAATTTGATTGATGCTACCATGATATACACCAAATCAAAAACCGAGTCAGATATTTTACCAGCCAAAATCGTTTCTACAACTGTTCGTTCAGGAGCGTTTGAAACGTTTAGAAACGGAGACACGGCCAAAGAAGGTGTAAATGACGAGGTAGATGTCAAACCGGAAGTGAGTGGAATACAATTCAAATCCCGCGTTAAGGCAAAGGTTGTACAAGTTCGAAAAGATAAATCCAAACAACCATTAACAAAGGATATTCTTGAAACAGATTTGGACGGAAACAATCAAACTAAAAAGGTAAAATTAGATTTGAGTCTTCACCAGGTTAAAAGCACTAATCTGCAATTTTCATAAACCCAATTGGCTCAGCAATCAGACGCTCGCTAATCTGGGGCTTCGAGTCCAATTCCGATACGATAGTATAGTGACACCATAGTGGTACCCGTTTACCATTGTCTGTGCAACAGGTATTTGGAATTCCAACCGAAAACCCACCTCCAGACGGGGCTCTTTAGGCTACCGAGGATCCATGTGTTATACTATGGCTAATACCACCGTCCTTGCAAAATTCACACGAGAAACATGTTGATGTTTCAATATGTTAATATTTTCGTTTATTTCTTCAGAAGTCACCGGAAGAAAACAAATCATGTTCATCAAACGAATCACTAAATCTACCTAAAATCCACGACAATTCAACTATTAGCCAACCTTTATCATTTCCACCAAATAACCCTGTTACTCCACATAAGACCAGACGTACTGGAATTGTAAAGGCACCGGAAGTAATGTCCACAGACAATTGCTCAGACCATCCCGCTAAACCAGAAAGTACAGTTTCTGTGTGTTATTTAAACGAACCAGAGTCTGAAAAGGACGAAATGTGTAACGAAGCAAACCGGAAGCACAAGGCCGAAAGAGAGAGCCTCGCTATGATTTTGAAGAAACGTAAAAAGGCACGAGCTAAAAAGGATTTGGAAAATTTAAACAGGGAATCTTTTGTGAAATATGAACGAACTAAAAGTGGTTTATTGAAAGCATTTCCTGGAAAACGTGAAGATTTCTTACCCCCTTCTAATAAACACCTACACAATAGACAGAAATTGTTAAAACAAGAACATGATGCGATTCTACGTCAAAGATTGAAATTACACAAATTCTATAATAGTGTAATTGAGCTAAGAGGTATGTTTCTTCATAAATCAATATAAAATGTGCATGATCTTTACGTATCTTTTTCATCTTAACAAGCCCATAACCACACAATAATGCCACCTACCACTACCCCCCACCCTCCCCCCAGCAACTTTAAATACGTTCCACCTTATTTGTACCATATAATTATGCGAAAGCTATCTGTTAGCAGGACAAGTAAAGTCTTTTTAATTCATTTTTGTAAATCTCAGATCACAATACTGCTTTCTCTCTTGATTGGCATATCGGGTAAAATAATAGAGTCTTCGTTGAAAAGTTACAGCATTAACCATATAAGGCCTTGGACAAAGTGACAAATGGACATTATTAGTTGTTATAAATGCTTTTGATGAATAGCTCATTATCTATTTTTTTTTCTCAGACCGAGTTGCTGTTCACGAATCCCCACCAGATGAACCGAAAGTCGTTCAAGATAAAGAGTTACCAATATTAGAAGATACTCTATCTCAGATGACAAATAGCATCTTTAACAGTGTACCGACTGAGCAACCCGAGATACAGGATGGTGACTCTACTCGTTATGTCAGAGTTTATGAGAAAGACACCAAAGAACAAGAGCAGAGTTATAGAAATAACAGTCGACGTATGTCTAGCTGGAATATGTAGTAAATTATAAACTCTGAGCAGTAATCTTGCTTAGTAAAGTACGAGTTTACTCGCTAATCTAAAACGTTTTCTACGGACGTAGAGGTTGACGATGACGTTGACGATGACGTTATTTCTTACTACTCAAAACTTCGGACCTAAAGTTTTTGCATATAAAACAGTTTTTGTAAACAACTATCTTTAATAAATAATATATGCAATATGTAAAATTTGATATAGCACTTAATGCATGAATAAAATCTGTATTTGGATGCATTTATTCTTCCTTTCTTCCACACATAAAAATTCTTCCCATTAATTTTCGAGATCTTCGAATGAATTTTAGAAACAAAGTCCTCTCACGAAAATCACCTAAAATAAATGATAGAATCCATTAACAATATCAATTATCAATAATTAAACATTTTCTCCTTATAACAAGACATTAATCTTACTACTCAGCGTTATAACAACAATGAAAACAGAAAGTTGACTCAATAACTAATAAACTGCCTTACCAGATACAGGAGCTTTCTGTTCTAATGATGTGGATTGGTAAGGCGAAGTGATGTTGCTTTTATTTTGAGCCTCAAATTTGTCTCTTCTGCCCTGTCTTGTATCACATTTAGCAAGTCTATCAGTTTTCCTGCTGGTATCTTTTATCACTAGCTTACATGATGTTGAAGCACCATTCTTGAGATTCTTGGATTCGGCAACTTTGACCACTGTGATCTGATTACGGCTTTTCTTAGTTACTGACCAGCCCTGTCCAAGCCTGTTAATGGCTACTTCGTGATGTCTGCTCTTCTTTAATGAAATTATGATTAAGAAATGTTAATAAAATTCTTTTTTTTTTACAATAGCGTTTGAAATTTAAACATCACAAAGATTCTTTTTACAACAGCTCAACAACACCAGTATCGGAAAGAGTCGATTAAAAGGAGAGCTTATTTAATAAATGGGATGTACGTATATAAATAATGTTATGACGAAAGCACGCTTTAACTATTTATATTCAAATTTGTTTTTCCAATCATTTATAGTACAAGAACAAGAAAGGAAAAACATATAACCTCAGTTTTTGAGGATACTTTCTAAAAGTTGATCCAAACGAGAACCAATTAACTATCCTGTAGCACTTCCTCAACTGTCCTGTCCAAATACTAATATGGTTATCACGATAATGGTCGAAGATTCAACATTTCTGTGGATTCAAAAAAAGAAGAAAAAGTAAAGAAAAATATGTTATAGGACCCACCATGAGATTCAGTAACTTCATTATCAAAGGTGCTGCCAAACTGGTGTTTCTTTCGACCTTTTTGTTGTCTCAACATTTGATTTGATATTTTCTGATGTACTGCGGCGATCATGGAGTAATCTTGGTTCTTCGGTAGAAGTGTGCACAGCTTTTCTTTCTGACAGCATGGCATCAGTATTCATGGCATACCAGACTCTTCTTCAACTGCCACTTGTCGACTATAACTGAAAACGGATAAGATTAACGGTGTAAGTATATAGTATGAAGGTCGACTGTGGGCATGTACTGCTGCAGACGTATAGCGTAGGTATTGTAGGCAATTATTTCGGGAAGCGGACAATTGCCCAACATCAAGAGTCTAATGCTGGTTCTTTACCTTGACTTGTTTTAGCTGGAAGAGAAATTTTCTTTGAAGAAAGCATATCCAAAAGTTTCTCGACATCCTTATTTATAGCAGAAGTAGCAGGTTCTTTGACTTGAATGTTTTGGTTTCTTCGATCTTCATAGTTTTTAAACCATCTATCAAGGTTTGTCATCTTGTCAAATTTAGAAACTGAGGTTAAGTCTCTATCAAATGTTGTAGGTTCATCACTCGTTTCGAACCAGCCTAATTTCAGCAAAGTCTCCTTATCTCTACTGATCCTAAAATACATTATTGTACTGTAACAGCTTATCCGAAACATGATCATTTAGCCTTTGGTTAGAAACTTAATCCACTGAGTAGCTTTACTTCACGATATATGCTAACACTCGCTTGAGAATGAACCAATATTGTCAACTTATGAGTTTGATTGCCGGAATCGAGGTTAACTAACCCATAGTTGCCCACTATTGTCAGCTTATGAGCTAACCCGCATGTGTAAACCCAAATAAGGCTCAGATGGAGAGAATTGGAATCAAAATTTACCCAGATATTTGCCAACCCTTGTTAGTACTTTCTTTGAAGCCAGCATATTCAATAGTTTTTCAATGTCGCCGTTGACTTCTTGATAACTTGATAACTTTCACTGAAATTCCAATTCATTCCAAAGCCTTCCACTTTCTTCTGGTTGAAAGGAATTACACTTGTATCACACCTCTATAAAGGAACAGCAAACCATCCATGTTTCAGTAAGTTTTCTCTAACAATTTTTGTTCAACCATTACTAAAACAACATAGCAAATTATTAACTATAGAATAAGATTAGACAATGCAGATTATTTGTTGATCTGTTTAACATTGATAAAGATCATCTCAAAACTAAAATACTTACCGAATTTTGGTTGAGTTTAAACGTTTCATGAGTGAAAATTTAGCAGAATTTAATAAAAATGACTCTAATACGTCTTGTTTTTCCAACAAAGTATCGAATAATGTAAGCATTGTCATGTAACGCTATTATGACGTCATAAGCAATAATGGTTTGCTGAAGAATTTATTGGATAATTCATTACCCACCTTTAATTACGGAACATAATTTTATGGTATACTACTCCTTAGTTTACGTTGTTGGCTAAAAATACAAATTTTCGAAATTTGATCTGTTTTTTTCATTGCATTAATTGAATCGTTGGCTTCAATGCAAAACGACAGACTATGGTTTTGTTTGGTGCAAAGCAATTAATTTGTCTGCCTAAATGTCTAGGCTATTAGATTTTTTGGATTCATTAACGTTTGAAGCATTGGGGTGAGATCATAATTTCACTCGTTGAGGAAAGGCATCCCATTTTAACAGTTCTCGGAATATTTGAAATATTAACCTTTTTCTAGTTGAGGAATCTGTTTTTCTATGGGCATCATCGCCGATATTTTTGCAATGTAATCAGTATTGCCATCTTTATTTTCTTCAAATCCACTTACTGGGTTCAACGTTTTGCTCTCAAAATCAGCAAGCCATTTGTCTAAGTAGCTCGTTGAAGTAAGAGCCAGTTCACCATGGGTTAAAGATGGAATACCCGAATCTCTTACCCACTCATTCTTCAACAAATTCTCTCGAAGTTGTTCCATGTTGACCGTATCTAAAAAACAATACACTAATCAAAGAGCTATAGTTTTAATAATTTTGATATAATTTCGATGTATTTCGCTCAAAAAGCAGCTCCATGATTTTTTTTTTTGGAGTAGTCTATTTCTTTCTTGGCCTTGGACGTTTCAAAACTGTTCATTCTGTGTTTGCCGATTAAAACACAGACGAAACTTTCAATTGGAGTGAAAGAATCGAGTTTACTTACCAGATTAACGGTGCTGTAACACTTCCGATTGGTTTAAGATGAAATAACTAACGCTACACGTCTAACGTTAGAAATGACGCATACGGTATTGTAACGTCATAATCGAAACTGTACACTTCAATGTTGAGAATGTCATGATGCCCCATGTCAGAATAATGAATCGGACCAGTTCGAAATGTATAAAATTCACACAAGCTATTATGAATTATTGCCCTTGACTAATTTCCAAATTCCAAACTTAGTCTAGACTTTACTTGTTGTAGCCGCAGGGATGTATGGTATTGTAGTATCTAGCGAGTAGGACATATCTGTGGACATAAGGATTGGGCAGAGATACCTCGAGGTGAAGATGCAATGATGAGAAGGTGAAACCACTACAGATTCTTTGTGAACATGCTTGGTGCAGCGGATTCCATTTATGAAATCTTTTTTTCTTTGTCTAGAATGGAATTGGTGTTGTCATATAACTATTAGGCGATAACTGATTTTTTTCTTGAAATTTACTTTCCAAGAAAAAGGCAAAACCCAACACCAAAAAGGTCATATCTATAAAAAAAAAAAGGCCCTTTGTTATCTATGAATTAATATATTCGTAATATTTGTAAATCTATTAAAGGTAGAGGGTTCAAAATGAGTGTGCACACCGTTTAACGCATGCGTTTTATTCGCCTCCTGGAAAAAAAAGTAACAGTCGTCTGACAGGTTAGTCTCATTGACGTCGAAGAAATATTAAAAGCGAATGTTTCAAAAATATAGAGCAAAAAAAAAAAAAGCGATTCACAACTCTTTCCTGACTCTCTCGCGTCGATAAATATAGATAAATAGAGAATATCCTATGGCTATGAGTGAATACGATTTTTATGCCACGATTTATGATTTAATTTTCAACTTTCAGGTTTTCTTTAAATAAAATGATTCAGATAAATAGGTTATCCAAATCGATAACTCCTCATGGATATTGTTTTATGCCACTGGTGATTTATATGATTTTTGAAAATAAGGATAGAACTCCAGCACTTGTACTCTCAGGTTTTTCCACGAACCTACTTATAAGCGATCTCATCTCGAAAATATTTAATTTTCTAGAAAGTGTGCATATTTTGAATTTCTGCTGTTGACTGAAATAGACACAGAGCATGTTGAACTTTCATTTTCAATATTGGTCGAGTTATGGTCTTTGAAGATAGGGCAAGGGGTAGGCCACCAGCCCATAAACGGTTCTATACAGTCTAGCTGCACATGAACTTTAACCAATGATGGGAGGATTAAAATAGCATCCCTTGGGTAAGTTGAACCCAGGTAATTTCTTATTCCGCTTGCACGAGGGTGTGATAACTATAATCACAGTCTGCAAATCCATTTTTCAGGATTGTCTGTATCAAGTTCTCCGGCATTGTGAGCATCTTTATAAATAAAGTCTTGACACTTCGCATCAGTCCAAATTTCATTCAAAAACAAAACGGCACATTTCATTGTTTCAACTCTTTTGAAGGAAGTATTTTGTGTTATGGCTGCAGATTTATTCCTTTCCATCATCTAATATGGAGTATTTTAACGAAGACTATCCGAGGCATTTCTTTGGAGATGACAAAAAGTTTTGCTCCTAGTATCAATTTACCGTTCAGCACATGGCGTGATTATTCCCGCTGTCCATTTGTTCCTTTGTGAAGACGCAATACTGTCCATAACTTTCTGGGAATAATAGTCCAAATGATCACCATCTTGGGAAATGTAAGGCTCCAGCGATTCACACAATGATTTTATTTCACTCCTAAAGTCCCTTGATCTGAGCTTTTCAATCTGTTGGTCAAGTTTCTTTTGACGAGAATTTTCAACAAAAATGGAGCGACGTTTCTTTCTTGGTTCCTTTGGTGGTGATGGCATCAGGTATCGAACATCCATAGTTGTAGTTGTGTGGCGCCTTTGAATTTTACCAGAGCATGTTTTAGGTCTTAGTTTCAGCTTGGGAACCTCTACAAAACTATTTGTATCTTTTTCATCATCTGAGCTTCCGCCATTTTCAAGTTCACCTATCACAATTTTTATAAAGTTTTGAATTTTTGCGTCAGTTCCATTCCCCGAAACACCTGGCAAAACATTGAATTCCTTATCGACATTAACCCCTACAGCTGTTACTGGTCTTACTGTACCTTGACGTGTATTGGTGGCATTTCTTCTACCACGATCGAAGCAAGGTGTCATCGGCTTACTTCTTCGGCTTTGTCCTATCGTAATGTTGTCCATGAATGACTCAAATTCTTCTGAAGATGCTTGACTTGAATCAGACACTGAACGTTTCCCCTTACTTATCTGAGCTGATAGAGCTCTTCTTTGTAAAAGTTTAAGAAAAGTAGCCTCTGCTTCCATATTCACGCCTCCATTATTGAGGTAACTAAGCTTCTGACCTCGAAGGTTTCTTTCCATATCCTTGTTTTCCCACATCCGAGCAAAATTTATTTTTGAGCGGTAAAGTTTCTCCATGTAACGACGATACATTATTTTCTGTTCTATAGTTATATTATTAATGTATGTTGTTTCTGATCGCTCTAGGATGCGAAGTTGTTTGTTTAAATACAAGAACTGGTGGTAGTTTGCAGACAAGACAGGGGTGGATAACTCTGCCACTTCCTTGATATTGTATATGGACGGCTTTTTCCACGTAGACGTATGGTTCATCCTGAAGTTAGATTTTAGTTTTCAAAATGTAATCCGACTGTTTTCTCATTATATCAGCCCATAGCCCACCCGTTTACATTTGCTTCAGTGGAATATCCACAGGAGCACCACACACTTCTAATAATTTCTTTTGAAGAATAATGATGATCTGTGACACTGGAGTTCTGAATCGCCAATGATGGTGTTAAAAGTCACTACAAATTTATTCCGAATTTAGCCGCAACGTCTTATAATAAAACAAGGTGATTATTTTAAGTCACGATCGTCCTTGATTACCAATTAAAGCCAAGCAAGATTCTAATTAATACTGTCTGCTATATGATATTGTGTTATCTGTAATATTAGTAAGTTATGTAGTGTTTGTCCTTGGTTGCTGGATATTATTAATTGGCTATATGGACAGTCGAGAGAAATTTTATTGCTCTTAAAATTTCCCTTTTAAAGGAATTGTTAAGAGTAAGCTTTTACCAGAGAATGAAGGCTTCATTTAAGGAAAAATGAAATACGGGTGTAAATTCATTATAATAACAGAATCAGTTTCTTACATGTTATATAAAAGAAACCTCTTTTATAACAGGTCTCTTAAGCTATATTACATTAATTCAGAGGTTCAATTTTTGTCAACCATTGGAGCATTTCGTCTAAAATACATTTTTTGCGTATGGTAAAGTTTCATGTGTTCGATCTTGAACTTACTGTTAAACGATTGAGCTGTATTATATTTTCAGTTTAACGTATCTGTCTAGAGTGGAGATTCAACAGATAAAGATCCTAAGTTCATCCTAACCTTTAACACTACAATCTCATATTCCCATCACTTCAACACCTCCTTCCCCTCTTTCTTTATGCAGCCCAAATCATCATACAATTTGATCAGTCTATTTGTTGGATTTGCCTTTTTTCACTCTGTGTTTGGAAACATTTCTATCATATAGTTGTAAAAGGATTTCGTCCAACTTCTGGCATAAAAGAAAAAAAAACATAAATCATATGATATTTACAAAACCCCATATATTGATGAACAATTGTAGAAAAGATTAAGTCACATTTCGTTATTTTTATTTACTCGATCCACACACCTTAAAAATTGGTTAAAAATACTACAACGTTACTAAAATGTTTTCTTTACAATGAATTAATTGGTTGAATTAAATCAAATCAAGTTTCGAGAATAATAATACTGAAAGGATTGGTCCAACTTTTTTTATATATATATCGACGAGGCACACTACATTCTCGTTAAATATACTGGATAACACCTTTAAAGGGTGGTTTATGATATAGTTTATTAGAGATAGCGTGAAAACTAATACAAGAATGTTACATTTCAAATATAGTTTATTGTTTTATGGCTTGTCTCTATGTTGATTTTGTCAATAGATACGATTTAAGATGTGTTTGTACTCATACGTTTTTTTCGTATTTCTCTTTATGTTTTTTTCCTTGTGTAATGTCATAAAACACGCTTTATCCTGAATGGATTGTAAAGAGGTTTTCATTTTTCATGTGTATGGTCCTACTTACATCATTCCAATTGTCCGTCAGCTGACTGTGGTTCCTGTATTTATAGTAGCCTATGCAAATGCTAAACCGTATGTAACGTCACCATCAAAAAAAAGCTTATAAAAGTATTTTCGATATCTGCGCACAAAACACTTAGGTTTAGTGAATTAATGAATGGCATATGCCTGTCTGAACATTGATAATCGATGCTATCAGTGTCCCCGATACGCACACGAAGTATGTAGAAGACTTCGAGAAGCATCATACTTGATCAGAAATCCCGACAGCAAAATTGCAGAACGGAGAATTCTATAGGTAGCGGAGTAACCGATATTGAAAAGAACACTTCTATGCATAGTATTTTAGACTATATTTAAAGAGGTCACGAAGTTAATAAATTAATAAATAACTCTCGTTTGGACAATTTACTACCTTTTTCACATCTTATCAAATATTTTATGATTTCCAACACTACTCAAACAATAAAACGAATAGTTACGATATTTAAAATAGTTTGAATTCACGCTTTCACTTCCTTCTGGAATTCTATGTATTACAAATGTCAAGAGACATGCAAAACGTGTACCAATCAGTGAGTATTTAGGTGAATACAGGCATGTGAAAGGTGAAAATGCCTATAATACCCCCAAGAACCCCGGCTTGAACAGGTCATAGACCCTACTAGCATCGCCTCGGAGAGACACTTCCCCTTCCTCCTCTGGCTTTGCAATGGTGGCAAGTGTAATAACCTACACGATCGTGATCTTAGTTTTTTTCGAATTACGACATTACGCTATACATGTACATAATATGAAAGTGCTAAGGATTAGAATTGATAGTGTTATATCAGGACTACAAACCATACTTAGATCAAATTATCTCCCCTTGACCATATGCAGGAATGTATTCGGCATGGTGGTCTACTAGAAACTTGAGGAACTGTAGAAATACGTTGTTCTGTCAAAAACCCAATATGACAACTGGTTGGAGGATAATATCCTTATAATATAATTATTCAGACTCATACGCTTAAATGTAGTCTGGATATCATAACAGAGTAATGTCCCTTTAAGACGAATTGACCAAGGAGGTCGTTTAGTCCTATTCTATGATTTAATCTAGTCCGCATGTCTTGAAACACGGCTGTGTATATAATGTTTAGTTTACAATATAATTAATACTTTAATGAAGTCTTCTCTGTTATAACATGTTCACCAAAGAACATACCACTGGTTAATGAAAATATCAACAAAATATATCCGATGAGGGATTCTGCCTACACATAAATGCGTTGAACAGAAGCCAGGCGTAGAGACTATATTACAGCTAAATATTAAATTCAATTATTTATCTATTTTAGTTCGTATAGCAAGTCTTATTTGTTCTGAGTGAACAATCAAATATCCATTAAGAATCAAATGCTCGGTTCCCATTGTCAAAGGTGGGTTAATGGTTGACGATAAATAGCTTAACTAATGTGATCCATTGAATATAAAAACAGGAACCAATTACAACCTATATTAATGTTATTTAAAGATTTGTTTCCTTATTCTTTAAAAAAAACTATAGAAGTTACTTGGATGAATATTTAGAGAGAGAGAGAGTCCACTTCGGTGAATATAAAATATCGATGAGAATAACCGCTACAAGTTCGGACACTTCTCGAGATATTATTCATCAAAAATCTTGATATATGAATTTTAGTGAGGTACACTCCATAAAATCAGCTATGGATTTACATCATTGTATTTATAAATACCAACATAGGCTTGATTCTTATATATATCAATCAATACACTAAGCATTAAGCTACACTGAACAATGAAAATCCTGAAAAACCTAGAAAATTAAGACGAGAAACTAGATTTGAAATTCGGTTGTTTATTTGTCTTTTATTCTATCTTGTATTTAAAATCTAATCTGAATAACCTGGATGTAGTTTGTGGCTGTGGTCTAAAATGCAATACATAGATTTAAGATATTGCTAACGGCCTGTAGATGCTGAAATTCCAGACTATAAAAAATGCAAAAGTTAAGCTACATTACATTTTAGTGAAGAATAACATATAGGCCACCGGATCGAATAAGACCTTCCTTCCATAGTTATTTGCAGACTGGGCAAAAGGATATGACCTTCAAAGTTAAAATTTGTTAACGATGACTGTGATTAGATTGGGATCATGTGAGACCCTAGGTGGTCAAATATACCAAAAATTTGAATTAAATCGTTGCTTGTTTGAAAATTAAATTGTGAAAGCTAATGTTTTTGTTCCAATTTTGGTGTATTCAATTATTTGCTAATTAATGACTTGCAATTCATGGAGATTTCAAATTTCATTTGCATTTTTCTTCTTGCGTGCTTCATTGCTGTATATATTTCATTCTTAACCTGATGATGAATGATTAAGAAGTGATTCAGATTTAAAGTTTTATATAACATATATTTATCAAGAAATTTCACTTTCGATATGGAGGGTCAGATCATCGTATCACGAATACGGGTTTTGACATGGTATGAGGAATGGGGGTGTGCTTTGGACATTTGACCCCAACGTGTCTGATGTGTTGGGTTTGTAATGTGACTGTTTAACTTAAGCAAACTATTTGATTGGTGTTTCTAATGAATTATCATGTATTCTTAATCATAATATTATGTTCTCATTGCATATAATAAAGAGTTTTAACCAATTATATTATATGTCCATGTAAGTAGAGTAAGTATAGTCTGGATTAACAAAAAAAATACTTTTGACCTTTCTTGATCGGTCACTCATTGGAATTCGGCTGTTAATTTTCTTCTAATTTAGCTCGAGAACTTTAATTGAAGCTTATGAAATAGGCGCCGTTTATAACCTGATTTACAGTAATTGACTTTATCACATGATCTTACATAGTTGATCATTTGTCACTGTCTGCCATGTCTTCCGATTTTCTTCAATACATTTTCAAGCAAGAAAGAGAATGATATTTTGATTTATCTGTTTTCAGTTTTATAGTAGTCTTACAATTCAATAATACTATTCAACCCCTAAGTTTCAGGGGTCTTAATTTATTTTATCACTTACGTTCAGTTTATTTTAGATTTATATGGTTCCAGATTGAGTTTCAATCATTTTCATTCACATTAAAACTTCCCTATATTTACAACAATGCATCACTGGTGTATTTTGGAGAGGTTTAAACGATGGTTTTGACTAGCTCTAGATTTATTTTGATTTTCATTCATTTAGCCTACAATGTCACAAGGTAACGTCATGATGCTAAGCCCTGTCAATCGTCCATGTTCTTACTCACAGCTGCTACGCTATATAGGGCTCCACCCACCAACTCATTACAGGGTTCCGCCCTATTATCTTTTTACATTTCGTGTAGTTCCTTATACCAATATTAAAATTTGAAATTTTATAATTGTGTTGTGTTATTAACTTGGCATTTCGTTGGTTAGTATTTGTACTAATGGAAGAAAATTGATTGAAATTTATAATTACAAATCATTG